GAATCGAAGGATGTGGTAGCTGTAAAGTGTTGAACAGTCTTGGACACAGCGACATGCGACACACCGAACGCGGCTGCCACGGTGCGTTGGCTAACTTCAGCTGCCACCGCACCGCAAATGGCTGCACGTGCAGCAGGGCTCAATTCCTCGTGTTTCTTGCGACCAGCCGTCAAGATGCGGCCCAAATCGGTCAAATTGAGTGCCATTTGGGGAAGTTGTGGTGGTGTGAAAGTTCGAGGATGATAGTGGACGCGTCGAGGAGACGCGTTAAGTGGGTGGGGTGGTAACAGACTTTTGGAACCCCACTGGTAGTAGAGGAACCCACGTTTCGGCCTTAAGGTATTGGGTTGGGATAGCCTTATTGGCCCTCTATTCCGTCAGGTACGGGCAGGCTTAATTGTCAAGACGTAGCTCAAGGAACTACGGCAGAACTCGTAGCAGCGAGGTGCAGGATCTTCAACCCGCAGGGGCCCCCTGTTGGACATCAACAGTTACAGGCTCGAATAGGCATAGACCAACCAGGTGACACTGCATCAATTGAGGCACAAGATGAAGCTTGAATTGACTGTCTGAACCATGCGTGATGTGTGTGTTTTGCTTAAAAGAACCGAGGGCTTCGGGACCCTCGCCAGACCCTGCTTTTGGGTGGGTGACGAGTCTTCCACGCTTACTGCATTGGGCAACAGTGCCCAGCACCTGATTCCAGGTGCCAAGGAGCCAGTTCAGTTCAACACCCCCACACGCTGGGCTCCACCCATGGGTCCTGGCAGGCACGGCGCAATCGCCGTGACATATTAGCTTTTACTAACTTAATCGCTTTGTTAAAGATTCTAAACTAATATTATCTAGTTAACCTAAAATAAAGAGATATAGCAGAGAAATCAAAGTAGAGTTGGCCTAGTATCTGAGACAGACAGTATCGCATTATATCTGGCTCTCGATATGCATGTGGCAGATCACCATCGACGGTGGTGCTGAAAGGTGGTGTAATAGTGTAGTGGCCCCGCCATGATTTGGGATTGCAGTGGCATGTGACAGTGTGAACTGTCGTCACCGCCTGCTCACACTCAACCTCACAATCGAGTCTAATGTCAACCCCAACCTTGTTCTTTCAAGTCTCTTGAGAATGCAGCTTATTACCTTAGAGGGGCGATAATGAGATGTGAGACATGAAATGCCACAGCGTAAATCGACGCCACCATGGACGAATTTACTTCGAGTCTTTTGAGCGCCATCGACGAGTCGACTACCCCATATGTCGACGACAAGGAATATGAAGGACAGCAGGAGCCCGAGACGGAGTTGGCAAAGAGAGGGCGCGGTCTGCGCAGTGGCATCTTTCGCGCGGCCAATATCCAAGACAAACTGTTGGAAAAGTAACAACTCTTCATCTGACTGTAAGCTAGGCATCACTGACAAATTACAGACTCCTAGCCCAGGTGATACCAGCCGCCGACGGAAACCGAAATGTGCCCGATATCTCAGCCAGCGACATACCTGCCTTCGCCGAGCGGCCTGCTTTCTCGTTGGCGCTCATGACCGCCAACTTTAGGCGATTCAATGCCCGCATCGGCGTCGTTTTCAGATTCCAGGCCCGCGCGCTTCGCGTTCTGTCGTGGCGTAAGCCAACCCACACGCTCTCCCTTTTGGCGGTATACACCTTTGTGTGTCTCGACCCTTATCTTCTCTTCGCATTACCGCTGGCCGTTTCCCTTTTCGGCATCCTAGTCCCGTCCTTTATCGCCCGCCATCCGGCCCCGGCTTCCGACGAAGACCGCGTCCGCAACCTGAGTTACTCCCCGCGAGGCCCACCCCTCGCGCCCGCGCGGGCGTTCAAGCCGACCAAGGAGCTCTCGCGCGACTTCTTCCGCAATATGGGCGACCTGCAGAACGTCATGGAAGACTTTAGTGTGGTCCACGATCAGATTGTCGCGCTTGTGGTGCCCAAGACAAACTTCTCGGACGAGGCCCTCTCCTCGGCCGTCTTTGTCGTCCTCTCGGCCGCCTGCCTCGTCATGCTGATTGCAGCGCACCTTCTCCCGCTGCGATTCCTCGCCCTCGTCGGCGGCTGGGCAGGCATCTGGTCCGGCCACCCGGCAGTGGCGCGCTGGATTAACCAGGCAAAGCTCCAATACACGAACTCAACCTCCTCCTCCTGTCCCGAAACCACCACCAACACCACCCAAGCCAAAAACCCCCAGCACGCCCAAGAGAACAAACCATGGTACACCAACCCCGCAACCTCCCTCCAAACCCTGCTCACCTCCGACATCCTCCTCGACACCTCCCCGGAAACCCGCGAAGTCGAAATCTTTGAGCTCCAACACCAATCCCCTTCCTCCGGCGAGTGGGAACCCTGGCTCTTCTCGCCCTCGCCCTACGAGCCCCTATCCGCGGCGCGCATCGCCGGCGAGCGCCCGCGCGGCACGCGTTTCTTTGAGGACGTGCTGCCGCCCCGGGGGTGGGAGTGGAGCGAGAAAAAGTGGGCGCTGGACCTATGGAGCAGGGAATGGGTGGAGGAGCGCATTATAACCGGGGTCGAGGTCGAGACGGAGGGGGAGCGGTGGGTGTATGATATGTGGAGTGAGCAACGGGACGGTGTTGTTGATTCTGTTTCGTCGGGGGTTGGTGGTGGTGGTGATGGTCAAGGCGGGGATGGGGTGGTGAGAGGGGATAATATACCAGGGGTTCGGCGACCTGGGATGAGTTGGGAAGAGGGCGAGGAGGGGATGGGGAGGCGGGGGCAGTGGAGGAGACGGAGGTGGGTGAGGATGGTGAAGCGGAAGATGGTTACGGGGAATCGGTAGGTAGATCATGGTGGCTTTTATGTCTTCCCTATCGCATGGTTTGTAGTTGTCTGCCTTTGGCGGTCTATGAATGTCGGATTACCTCACCTCCTATATACCGAAAGCAACCGTGACGAACCTAGGAATCCGCTCAGTTTGGAAAGGTAAATGCTCCATCGCCTCTGTCAAATCATCGTTCTCGACCAGCTAGCCGCTGCCCTTGGCCCCGACGGGTTTGGCATACTGTAGCGCCTTGGATAATCTCTCCAAGTACAAGAACCTGTTGGAACAACTCAAACGATGGTGATGGTCTGCTCGCAGCTGCGCTGTTCAAGCGCATCAACAGCAGCGTCCCCGGCCACAGTATACCCTCTGGTAAATGTTGCTCGGCCATTCCTGTCGCCTGAACAGGACGTTGCCTTGACTGAACCGCTTCCCTGCCTAGAGAAACGTTACAATCCGCAGACAATAGGTCGCTCGGCCCCAATGAGCGCCTCACCGGATTGAGGCTTTCCATTTGTCCGCCCAAGCAAGCCTGCACTGTCAGCTGACTCGGGTAAGAAACGGCCGGGGTTCCGTCAGGAGTACACTCGTCAAGACTTAATACAGTCTAGCTTTCGTTCCTCAGAGATTCTCCAAGAGCCTCGCCAGTACCCCCGATGTACTTCCAATCCCCGGGTGATGTCTCAACTGACAGGGACTCATCATCCAGAGCCCACACCTCGGTGAGGGGCGCCTTGATTCGGATATGTCCGCTGCTGAGGAGGCCGGTCTCATGTCAATCCACTGTATGCAGGGCGACAACCAAAACGACGCTTGGAGTCGAGAGCGTGGCCTCATCCGGCCCGGCAGGCTCGTGCTCGAATAACACAGGCCCTTCAATAGATGTCCAGGTCCAAGACTGCGCCCTGTAACCGTCAGGACGGTAACAGGGCCGTATTTGACCTTGCTCCAATTCAACGTCCATGGTAGTTGATAGCGCCACACACCTGCGAGGTAGCTGTCACCTGGCAAGAGCTCCTGGAACCACTGCGCAATGCCAGCTAAGGCAACAACCATCTTGTCCATCAGAAACGTCAGAAAGCAGGCGGCATATTTCTCCGCCACGACCCACCAGCGGCGATACTTGGCCAGCAAGCCCTGAGGGCGATCCAGCACTTGAAGGTGTGCCTTGAATCTGTGTACAAAGCCGCAGGAACACCTTTGGGGTATGTTTCATATGCAACACCCTGGGAACACTCGAACCACAGCTGGCACTTGGTCAGGCTCAGATCCCGCTCTGTCAGAAACACCTCCTGCATCACTCACGCACGTCGGCGTAGCGATGAGTCCTCCATGTCGTCTTTCAAAGGCTCCTCGTCGAAGAGGTAGTACCGCGGTTGGAGACCAGCTATGTCGTCCCATTCCGCGTCGACCTGCACCGGTCGAATGAAACCCGCATCTCTCGACAGAAAGCTGGCATCGGAACTCTCTTCCGCTTCCGCGGCCGTGACGTTCAGAACCGAATTTTGATAGACTTCCTTCATGGTAAGGGCCTCGCGCTGCCAGTCCTCGCGGGAATCTTGGATAATGCAGAGCGAATTGATCCAGATGTAGCGGAACCCAAACTGGCGGCAGACCATGATGGCTCCCCCATAGCTTGTGGGCAGGGCAGCGATATCGATACTGTTGCGAAGCTGGTTCATGTTCGAAGAAGAAGCTACAGCGTCTCGGCCTTGCCCCAGCAGTGGGAGAGCGAGGCGACCGGCCTTGGGGTTTTTCCTCCCTTGAAATGACGCGTCTTGCGAGGCCTTGACTGATGATCTCCAGCAACTGAGATGGGTAGTAGGCTGATTTTGTTTAGCGACATCGGTGATGGTTGCAGTACACTCGGCGAACCACTGGAACGGGAGGTCGAGGAATCCCGGCTGTCGAGCCCCTGACGGAGGGACATGATGGCCAGCACTGTCCTTGACGGCTACGAAAGAATAAGTGTGGTGTATGCGGCTCAAGTTCGGGGATTTTGTGGGACAACTAATACCCTCAACAGGCTGTAGCGAACCCCCAAATAGGTGGCTCCGGTCAAACAAAAAACCAGAAGCTTCAGGGCGGGCGGCATTGACCTGTCCTCCAACCGTCTCGTCACCATCTTCCTCATCTCTGTCTCTGGCTTCGTCGTCGTCTTCGTCTTCGTCTTCGTCTTCCTCCGCATTGTCATCGCCGGGTACGGCGTCGATGGAAAGTTTCAGCCAGTCGGATGGCAGATTCACGAGATTTGACAGGTACCAACCAGGTGGCATGGAAAGGATCACCAGCATCGGCAAGCGTCTTCCATCCTCGACTCCTGGTACTGACCCCGCACACGTAGCAGCCCTGTGCTGCTGCCAGTAGGACATTCTCTGTCGACTGGTGGTGGGATTTATACTCTCATAGACACCGGGGGCCCGTGAGAAAGGTGCGGCAGACCGCGCAGAGACTTTCAGACATGGCTGCTGCGTTCGAATTTGATTGCCTGTAATCACCCAAAGTAGGTACGCTCCAGTCAATGTTGGATGGATTCAACGAAGTGCGGTACTACGTGTCGGTAGCATAGCTCACATGGGGAACTAAGGTGGCACTTGGGAGGTTGGATGCAGGGACTCAACTATCTGGAGGCGCAACAATGGTGAGGCTGTGTCGGGCTACAACTTGGACGTGCAGGGTATACAGGCGTCGAATGTAAGCCTTCTGAGTTAAGGTACCTAGGTACTTGAAGTAGCTATTGAAAGGCTGAGTCGAAGACGGCGAAGATGGCCTTATTCATGCGGTTCCAGATGTTGGCGCATGCAGATTCCCATAATGGCGACCGTTCCCTCGGTGAGTTAAGAACGAAGTACAATTGACGGCGAGTTCACTGGGGAGCAGATCGTGCGAGAACAGTCTGTTGCCAGACGTAGCTGGAATTTATCGGTCCTTAGTAGACCAAATGCAGGCCACACTCACAGCTGAATGCCGCCATAGCCCGTCCGTCCTGTCCGCCCAACAACCTTGAAGCCCGTATCCATACAACCAAACGCATGTCAACCATGATGTAATAACAAAAAGGGGTATTTCCTCCCAACGATCTGTACCATGCCGCATAATACGACCCGAGTTCAATCAGTCCTTGATCACCATCCTATCCAATATCCCATGCACCCCCTGCGCCTTCCCGCGCCCTTCATCCACCTCATCCGTCATCCTCCTCGCCCGCTCAATCAGCACGTCCAGCACCTTCCTCGTGTACTGGAAGCTGCCGGTGCTCTCCATGTACGCCACGGCATACCTCTTGACCTCCTCATTCTCCGTCTTTTGCCTCATGATATTCAACAGCTTGATATCTCCCGGGTTCGACCGGATGCTGTGTATCACGGGAAAGCTAAACTTGCCCTCGGTCAGGTCCTCGCACATGCCCTTATTGGCCGTGTACTCCTTGCTGAACAGGTTGTGGTAGTCGTCGGCGATTTGGAAGATGAGGCCGATCAGGTTAACGAGCGGGACGCAGTCGACCAGGCTGCGCGACTCGGCCTGCATCAGCTTGATGCCGAGCCGGAAAAGCCCGCCCGTCTTGTTGCCCACCATCTCAAGGTAGTCGTCCTCGGTCGGGCACGTCAATGTGTCCCGCCAGAAGAGGTCCATCCCTTGCCCGCGGTGCAGGTTGAGGAGCTCCTCGGCGAAGATGGAGACGGCCTTGGGGTTCTTGAGCTTCTGGAGCTCCTGTAGGGCGCAGAAGTAGATGTAGTTGGACGAGTTGATGGTCTGCGGGATGCCGAAGATAGAGTGCGCCACGGGGAAGCCCCGGCGCAGTTGGCTGTTGTCTTCCACGTCATCGACGAGGAGGGAGGCCGTGTGGAGCATGCTGACGACCTTGGTGATGACTTCGAGGGACTCGGGTGGCACCTCCAGCCAGGCGTCAAAGGCTTTGACGAGGGCGGAGCGGAAATCCTTGCCCGGGTGGCCGTTGAGGTAGTCAAAGGGACCCGTGAGCACCTTGTCCTTCTCCTCGGACCATGTTCGCCGGCCACTGAGGAAGAAGTCTTCGGTCGCGAAGCGGTTCGGGTCCGGCGGAATCTGTGATGGGGCAGACATGGCTGTCGGCGGAAAGCTCGTTGTGCCGACCGAGGCCTTACGACTCCGCTGGCGTTTGTGGGCAGTGGTTGACACGGAGAAGTAGTCGGTTTCAGGGACGCTCCGCAGGGCCGGTCCCGAGGTCGAGTTCGTGGACGAGGTGCGAGGGGGAATAGCGGCGGGCGATTGCAAGAAGGTGCTGTGGGTGGGGATCGAGCCAGGCGCAGCGGAGAAGGAGGTCGAGGCGGAGGACTGAGCGGCCATGACAGGCGTATCTGTTTGGGCCGACCCTCTGAAATAGAGCATGGGAGGCTGATGGAGGAAACGGCCTACTAATGTTGCAGGCAGCCTTCTTGCCAAAGGTCAGGAACCCAGGGCAAGGCGGGCGGTGTCGCGGTTAGGTGGGGCCTAGTCTCGTGGAGGCGGCGCCGGTGACGACACATGCGATTTCAGGCTCCAGTCAGAGCTCCCCACTCTCGTAGGTTACTTGGCGGCTCTTGGCATTGCTGCAGGCCCCTACGAGCCTACCTACAGTCAAAATTTCCATATACCCCACTTAATTATACGCGACTCTCCACGCGTCGCGACACCTCTATACTCTTCCAACTGCAATAACTTAATATTATGAAGATCAGTTTAGCTAATTCTAAGGCTAAATAGACAGAAAATTATAGCTAGAATAAAGAGTTCTTACTGGTTGTTCGTATAACTATTTACTATGCTATAGCTTATAGTAAAACCTATTGGGCTATAGCAGATACCTTTGGCATCTCTATTGGCACTATTTAAGACTATATTTAATATCAAAAAAACTCAACAAATCTTTGATTCGAAATTTCAGAAAAGCTAACGTGTTTTATCAGCGAATGCACCATATCAGCGAGTGCACCACTGGTAAGGGCTGCATATATATTTGGGTGCAGCACTAACAACGGGAATAATGCGGGGAATAAGCTGTTAGTGTAACGGGCTGGGCCCGGTGCGAGCCTCAGCGACTCTCGGCCAATACCAAGACCCCTGATGAGGCTATTCCCACTCGCCCCACAGCACACCGAACCTTCTAGCAACGCGCTCAGACCAGCGCGCCGACGAGGATAAGTATGCTTGCGAGCTACCAGAGTCTGTCGTCTCTCCTTTTCTTCTCCAAGTTCAGTGTACTCGTAGAGTCGTCATCAGCTAGTTGCAATATACTACCTGAGACCGTTACAGTTAGTACTTCGACTAAGTGTCTGTGCAGCCCTTACCAGTGGTGCACTCGCTGATATGGTGCACTCGCTGATATGGTGCACTCGCTGATATGGTGCACTCGCTGATATGGTGCACTCGCTGATAAAACACGTTATTCTTAAATGCTTTTATAATTAAAGAAGTAGTATGTTCTTATTAGATTTGGGAGGTAAGGCAGTTCAGGGGTAATTAATGGCTTGGCACCAGGATTCTCAGGATCAGGAACAGGCAGGGAACTTCTAGAAGAACGCAGACAGGTATTGGAAGACCAACAGCCACGATTCCACGGTGATCACACAGATGATGGGAGCTTATATCAGTGGGTTTGAGATACTCGGAGCATCCCAGATGTTCTTGATTGAAAGTTGTTCTTCTCTCACTTCTCCAGCGAAAGGGGAATTGCCCTGACCTCGTTGCCCAGTGCCCTAGTTACCCCTCACGTTGCCTGACGCTTAGTTGGGCAGCTATGCATCCAACAGCAGGGCACTTGCAGCTGAGCGTCCGAGTTTCCAGTGCCACGACTTTCCAACACCAGGAACATCATCATCAATTGAGTGGTTGCCCATCTTTTAGAACCCAATTACTACGGTGCGGTCAATCCGTAGCTATTGGCTTTCCAACAGTTCTAACCTAGCTGCACAGCTAGAACTAGGCTAGTGTCACGGTACCAAGTCCGCCCTTCTTAGGTCACGTGCTAAACCACGTGCGCTCGTGTTCGTGGACCCACACTAGCTGTATCTAGCCTCGAGTAGCTTCCTCTCGCGAGAGCTTCCTCTCTCATCATCGCACAACACAATCTTTCCCCAGACCTAGCCCTGTCCCGTAAACCCCTGACCAAGGCCCGTGACAGCTAGTTTGATAGCCTAGTTAGTCATCTGCGCCTTTCTTTTTGGTTCCCACTAGAGCTACGGGTCCATGTTGCTTAGTCATTGTAAAAGCTGTATTAGTCATCACAAAAATGCATCTAATGCGGTTACCTCCCTGCACCCGCGACATCATCGCCGTCGCTATCACCAATGCTATCGCCACCTTCCCAGACGACTACCTTCCTCTCGAATGCTATTTTAAGTCTCGACAGGCCTTATTCGAATCAATTAATTCTTAGGCCTTGACAAGAAGTTACGCCTTTATAACTCAGAGGTCGACTCGAGAGAAGAACGGTCACGTTACAGTTATCTACATATACGATCGGAACTACTATCTACCAAACCCATCAAGAGACCGTCAGAGAAGAACGACCACTCGAGTAACTAGTTATCCATTCTCGGTTCTAGCCAAAGAAGCGTCCAATGGTAATTGAGTTCTTAAGCACCATTCTAATCCTCGATTCTCAATACATAACTACGAGCCAAGCCAGCATCTTTCTGCTCATCTAGTCCACCGACAACTCTCTAGAGGTACTTCGCAGCTTACAAGTCTATCAAATGCGGGCATTGCTCCAAAGGAGATTCAGGACAATATATAACAAAGTGGCTCGCTAGCTACATGGCAAGAAATCTATAACCGGATTACAGATATACGTCGAGATACATACGAAGGTCAGAGTGCAATTCATACGCTAGCTAATTAACCCGACAAGGAGTCCTTTTTACATATCCTAACTCTCTTAGCTATCTTTGTCACGGGCACGGCCCATTCTACATTGATGGTTAGGGTTGTAGTTAGTCAGGGTTAGGGCTGCAGGACCAGACCCAGAAGTGGGATCTGCGGTTGTGGCCTGTGCGCGGCCCACACACACAGGGTCTTCTTCTCTGTGGGCGCCGCGCCTCCAGTTTCTACCCTCGTGTAACCACACAAAATACAAGGCAGTACCTACCACGGCACCACGACCCGTGATAATCTTTGAGCGTACCCTAACCTCCTCTTCTTTGATTATACCCACAAGACAAACAAGTACGGTATTCCACTTCTTAATATGATCGACATTGATATGACTAGAAGCTCCTTCTATGTCGCATTTATATTCCTTAGTGGCGAGACAGAAGAAGACTATACATAAGCTCTAGAGCGATTGAGATCGCTATATAAGCAGTATAAGGCTGCCCTCTCATCTGTTATTCTAACAGATTGGTATCTTATACTTATTAATGCAACGTCGACTCTTTTCCCCTCTACTACAACGCTTCACTACCTTTAGTACGCAAATAAGGCGGTCTTCGCCCGATGCCAGCCAACATTTTCGGAGGTTGAGAAGTGGAAGGAGTTCGACAACCCTTGGCACTCGATCATCAACTCGCTAACTGAGGAAGAGTATACCAGACGCCTTGCCGAAATCCAGCAAAAGTACATTCTTGTCACGGGATTCCCCGTTCCTGTTGTCATGGTTATGTCTTATGCTTGCGGTTATGCATACGTCATGAGGTCTGATCATACGTCTATGGTCATGCTTACGCATAGGCCTCTGCTCCAGTACTTAAGGTCTGGTTGCACGCCCATTCCTGTCATCTAGCTCTTGCTCTCGTTGTAGCAATATCGATCTTGTATGTGCGAGCTGACCAGACCTTGAGTGGTGCCCGTCACAATGGGCTCCCTTGCTTACACATTAGATGCTCGTCAAGGCGAGCCTCTTCTTCTCAACCACTTCCATTCGCACTGGCATTTAAAGCGCAAGGGGGCTCCGCAGCTACTCCTTGAGCCTCGCTAGCGCATTAAGTCAATTCGAGCTTAGAGCTCACTCCTAAGGTCGACTACTAAGCAGGAACCTAGCAAGTTTGAAGTAGTCAAGAGCCAGGCTCGATAGCCTCCTATATACAGTAAATACCACACAGTCAGCCACTAAATGAATACAGAGGCATATCTCTTACGCTATTCAGATATATCGTAATCAATACAGTTAGCATTAGCTATGGCGACGGCGCAGGAGTCGTGGGCGCAGGAGGTGGCCGCGTTAGATGCATTTTTTGTGATGACTAATACAGTTTTGCAATGACTAAGCGACACGGACCCGTGGCGCCCACTAGGAAGACGGGTCCGTCTCCTTTGGATAAGCATAACAATTACTTATCACCTAAAATGCATATATCGCAGCATCCGCCCGCACCTCCATCACCACTGTCTTCGCGATGAAGATAAATTTCTCCGGGAGAAGCCGAAACGTGGTGCAGTCGGTTTTCGTGGTTTCAGAGTTCACATCCCTAGTTCTGGAGCTCGTGGTCTACACTTCACATGCGCTTGCTTGCTTCCAAGTCTGGAAGTTTTTCAACCCAGCGCGAACAGAGCCCCACTTCCCCGGTTACAGGGCGCGCAGGACCCTGCCCTTAGCTGCCATCGGACCCACTTCTCATGCAGGGTCCCGCGCCATCCCGCCGTTGCTGTGGCATCGCCCAAGTTTGTCGAGTCCAGAACCCACCACTTCGGGTCAATTGGGCTCTGGACTCGAGCTTCAAGTTCCTCTCAAAATGTGGACGAGGTTTCTTGATCCGTCGAGACTCGAGTGGCCTACGCCAGTAATACCCCGTCAATTGGTTGTCCTTTCGGTGTTTCATGGAGTGTACTTGATGTTTCCTCACAGTGGTCCCCACAAATAATCTCGGCTTCTCCGTTTGCGCCCGCCTGTTTACATGCGACAATCCTCTCCAACCCATTGACAACCAGCTCATCCGTCCAATTCTCGTTTTCGAAGATAACGCCAGGAAAAATCAATACAGCAGCAGGGGATACAATCAGGAAGTGCAGCTGCTGAACCAGCGGCACTACGTTTCACCATCTTACGACAAGCTTCGGCCTGCGAAATCCGCCTCAGGATGGAGTCCCTTTTATCGCTCGCCTTCGATAACCTCTCATCGTTTGACGGGGCGAAGATCAAGAAGGGCTTGAAACAAGTCGAAGGATTGCTCGCGCAAATCTGCCTTTCGGGCCCAAGCAGCCCAAGGAAACAGACCGCCGCCGACCCAGGGCGAGACAGAGATAGTAACCAGTCCTCGCGCAAAGTCTTGGCCGACCTCTCAGGCGACCCGGCCTTCCGCGAGTTTTTCAAGCTCCAAGAAGGCTTTGAGTGGAATATCGCCCAGCGCCTGCTCACCACCCTCGACTGGCTCGTCGTCCGTGGCGGCGACGGCCAATACGACCTCCTCATCGTCAACGCTCTCGATCTGATCCAGGGTGTCCTCCTGCTGCACCCACCAAGTAAGGTGCTCTTCTCCCGGAGCGTGCATATGAACGTATGTCCGATCGATCCCCCTTCTTCCCTTTCACCTCTTTCCTCCTCCCCTTTTCAAGTTCGCCCTAACACACCGCGCTTCGACTAGCTCCTCCTCGACCTCCTCGAACCAATCAATTGCCCGGCCATTCAGTCCGCCACAATCATCACGCTCGTCGTCGCCCTCCTCGACATGCCGCAAAACACGCGCGTCTTTGAGCAGCTCGACGGCCTGCTCACCGTCACGTCGCTCTTCAAGAGCCGCGAGACGGGCCGCGATGTCAAGTTCCGCCTGACCGAGTTCCTGTACTTCTACCTCACCCCCGAAACCCCCTCCATCCCGAGGGCCGCGGCCCGCATGAGCGCCGTCGCCGGACCCGGCCTGCTGCAGAGGAGCCCTAGTAAGCTCGTAAAGGTTTTTGGTGGTGGTGGTGGGAATGGCGAGAGGCCCGGTAGTGAGAGCGGCGCGACGCTGTCAGTCGAGGCGAAGAAGCAATTCGTCGATCGGTACCTGCCGGGCGTGGTGGATGAGTTGTTGAAGGACTTGGATACGTACAAGCCGTTTGGGGGCGTTCTAAGTTAACCGGCTGGGCTACGGTTGGAGTTGGGACCAGCGTTGGCTGTTGCGGGCTTTCCTCCCGTTCTGTTTCTTTGCCGGTGGCGTTGTTTGCTCATCCACCGTTTCCATTTCCTTCTGGGGGGGGGGGCGTTTAATTCTTGCGGCCTGTTTCTCATGCCGTCTTGTTCACCGTCGTTTCTGGATCCTACCATCGGTGGCGATCCTGGTCTGTATACTGTACGACTATCGTCGCATTACTCGGGCGTTTCCTTGCTGGTATGTTTGGGCAAGCGGCAAACCTCCCAGGCGGATTTGAATGGGAGCATTGGCATGTTCATATTGCGTATAGAAGGCGCGGCGTTTCCTCAGGGCTGTTTTAGATCTTAGTCCATCATCGCTGGACAGTTGGGGTGTAGGAATTGAGTAAATTGAGCTTATCAGATTGCTCTTCCTGGACGGGATTCACCTGCCCGGCTTAGATTCGGGTGCTCAGGTCGCCGTTAATCGTGCTCTTGACATGGAATCCTGCTCTCGCAACAGCAACTCAGCCTGGCCTAGAGGTGTGTATTGAGGCATGAGATCATTCAACCAGTCAGGTATACAATACATGCATCCAAACCGTCGAACATAATCTCCCACCTTACCGCGGCCGCCCATCCGGACTCGGCATCCTGCCCGGAAATGGCGACGGCAGCGTGGGCGAGATCTGCCCTACATCCGAGCCATAGAGTTCATACCTCTCCTGCGCGTCCTCGTCATGCGGCGTCGCTAACCCATCCGGGGGCAGCCTCCTTGTATCTCGCAGCCTCGAATCAATCTCCACCGGCACCGCAATATCCCCCGGCTCATTCGGCTGCAGCGGCACCCCGCCCCGGTCCAACCCGGGCGTCGTCACGGCCGACGTGCTATGCGTCTCCGAGTACGGTCCTATCCCCGGCGCAGGCCCAGAGTAATCCTGAACCAGCCCAGCCAGCCGCCCACTCCCGGACATCACATCCGAATTCTCATCCGACATCTCCCTCCCTCCCGAACCCCCAACCACCCGCCCAACCAACCCCATCGGCCTAGGCCGTGTGGCACTGCTGCTGCCCTCGGCCTCACTCATCCTCCGCCTCCTCCTCCGAAGACACCACCAAGTCACGGCCCCAATCACCAACCCGCACCCCACCACCACCCCGACCGCCACGCCCGCCGTCGCGCCGGGACTCAACCCGCCCGCCGCCGAATCCGCATCCACGACACTGAACTTCTCGGTCGTGGTTGGCGGCGGAGTCGCGGCGCAGTGCGCCCGCCCGGACACGAGCGTGCAGCTCTGCGTCGCCGCACAACACCCCCCGCCCAACGTCGCGGCGCACGAGATCTGCCCTGTGCTACAACCCGGCGGCGGCGGCGCCAGACTCAGTTCCAACGACCCCGTGGTGGTGGCAGGAGTTGAAGCGGCGGCAGCGAGGCAGTGCCCGTCGGTCGCGCAGCGGGCGCCGTAGGCGCAGCAGCCGCCGCCCAGCGAGGAGGGGCATTGGAACATGGATGTTTGTGTGCAGGTGCGGTTGCAGCAGGCTGGGGAGGTGGTGGTGGCGGTGAGGGTGCCGGTGGTGAGGGTCACTGTGCTGTTGCATTGGAATTGGAATTCGGGGCAAGGCGCGCCGCATGTTGCGCCAATGTGGCAGCAGGCTCCGAGGGTGGTGGTCATGGGGTTTATGATGCAGCTGGGGGGACGGGTTGGTTAGTTTGACATCGCTGACTGGGCTGAAGGAGAGTCGGGAGGGGACGTAAGGGGGAAGACGCCGGCTTGTGGTGGTGAGGTTTTGGTGGTATGTGAGTAGGACATACTATTGATTGTTGGGGCAACAGATGCTGGCGCCCGCGGGTCCGATCTCGTTACCTGTCCCATTGTCAGTGTATAGGCCTCTGACAGAGTAATGGCAGAGCACGAACATGGATGAGACTCTGGATTACAGCCGTCCTGGCGCTTCCCCAGCGGCTGCGCCGGTGACACGTGGTACTCCCGCGGCGACAAGATGACGCCCGTCTCGACGGCCACGAAGCGCTCATACGCAATGGCGGCGGCGCCGGCAACCAGCCAGCCGGCGACGGCGAGACACCGAGTGACGGCGGTCATACTGCGCGCGCTCGTGCCACAATGTCGGCAAGTGGTTTTCGGACAATTGTTGACAACGGCTGGCCGCCGACGAGACGCAACGACGTCAGCAGGCAGCGCTTGGGTGCGCGATGAACGAGCCGGCCCAGAGATCGGTTTGCCGCAGCGGGCGACGAGGATACATGTCGTCGAAGACCAGCTTTCGCCTCGTCAGTCGAGCTCCTGCAAGTCAACCCTCACCTGGCTTCACCCAACCAGCAAGGGGAGAGGACAAGGGGAACCTCGGGGCTATGTCCCCACTTGCCATGCAACCCATCGGCGGGAGCGACATGTTTGTGTCAGCCACCATTCCGAATGTTGACCAATGGCGTGGCTTGCCGCCTTCCCGGACAGGAAGATGATGCGTCCGCAGTTAAGTCGAGTGCAACATTCTCGTGGACAAAAGGGGGAAGGCAGCCGCAAGGCAGTGGGTGGCTACGCTCTCATCCGTTGGTCGCAGAAGAAGACCCGGTGAAAGAAAGTCGTATAATCTCGATGGATCTATCATGTATGTACGGACGATCGACGATCGCAGCGATCTCTGCTGGTAGGGTCGTGATCAGGACCGGATTCTTCAAGCCAGTCAGTACCCCGGCGGACATAGACAAGCTAAGGTTAGCAGAGCTCAGGACTGCGACTCTCCCAGCAGAGGTATCAAGGCAATACCTAATATTGAAGCATCATCTTCTGCAGTGAAAACTGAGCTCGCACTGCCAAGTCAGTACTAGAAAGAACTCGAGGGGTAGTCGCGCAATGATAGATGAAGCGCAGAGATGGCGACAGGATCCACCTCTGCCCTCTCCATCCCCCATCTCAAAGATGAAGGTCTTTCCATACCTCCCGATCGGCCAAAGGAGCAAAAAAAGGCCGGAAGGGTTAGCCAGTTCCATTGGCCACCCCACCTCCTCTAACACATTCAGTTGCATACACACTTCTACTTCCCTACTCATCCTGATTCACCTTCCGATCCATCTCCTCCCTCCACGTCGCACCATACCTCCGTAGAGCCCAAACCGCCGCAACCCCAGTCACCAGCGCAAACAACCCAACCATGGTACACAACCAGCCAACCCCCATGACTTCAATCAGCGGCTGCGCAATGACGCTCCCGACACACGAAAAGATATTCCTCACAAAATTATTCACCGCCACACCACTGCTACTCCGGCGCGGCATAAACTCGGTCAACATGGTCGTCGTCACGCCAAAAACCAGCATGCTCCCGACGCCAAACCAGAAGTTCGCCACGCTCGGCACCATGAAGTGCGCCCCCTTCTGTGCGGTCCAGCCGAACCAGACCAGGGCGCCGGGGTACAAGGTCGCGGCTAGCCACATGTTCTCGCGCATCCTGTCCTCGGGCAGGTAGACCAGCTGGCCGTGCTCGTCGAAGCGCTCGGCGCGCTCGGCCTCGCGCGCCATGATGTAGTCGATCCAGCGGCCGCCAACAAGGGAGGCGAGGATGTAGCCGAGCGAGGGGGCCAGATAGCACGCGCCGAGGGGGATCGGCGGGAAGGAGTAGGGCGGCGAGGAGAAAGTGGACTGGATCGAGATGTTGAGGACGAAGAGGGCGAAGAAGGCGATGGAAGCGCAGTAGACCGTGATGAAGACAGGCGGCTGGCGGAGGTACAGAACGACCGAGAGCGGGTCGATCAAGTAACGTTTTACGAGGGCGGCCGTGTTGACCGTGTGGTGTTTGATGGATTGAGTTGTTGAGACGCGCTGGAGAGTGTTGGCCGATTCGGCTGCCGGGACTGTGGGTGGTGGTGGTGGTGGCCTGGCGAGAGTTTCGGGGAGACACAACAGCAGCATGAGCAACATGACGCCACCGTATATGGAGAGGAACCACATTGTTGCGCGCCAGCTGAAGCCTTGCGCTAGGGCGCCGCCGATAATGGGGGCGCAGAGGGGGCCGACCAGAGGCCCGAGGTAAAAGATTCCCATGGCTCGGCCCCGATGTGCAGGCTCCCATATGTCAGCGATCGTGCCGGCGCCAACGGCTTGGACGGAAGCGGAAGCACCGCCACCGAGGATCCGCATAACGACAAGCATCGAAATATTGACGCTTACTGCATTGAGTATGGAGAAGACGACAAAGAGGGTAAATGAGACAATGTAAATAGTTCGGCGGCCGAGCGTTTCGGAGAAGGAGGACCTGATGTCAGTTAGACAGTGTAACACAGCTTGGAGAAAGGGGTACATGCCACCACAGGGGAAATATGGACATGGCCAGCATGTAAAAGGAGATGGTAAGGTTGGTAATAGTTCGTGACGCTTTCAAGTCAACCGACATGGAAGGGAGCGCAGCTGGGCAGGGCTGTTAGCAATCAACTTGTCTTGGTTGGGAGAGGGTGTCACTCACGAAGGAAGATACCCGAGCCCATAGGCGCACCTGCAGCAGCTAGGGCGACGACGGCAGTAATCATCCATTTGGTGCTGTTCTTGTACTCGTACGGCCTCCCGACTTCTGGTATGAGGCCCAAGCGGCCAAGGAGCCCTCGGCGTTGTGAGCGAGGGACAATGCCTGAGTTGGCAAACGAAGAGCCACGCCGACTCTGGGAACGGCTGCCACCATGCGTCTTCTTGGGGTCCGTGACATCTGGCTCTATTCCCCCTTCTACCCCCTGATTGACCTCCTCAGTAATCTCATCCTTCTCATCTCCACTGCTGTCGGCAACCCCAGGCCGGTCGTCGTGTCCTATCGCTCCGAGAACTCTCCTGTCTGGGCACGGAGGAGCCAAGCCGGCAGTGGCCACGACCCGGTCCGGCTCGTCGTCCGATGAGAGCTCACCAACAGCCATGGCGTTCACAGACGCCTTCGCTGTTTCAGGGCAGGATTTGACTGCGAAGGAGGAGGTGGCGATGGCATAACCTTGCTGTAACTATTCAACAAGAACAGAAAGGAAAAGTATAAGAGATAGCGAGAAATAAAGCCCGCCCAGTGTCCATCGAGTCACCCGTGACTCTTGCAAGTTTCGCTCAATGGCACATTGAGCCGGAAATAAGCAGTCCCGGGCATGGTTGCCCACTTTGATCTGATTCCCAACCTCGGATGGAGGCGGCTCGCGGATAGATTTGGGAGCGATGGGCCGGCCCGTCACCTCGGCACGGCAGGCCACCATCAAAATCGGTGCGAAAGGCGAGAAAAGACGGAACTTGGAAAGAAGAAGAAGAAAACAGGAAGAAAAGAAAAAGCAAATGAAGGAGAATGAACGAGGTTGGAATGAGCAATGAATGCAGTACTCTTCTTAGCTACCTTCCATCTACTTGGTTTGGGAATGGACACCCGGCTCTGTCGGCAGTGAGAGCTACAGAACAGAGCGAGGTTAAAAATACTGCTCGTACAACCAAGGAACACCTCATTGGTTAAGGGACACGGCCGGGCTAGCCATCAACGGTGCGGTACGGATAGGGGAGAGAGTTCGATGAAGAACCGATTGAGGTCCCAACTAACCCGATCTGTCATGATCGAAATAGCGAGTCATCGGAGAGCACTGGTCCAACATATCAGTCAATTGGACAAACTGTGTGACTTCAAATCAGGAAGCTGAGTCACCGATGATGAGGAATATGGAGATGAAAAGTGGTTTGACCATTCGAGGCCGTGGAAGACAAGTGTGCAGGTTCCACTCTCCACCAACCCCGCACCCGCGTATTTTCATGCCATAAAGGCCCTGTCAAGAGCACAGCCAGGCAAAGCAAAGAAAACTGGATAAGGGAGCAACAACTAATTCGTAACTGGGGTTGTAAGTCTAAGTCTGGGTAGGGCCCTCTGCTAAGTGGATGAGATGCTAAATATATGCGCAATGAGCTTTTAGCTACTGTAGTTATAGGTCTAACTAAGTTGTTCTCTTATAATTTGTGACGGCACGGCCCAGCGACTCGGATCGCGGGAATTTTATTCCGAGGTTGGACCCGATTTCCGATGTCACATGCCCTGATTGAGAGGGCGATTTGGGAAGTAGGACATGGATGCGACCAATCAGTGCATAGCAGGTTACTGGGCTCAAATGCCCTGCCCACAACGCTGGAATGCACCGATCTCTCTTTTACTCCCCATAGCTATTTGTAATGGAAAGCCAACGGCCATGAATTTACCGCATCGTAGTAATTGGGCACCAAAAGATAGGCAACCACTCAGTTGATGATAATCCTAGTGTCTGCGTTGTTCTAATAGTTGCAGGCCTCTTCTTGATCCTAAGAATACTAGTGCTAAAGTATTATTTATACCTAAACTGCTCTTCTTAACTATCTGCTAAACCTAATAGTTCGTCTTATAAAGTAAACCTACTGATCTGGATGTCACGGGCGGGCGCAACTGACCACTGCGTAACACCCTCAAAAGAGGGACCGTGGTTCGAATTGTCAAGTCGAACCAGGAGTTGTGCAAATGAACCTCACACTGTCACGACCCGTGACACTGGAGCTCGTCTTCAAATATATAGTAATCATTGCCGCTCTAATATCAGCTACTTACGAATCGGTAAAACTCTTATATAATAATAATAGTGAAAAAATAATCGCGATATGTAATATAAGTAGTCTTCTAATCTCTTTACTCATCAGGAGAAAGCTGGGGCCTTAGTAACAGGATTTTTCCTTAGTTTAGCTGCTGTGTTCATTAATATATAGGATCTAGACCTACTAGAACAGTAGGAATTAAGATTCAGATAGAAGTGTTGGAAGTGATGGCACTTGAAACTCGGAAACTGGGTTGCCGGTGTCGTACCCTGGTCAGGGATAATATGCAGCTGTTATATAAGGTCTGGGAGATACTCAGATAACTTGAGGAGAAGAAGAGAAGACAACTCAATTGACAGATTCTGGGCTGGTCCCGGGCACTCGAAAAGTTCACTGTTTTAACGGCTCTCATAAAGCGTGTCATCGTGGAATTGTGGCTGTTGGCTTCTAACAAGAAGTAAGAGTTTGTGATAGCACCTACTATTTGAGGTATGCGCTTGCTATGCTCTTACTTGTCTTGCTTACGCGTACCTCTACCTATACTAGTATTTGATCTCTATATGTGACGAATCTCAAAGCTCTAACTTCTGAAAGGGACTCCTGAGGGTTATATTCTGACAACGGGGTGAGGTTTGGTGAAGCCAAAGGGTTCACAACAAGCAATGTCCAAGGGTACTGACAATCTTGCACTTGAGTTGCTTACTGGAGAACTTCCAGAGTCCTCCAGAACGAGTGACTATATACTAGATACATTTGGTTGCTCTCTCGTGCTCTCTAGAGCCACCTAGAGCAATGCTACGGTGCTCTCGAGAGCCTCTTGGAGCGTCCTCTGATTGGCCTTGCACTGGTGCTCTCTCATGCTCCTGAGAGCTCTCTGGAGCACCTCCAGGACTCGTTCCGATTGGTCCTAAGTGATTGGCTCGGAACGTCCTACGTTCCCCACTGGCTTCTGCAAGTAAGCCGCCGCTATTGGATCTCGTTAGTTCATTTGTGAGACTATATCATGAGAGCTCTTCTAGCTTCTCTTTCTTTCTCTCTATGTGATAAGCAGAATAGACTCGGCATTTGCAGTGCTCTAATGCCTTATCTTAATGCTACTTATCTCTTATAGAGTTACTACTAAGGATATTGGAACTTATTACGGACATTGTCCTTGCTACAGTTAGGATTGTATTTCTATAGCTTAGTTAGGAGCTAGTAAGCCTAATTGTGTAGCTTACTAGTGGTTAGGCGCAGCTCTTTCCTATAAGATTTCCCTAAGAGCTGCACTCTGCCTACAATTTAGTTCCTCGTGTAAGGTGACACACACAAGCTCACCAAGGAAGATGCACCAAATCCGCAGCACTAAATAAATTTAAGACACACCTTATTTACTATATAGCCCGTCATATACCCTATAGATTTTTTAAAAACTCTTAATCCTTCCTTACCAATGGCAACTTTTCCTTAAAAACGAACTAGACCGGCATCGAACCGGCACCTACTTCCGTGACAGGGAAGTCCTCTACCAATTGAGTTCCTAGTTCTTCGAGAAACAGGCAAGGCGACTCTATTGTGCGTGCACCACTTGACCAACTAACTGATCCTTGAGAGAGGGAAGTTCCAAGTTCCAATCTGAGTCTCCCGCTCTCCAGATATCCTCCCTCTGTTGCGAGTCATGTCGCTTCGTCATGAAATCCACAGTGTCTCGCCTGCCAATAGCCCAAGTGTAGGGCTCATAGTGGGGCCGTGACACCTGGTGCAACTACACTGTGCTGAGCATCACCCAAGGTCCGGTCAGCTCGTATATACAAGATCGATATTTCTACAAGAGTAAGAAGAGGTAGATGACAGGAATGGGCATGCAACCAGACCTTAAGTATTGGAGCAGAGGCTCATACATAAGCATAACTACAGATGTATGCATCAGACTTATAACGTATGTATATAACAGGCATATGACATAACTATGGGAATAGGGAACGGGGAATCCCGTGACATACACCAATACTGGAGGATATGCAAGCTCAGTTTCTATACCTCGTCATACCTTCTCTCTTTGTTCCTTACTCATCGGGAGCCCTGTATAGATCTTTCTGCGAGCATATCTCTATAGCTGACTAGGTCCTTAGCTTTAGTAGTTGGTAGCACTATAAGTTAAGTATTCTACTATCTCTCTACTCCAGCCGCATTCGCAATAGGGGGAGAGAGCTCTCGGCCTTTATAAGGCTCTTATGTCTTTCTAGTGCCCTTTTATCAAGTTTTAGCTAGTAATCGGCTGGATGTATAGTGAGTAGGGCCTGGTTCCAAGCCTTACACCTGTCACGGATAGGCGCGCAATTAACCACTGCATAACACCCTCAAAAGAGGGCCCGTAGTTCGAACTGTCCAGTCGAACCAGGAGTTGCGCACATGAACTTGACAATGTCACTACCCGTGACAATACCATTGTATTCAGTTGGGAGTCTCCTGGGCCCTGTTGAACTGAACTGGCTCCTTGGCACCTGGATTTAGGGGCTGGGCACTGTTGCCCAATGCAGTAAGCGTGGAAGACTCGTCACCCACATAAAGGCAGGGTCTGGCGAGAGTCCCGAAGCCCTCGGTTCTTTCAAGCAACACGCACACATGACGCATGGTTCAGACAGCCTGTGACGGGCACCAAGGTTGGTCAGCTCGCACATACAAGATTGATACAGCGACGAAGAGAGCAAGATCTAGATGACAGGTGCAAGAGCAGGACGAGACCTCAAATGCCAGAGCCGAACACGTGACCAGGAGCGGGGAATCCCGTCACAGGCTTCTAGAGCCTATGTTCAAAGTCAGCTAGCCTCTTATTGAAATAGAAGTCTAGTAGAGAAATCTACATTTCAGCTGCGAGGTATTGGGTTAGGTTAAGCTTATAGGCTCCAGCCACTATTTATAGGCTCTTATACTTCTATATTATCCTCATTGGTAATAAGTAGAAAAATATCAATCACTAATATTTACGCAGTATACTATCACGAACCAACTATATATAGGCCTAGTGGGGCAAAAGACAGAATACCAGAGCTAATCATTCTCAGAGAAGCTACAGGTGTTGAACTGAGTGGGTTCCTTGGCACCAAGATTCATGGACTGAGCACTGATGTTCAATGCGAGACTCTCAGTCAGCACAGATCCATCACAATGACACAGTTCCTGACATAGCGTCATATCATGGCACACTGTCTCTATATAAGGGGGTAATTCCCCTGGGAGGATTAGAGAGGACGATTTTCTGTTCCAACAAAAAAGGGACATTCTGAGACACCCTAACCCACTATCTTGATCCTTCATTTGTGTGGTCACTCTGGAATCGTGACTCCAATTCAAGCTTCGTTTCATACCTCAATCTGTTCAATACCATTTGGTTGATCTAAGCTTACTTGAGCATGTAATTGTTGGCTGCCCAACAACAGGCACCCGCACGAGGCTCACACAGTAGCCGTGGGGGCCGGGCGATCAAGGGTGGACTTGGGTAGCTGGCTACCCAAGGCGATCGAGGATAGCTCTCGGTAGACTACGATTGTGGCGATCATGAAAACTCTACTAGTATATAGTCATTCGTTCTGAAGGGCTCTAGGAGTCCTCTACTAAGCAATACAAGCAGTTAGCTATACCTGCTATTGAGACATTTGTTTGTGCACTTGTTGTGAACCTTTTGGCTTCGCCGAACCTTACCCTATTAATAAGTTACAATCTTCAGGAGTCCTTTTCAGAAGTTAGGGCTTCGAGATTCATCATATATGCCTAGAAAAAGTCTATGCCTGATGAGTATAACCAAGCAAAGCAAAGAAAACTAGATACAGAGATAATCATTCAGTTAATAACTAGGGTTGCAGGTTTAAGTTTGAGCAGGGCCCTTTGCTAAGCAGATGGGATGTCAAATACATGCGCATTGAGCTCCCAGCTGGTTGCAGGTGCAAACCAACATGGCGGGACAGCTCAGTCCAATGCTTCTCTCCAGCGCCGGAACTCGCCGGCAACAGACGGGGAGTGACAATCACCAGTTCGGGCGACAGACAGGGCGACAACACACGCCTCGAGCATGTCGCTAACCAACGCCTCTCCGGTCGATGCCGCGAAGGCAGCCAAGTCGGCGTCGCATGTACTTGCGACGCTCTCGGCCGACGCCCGCAACGATGCGCTGACGGCCATCTACGCCGGCCTCACAGCAGCCCGCGACGACATCCTCGCCGCCAATGCCCGCGATCTCGAGCTGGCTCGCCAGGCTGCCGCCGACGGCAAGCTGAGCCAGAGTCTGGTTGCCCGTCTCGATCTCGGCAAGAAGGGCAAGTGGGAGGACATGCTCAAGGGCATTCTCGACGTGCGCGACCTCGAAGACCCCGTCGGCCGAGTCACGCTGCGCACCCGCCTCGACGATGGCCTCGAGCTGGAGCGAGTCACCTGCCCGATAGGTGTGCTGCTCATCATCTTTGAGGCCCGCCCCGAGGTCATTGCCAACATCGCCGCTCTCGCCATCAAGTCCGGCAACGCTGCCATTCTCAAAGGCGGCAAGGAGTCGACCGAGTCGTTCGTCGCCATCTCGCGCGTCATCTCGGCCGCTCTCGACAAGACCCAGGTGCCCAACGCCGCCATCCAGCTGGTCACCACCCGCGACGTGATCCCCGAGCTTCTCGCCCTCGACCAGTACATCGACCTGGCCATCCCGCGGGGCTCCAACGACCTGGTCCGCTACATCAAGAACAACACGCGCATCCCCGTGCTCGGCCACGCCGACGGGCTCTGCGCCATCTACCTCGAGGAGTCGGCCGACCCGTCCATGGCCGCCGACGTCATTGTCGACTCCAAAACCAACTACCCGGCCGCCTGCAATAGTCTCGAGACGCTGCTCGTGCAAGACACCGCACTGTCCACCCTCCTCCCGACCGTCGCCCGGGCGCTAGCAGCCAAGGGCGTCGAACTGCGCTGCGACGCCGCAAGCAAAGCAGCCCTGCAGGATGTTTCCAATCTAACGCTACTCGACGCCACAGAAGCCGATTTTACGACCGAGTTCCTCTCCCTAACCCTGGCCGTTAAGACGGTCTCGTCGCTTCCGGAAGCGGTCACCCACATCAACACGCACGGCTCGCACCACACCGACTGCATCCTGACGTCGTCCAAGGAGCAGGCTGAGCAGTTCATGGCGGCCGTCGACTCGTCGGGCGTCTATTGGAACGCGTCAACGCGTTTTGCCGACGGCACCCGGTACGGGTTCGGCACCGAGGTGGGCATCAGCACCAACAAGATCCACTCGCGCGGTCCCGTCGGGCTAGAGGGTTTGATGATCTACAAGTACAAGCTCAGGGGCCAGGGACAGGTGTCGGCCGTGTATGGGGAGGTTGAGGGGAAGAAGCGCTATCTCCATCAGAGGTTGCCTTTGAAATAGATGAAAATGCGTGAATGAAAATTAAAGGATGTTCAAAGTTCACTTTTGTCACTGTCATTGCGTGCGGCGTGATAAAGTCTTGTCCAATTGCCAAACGGGCATGCATCTGCGTTGACCATTTCCATGTCAGTCCCCTTTCCAAACAGAGGAGCCGTTTGAGATATACAGCTTTCACCAGCCTCGCACACAAATATCCGATCGGACCTTAACCACCCACTGAATGAGCTACATAAGACCAACACTGAGCAAAGACCAAACAATTGCCGCTGCCCAACGCCACCAACTTGCCTTCCACCGCTACAACAAACACTGCTATTGCCAACAACAGGGCCTGTCAAGCACCTCTTGTCCAAACAGGAGAGGCAGAGAGGTACCAACATGAAATGCACCAGCAACCCGCCTAGCCAAGCGCCTGTCAGTCAGCCAGCCAGACTCAACGGCCAAGAACCAAGCCTGAGCCTTGAGCGTGAGCATCATCCATACAAAAAAGAAAAAATAGTCATTACCCATCATCAAACTCGTCAACGTCACAGTTACTCATTTCATTCCGCCCTCTTTCCCTCCCCCCCTTGTTCAACGAAACACCGAACCCCCACAATCCCATTCATACCTTTTTCATCCACAGACCACCAGCCCAGCCCCAGCACCAAACCACAAGACGCAAACACCTCACTCCCCTCTCCTATACCCATGCGCCACACCACCACCACCGGTATGATAACTCCCCATCTTTTCAATAGAGCTCATGATGCCACCACTTCTGAGGCCCTGCCCCGACCCAGGCCTCGGCATCCCACTAACACCCGCGGCACTCTTGGTCCGCTCATGCGACATCCGCCCAATCCTGCTCTCGGCTCCCGACGACGTGGCCGTTTTCTGATTGTTGAGCCCCATCACCGCCCCGGGCGCCCTGAGACCCGAGGCTCTGAAGTTGCTGCCGCTGCTGCTACTGCCAGGGAGTCCGTTGTTGTTGTTGTTGGTGTGGCCCGCAATGGACATGCGAAGAGAGTTTGACCTCGCGATGCCGTTGGCACCACCAGGCGTCCTTGCCGTCGTGGCGGAAGAAAGCGAAGACGACTGTCTCCTATTCGGTGTCTTGGCGGTCACCATCGGGATCGGTTGCTGGTGCTGCTGCTGCTGAATGTGCTGCGCCGGCGGTTGCGGTTCTGGCTCCTCCGGCACGGAGGCGACAAAGCTCTGCATGTTCATCATCTCCTCCGCCAGCATGACCAGCTCCCCCTTCTCGACGCGCTCCCGCTCCAGCAACACCCTCAGCTCGGCATTGTCTGCCTGCACCGTCTTGAGCACGGCCTCGACCTTCTCGACCTCGGCCTCGAGCTCCCTGATCTGCGCCGCATCCCGCGCCCGCTCGGCCTCCAGCTGCGCCAGCCGGGCCGGGTCGATGCCGCCGCGCGAGATGGTGCTGTTGGCGTGCCGCAGCTCGTCGTTCTCGGCACTGAGCTGGTCCACTTGCGCCTGCAGCTTGCGCACCTGCTTTTCCCAGCGGTGCTCGTAGCTCTTCTTCAGCGCCGCCACCTTGGTCTCGTGCTTGCTCTTGTAGAGGCCGTGCAGCTCGCGCGCGACGCGCTCGACGGCAATCTCGACCTCCTTGTTGGACGGCAGCGGTCCTCCGTTCGATTTGTTCTCGGCGGCGGCGGCGGCGGCGGCGGCCTCGGCGCTGGCCTTACCAGCCCGCATGCCCGCCATCTTGCTCTCGGCTTCCTGCGCCATCATCTCGGCCGCCTCGCGCCGCTTCTCAGCCTCGTCGAGCTTGAACTCGAGCTCCTCGCGCTCGCGCGTGCTAATCACAATCTCCTCCTTGACTTTGCGGAGGACCGCCTCCATCTCGCGCCCCCGCCGTTCCCAGCTGTCCCGCTCCGTCTGCAAGCTCTCCTGCGTGGCCTGCAGATCGCGCAGCTGCTCCATGCACTCGCCCACCCGCTTCTCGGCGTCGCCTACGGCCGTCTTGAGCGAGAGCACTTCGGCTTCTTTCCCGCTGAGCGACGCCTTGAGGCTGCTGATCTCGGACAGGAACCCGGACTTGAGCGACTCGAGCTCGCGCGGCGTGATGGTGGGGATGCTGCGCGGGGTCGGCGCTGGCGGGATGTCAAAGTCGAGGAGGTTGACGAGGTTGTTGCGCTGCGGCGTGGCGGTCGGGTTGAGAGGTGGTCCCCGGGGCTGCTGCATGTGGCCTCCTCCGCGCCGGGACGGGGTTGGCTGCGCGCCGCCGTAGGTGCCGTAGCGCATCTGCTCGGTGAAGTCCATCAGGTTGGTGGTGTTACCGCCGTCGTACGAGCCGTTGCCGCGTGGTGTCCTGGACGGCGTGGCACCCTCTGGCCCCCTGCCCGAGGCCCGTGGGGTCGATCCGGCCAGGACCGAGAACTTGGTCGGGCTGTCGCTCCGCATCTGCGTCAGCATCGTGGGGTTGAAGGCGCTGAACGTGCTGACCATGGTGTCGTCTGCGACCGAGTGCTCCTCCTCGGCGAGATGGCTCTGCTCGTGTGCTGCAGCTTCCTGTCCCATTGACAAGGTATGGTCGCCCTCGTGGTCTCCGTCCTCGACAGCGTCGTGCATCGCGTTGACCTCGTCCTCGAAGATCTCAATGGCATGCTTCAGTCCCTCGTTCTCCCGCACAACATCCTGCAGGCTGCTGCTCGGGCGCTCGCCCGACGACCGGCGCTCCTCCTGGGATGACCGCCGCGGCGACTCGTTCCTGATGGCGGCAGCACCCGGCTGGCTCACCTTGACGGGAAATCGCTTGATCGGGCCCGCCTTCCGGGGACTCTGTGGCAGTGGCGGGGGAGGCATGCTCCTGGCCGGAGACGATGCGTCTTCGCCGGCGGATTGTGCTGACTGTTGGTTTTGCGTCTGGGCTTGGAGGCATGCGAGCTTGAGCGGGGAGAGCTCGCTGCCCGAGATGATTCGAGACCCCGGGCGGGGTTTTGGCGGTGAGGGCCCTCGCGGTGTGGGAGAGGCTACTTCGTCCTTGATCTGCGGAAGATAGGCTGGGCTGTCGGCGTCGTGGTCATGGCTGGCCCTGCGGTTCTCGGCGTTGACGGCGGGTTTGTGGGCGTAGTATGTTTCGTGGTGCAGGCCCGACGGCGTCGAGTAGTTGAGCGCCGCGCTGGGGGTTGGCGACAGAGGCGCGGCCATGGTTTTACAGGAGTCCAGGATACGCCAATGGCTGCTTGTCGCTGATCGCTAGTCAAATTTCAAGTTCAATTGTCCGAGTGGTGATGGGTGTTTGCCAAATTGGGAGTCTCGCGCTGGATTGTGTGTGTCCGGTGTTCGGTGGTGCCAAAGTGGTTGTTCATCCCTTCTCGGAAATTGCTTTGATTGCGATCGTGCCTGTCGTTGGCCAATGAGGGAGAGGCTGCAGCCCCTGTTTACGGTTGTGGCCCAGCAACCAGGCCATCACGTGTCTACCCCTTTTCAGTCTCCACAATAGCATGTTGAGAGGCTCGTTTCTATCCCATAATTTGTAACCACCTAGTTACCTAATAATAGAATCTGAACTCCGTAACGTTGATTGTATTCAAAGGAACAGGCATAGAGTCAGTTACCATGTATGGCTGGCTGGTCCTGGATCCAAACAAAACCGCTAAAAGCAAGTCCAATCCTTCTCTGCTTGGAGATCGTCTTAATCCTTGTCATCAATCACAATGGAGTTTCGACCACGACTGTCGGCGCTCCAAATGTAAGAACCATGTCTGTCATGTGGCACGGAACAAAGACATACATCGCACACAAGGAAGACAGCAGACGGAAGAGAGGTAAATACTGCCAGAGAATTCAACACTACACTATGAACACTTGTACTGTCATAACGACTGATCAACAACGCTAGGGTGTGTTCAAAACAGAAATCTACCACCATGAAGTCCCCCCGTGTATCAAGCATGAAGCCCCTTTTACGGAAGCCCCCTTCATCAAGTCGTCATCAGAAGGTGAAAAACAACTTCCCTCAACAGGCCACCTCACCCCTGTGCCGTTCCCTCTTTCTCAACCCCCCAGTTTTTGAAAACGAAATCAAATGGAAATCGTTGGTCATAAGCGTCATAAGCAAGGAGACGAACATGAGCACAGGAAAGGGAAACGACAAGACGAGAAAGCCGTGCCCTGGCCGTGGTGTCTGATATACCATACCAGAAACCGCTCAGATAGGCGCCGACAACTCTCAAAATGATTCCCGTGTTATTCGTTCGTTCGTGCCCGTCGTCATGAGTGCAGCCGCCTAGGATCGTAAGCAGGCGCCGCATCTTTTTCTTTCCGCCAAGACAAGAAGAAAAAAAGAGACAAGGTCGTCCATCCGCCGAGCGAGCCGCCAGAGCCCAACCTGTACGGGGCCCCATTAGATTAGACCCAATCCCATGCAAGCCGTCATCCATCAAGCCCGTATACAACCAATATTCAGGACATTGACACAAAGAGAATCGTCAGCGCTGAAAGGAGCGTCTCCGAAAACACTACGCCCTGGCATGGTCATCGCTTTCGGAACGAATACAATAAAGAGCCTCATTCGCAGCTTCGGCTCGGTTCATAGGGGCGCATCGAAGCTTCATCGCAAAGCTCACGGCGTCCAAGACGCTGCGCCGTCTCTTCTATCGACGGCGTTGCGAGGCCACCGCGGCCGTCGACTGCGCCATCTGGCTGTTAAAGGTCGGTGAGGGCATCGAGCCGGGCCCGTCGAGCATGCCCTTGCGCCGCTTCAGGTCTGAACGGTCGTCGTCGTCGTCTCTGCTACGTTTCATTGAAGTCCCGCCATTCAAGATGGGTGGTGGCTGGGTAGAATACCCGTTTTGCATGGGAGCCCCCATGTCGCCTTGGTTGCCGTACACATCGTTGGAGGATGCGCCGTTCGTAGAAGCCCGCTCATTGCTCATGACGCTGTACAAGTTGCTCGAGGCCTGCCCGACGCGCGGCGGGCTGCTGTATCCCTGCGACGCATAGTACGACTGCGGAGCGGCGGCGGTCCTAGGCGTGGCCCGTCCTGACCCCGCCTGGTGAGGAGATCCAGACATCTCGGGCGACAGATGAGAGTGGTCGTTCTGGAGCGAGGCCACGGCGGGGGCGCTGTAGTTGTATGAGCTCCGGTTCGTGTCGTACCCACCGCTGTTGTGCGTGTATTCAGGATCATGATCGTGATCCGCCTCCTCTTCAGCGCCCGTCGCGGGCACCACCTCACCCTGTCCGTTATGCATCATGCCATTAACAGGCTTCGACTCGCCCTGTTCGCCGTTAGGGACCCCCGCCCGAGCTGATGGAGGACCCATCTCGCTCTTTACGTATGTGGCGTGCCCATACATCGGCCTCTCCTGAGCACTCGAGCCCGGAGGCGGATACGTCGGCGGCGGAGCTCCCGACTGCTGATAGATTGGGCGAGAGTTGTCGTATGGCTGGCTCACCGGAGGATAAGACTGCATGCTCTGGATGGAAGAACCAGGTGGGGTTGTTGCTGGCGTGTTGGGCAGGGATCGGTTGTTGTTGCCGAGGCTCGTGTCAATCGAGATGTGGCTCGACTGCTGGCCGTTGCCCATGCCTTGCTGATTCCAGGGGTAGCCATCCGAATTGCTCATACCGCTCATAACGGCCGAGGCTGGCGGAGTAGGGAACGAGTGACCTCGATCCATCGACGGACGGCCCATTGGCGCAGGTTGCGAGGAGAGCTGGCTCTGAGGCCCCGGCAAGGCCAACGGCGGGTGAGGCTGGTGCAGAGAGGGCAGTCCCGGAGGATTCTGACCAGGCCTTCTTTGCGCTGCCGCCATGACTTGGCTCGTCCGAGCTGAGTTGGTAGGGTGGCAGAGCAGTGCACCAATGTTGTGCACAAACAGCGGATAAAGGAGCTCGGTGATCTTTTCCTTGTTGGCAAAATCCAGGGCTCTCTCGAATGGAATCCTGCAGAATCATTCGAGTTAGACCGGGCTGACTCTTGGCAGACGTTTCAATAAACAAAACCTACCAGACTCCTTTCAGATGCATCGGGCCAATCTTGACGACATGGCGGACCTTTTCGCTCTTGAGAATGCCATCGCGCCGGCCGCGCGTCATTCCAGCAACGTTCAACAGCTTGGTGCCGTTGATCATGTGGTTGTCTAGAGAAGGGGTCAGATGCAGCACGACATCTGGGACTTAACACGGGCTGCTCAGGTTTACCTTCTCTGCGCGCAACGCAAATGCCCCTGGCCTCGACTTGGAAGCAAAGGCTCCCTTCATCCTCCCACAAAGTGGCTGTGACGCGGGGCTTCATGCCCACTGGCGCAACCTGGCCGGTCGTGTCGAAGGTGTTCGAGTACGCCGCCTGGCTCATTCCAGATTGACTAATGCCCGGGAGTGGCAGGACGGGTTGCGGCGCGCTCAATTGGTTGGAAACTGAGGGTGGTCCCGCTGCCGAAGTCATCGCATTGGCATAGCCGTACTGGGTGCCATACTGCGGCGGAGGGTAATGACCGGGAACGGGTTGCAATTGAGGCGGCTGAGAGTGCGGATGAGGCTGCTGGTGCGTGTAGGCGGATGTGACTGTCTGCGGCGGCGGGGCCTGGCCGGCTGACATATGCGACGGGTAATACATCTCAGTTGCTGTCGAGTTCATGGCAGGGTAATGATTGTATCCGGATGGTGCCTGATCATGCGGCCCCGGGATAGCAGGACAGTTAACGAGCGTGGGTGAAAGAGGACCTGGGGTCTTGGGCCCGTTCGAAGACGCGGCCGACGTGAACGACGACAGGGAACCGAGGTTGGAGCTCGAAGTTGATGATATGGAGCCAACCCGGGGGGACGCGCTGCTCGAGGAGTATGACTGGGAAGCGTGCGGGAAAGCCAACGGTGGCAATCTTTCGCTAGCAGACGAGGGACGCGTGAGGTCTGCGTGGTAGTAGGGCACCTCGTTGTTCGAACCCCGGGTTTGCGGATGAGCAATGGTGGAGGAATCCAGCTTTGCGGTTGCTGATGCTGTTATATGTACAAGCCGAGTTGTTTGAGCCGCGACGCGCTACACTCGACACGCGCAATGCGTGGAGTTGCCGGTGCTTGCAGGTGCAGAGTCTCGGATGGATCAACTGCAGGCGGCTAGCAGGTAAGCACAGACAGTGCGTCTGTCTGCACGAAGGCTTTCTGATCTCTTGACTCAAAGGCCGTCTTGACGTCAAGTGGAAGCCGTTCGCATGCGAGGCTACGTCGATACGCGCATTGCAATGTCAGCATGTCTGCAGGTCCATGCACGAGGTTTGAGATGGGACATCATCGGGTTGAGCTGCACTGCAAGCTCTGACCAGGAGGGACGGCTGTGTGGGTTCGGAGGAAAAACTGGGAAGATGGGACGGACGCAAGAGTGGGGGACTGGGACAAGACCGAAGGGACATGGAAACCCACCTCACGCCGGATTAACCTTCACTGCACCTTCCACGGAATGCCCCTCGAAAAAAGGAGATTTGGGAAGAAGCGTAAGCTTGCGAGAAGAGAGGAAAGAGAGGAAGGAGAAACGGCCCAAGGGGAGCGGCCGGATTTAGGTGGAGTGGTGGTCAGAGGGGAGGAGAGGTCGGTTCGACGGCCGATCAGCGAGCAGCAAGCCTTGAAAGAGAAAACCGAACACACAGAAAAGAGAGAACGAGAAACGGCCTCCTGGCTTGTGCTATGTAACTCCACTAACCGGAAAGGTGCGCTGGGCAGAACAGCCTTCTGCCGCGCTGCTGGACCCCCGGCCTCTCGCCAGCCGCCGGTTTAGCCAGTCAAGGGGCCCGAAAAACACCCACTGCGGGAAGGCCAGAGACCAGGGTAGCAATCGAGAATCAGGAAACGCTGACCCTCGCCAACGCAGACTGTTCTAACCACACCCCGCGCACGCTTCCAAGTTTGAATTGGCTCCAGTTTTCAGTTTGGTTCCCCATGGGCATGATATGGTTTGACATGCTTTTTTTTTTTTTCAAATGCTAATATTGTTAAAAAGCTGTCCTAGCTTTGCTCATCTCAGCAGCAAAGTGCGTATCGTTCGTTGGGCGTGATCTGAGCAGGCGTTTTCCACCCCAGCCCAATCGACAACGTGGGTCCGCCCAACCCCCATCTGATTATCCTTGCAAGTCGAACTTTGTGTTTGAGGGGTCCACGTATGAGCGAAAAGTCGACGTCCGTGCGGTCCACCAGGCACACTGTGCACGGCCCCGACCGTCGTGCAAGGTTCAACTTCAGGAACGACGCGGGGTTGGCAGAGCAGGAAACGACGTTTGTTGAACCTTTCTGTTCTCACCTACATAGTATGACATTGCCAAGTAATCGTGTCCTCCTTTCGCACGCTTCATCCTTCGGGGCTCTCAAGCAGACGGGATTGGAGGGGAAAGGAGGCGACCCTATTTCTGATATACACTTTGTTCGCTTTCGCCATGCCCTGCTGCGAATACGGCCCGATCTCCTCGGATGAGAGGCCCATCGCAACAACCGATTGTTTCCCTTCAAGATCATTTGGTTATGCCTGCAAATTCCGAGTCTTCGGCGCTGGAGGCACTGGATCCAATTTGCATGCTTGTCGTCTCAACCGCGAGAGCCCGTATATGGATGCTGGGTGGATGGGACCCCATGGAAACGCTCCGATTGATGCAATGCATATGTATGCAAAGGCAGCTGATGAGCCGTTTGGAGCTCAGCCGCTGACGGCCGTCTGCTCTATCTGCATCAGGCCTGGTTGTCGGTTGCTTTTCAAACTTGGATCACTTGGGTCAATTGTCATTCTTCGCATTCGTCGGTCGTTCATTTTCCAGACCGGTCTGTTTCGCCAGTCGCCAGCTAGCAAGCTTGCAGGCGAAACATGAAGAGAACGTGCTCGAGGTTGGGCGAAAACCCCCCAGTTCATACTACCGAGGACTCCACTGCATGCAGATGCAGGACCTGCAATCGATCGAGATCTGAGTCGAACATCACTGCAACGCCATCCTCTTACCGTTGATCTTATGCAGCAGGGAAACTGCCCTGGCCCTTGTGTTTGAAGACTTGTCTGCAAGAGACTCAAGATGGCATCTGACAGCACAGCTTTTAGAACCAGAAGGCGATTAGATTGCGAGCGCTAAGGCGACCGATCCTCGGGTCGACGGCTTCGAGCTGGGTCACCACGAATCCCCTTCGACTCGTCTGGCACCAACTGACCTTCTGGGCGGCCGAGGCTCGGTTGAGCGCTAAACACGATGCAGCGCGCTGTGGCGCGGCCCGATGCAAGTCTTGGACACGCACACCAGCCCAGGTCCCCATGCTTGTGCCCTTGTCAACTGCCGTGCCAACGATGAGGCGGGCATAAAAACGTGGGTGGGTAGGCGCAGCATAGTCAGTATGGCGGTAGGGAGTATGGCGATGTGAGAACAACGACGCACTGCTCGATCTCATGCTCGATATTCTTGCCGCCACTGCAGTACCGGAACTCGAAAGGATGAAGCGCCCGGCTCGAGTTTCCCCTACATCGGTCGCTCCGAAAAGGCCCCGTACATGGTCTTCTCGGCCTGCTCGACACTTCGAGGATTACACACGCCATTAACCTTCTAGACTGTCCTGCACTAGGCGGGAGCAGAGGGTTGCGTGCAAAGGATGAAAGACGTCGGCTGGTCAGTACGACACGACCAGGAGTCCACAAAGGCTAACTGTGCCGCCGAAGAGAGAACGATTGTCTATCAGATTGTCCAGGGCATTTGGGCACCCACTCACAAGGCAGAGATCCTCATGGCGACCACGACCCCGATCCTTCTCGCCTCCGTTACCTCGCACTGTGGGAGATGCAAACATTGCTCCCAAAAAAGCATGTCGACCTCATCCTCCAACCATCTCCCGCCCGTGGGACACGGCCGCAGCCGCTCGTCCCCAGCGCCACTTGCAGAGCTGTTCAGAGTTGCACCTCGCGTGCCCCCCAAGTATAGGACGTGAAACCTCTGAGAGGCTCTAATTGACGTCCATGTTCACAAGAAACGGGACCTCCACAGAAACTCCAGGTTTTCTCGGCATGCAAGGATTCCGATCTAGGCTCCGCGGGCTCGACAACACTTGCATACCGGACAATGCACAGCGGTTAGATGCTTGTGCGTCCATCTCTAATCATTGAGCTAACCAATCATGGCGACAGGAGACATTCTCTGGATGGCGAGGAGAGGGGTGCTCATTGTGTTTCAGCCGCTTGCTTTCGGCAAGGCGGACTGACGGTGCGCGCTCCCCTCCTGCGCGGGCAAGTTGACTTGCAACATGGCCACCTACATGGGGCTGCGCAAGACTTGCTCCCGCTCCCTACCGGTGGACCTTGAAGCGATGCGAACGACGCTGGTACCTGGGGTGACGCGCAGCTCTCAATTTCCCCGAGAGTCGAGACTCGGGGCTTCGATACCACCTCAAATGGTCAGGACGTGGCCCGGGACAAGAGCCGGTTCTTTCATGCGAAGAACGCCAGAAAACTGGGAAGCCGGCCTGGATGAGGGTGTCGTAATAGCGAACCCTGACTTTCTTCGGGTTTGGCTTTATCTTGCGCGCCAGCAGCTGGTGGGTTGTGGTACGGAACCCCTCTCAATAACCCAATCAGCGCGAACCACGTCTCAAGCCCACACCCACAATGGGAAATGTTATCGAGGGAGCAGGCTGACCCGGACAGCCTCCTCTTCATTCCGAAGGGACGGCTTTCCAAACGACTCTCGACGGTTTGCTAACAAGCAGAAGCGCAGCAAAAGTTGACCATCGATCTCGAAAGTCTCGACCTCCCAAGATTCGCAACTTGTCGCATCGGTTTCGCCACACATGGATCAGCCCTAAGCCCTGTTCTGCTCCACACGTTAACTTCCCCAACCCTTCGGGAGGACGATAGCATCTGCACATCATAAGGCATCCCCAAACCCTCTGCACACCAGCTCCCTGCGTTTCCTATTCGCCGGAAACAATCTGCACGCGCGGACCGTTTTCCGCCTTACATGACAGCCAGGATGGGTAAAGTGGTGGTATGTGAGTGGGTGGCACAGCCGAGGGGAAGCATCCTTCTCGACCCCTCCTCTACAGTGCGGCTCGGCATGGTCCGCAGCAGTGACTTTGCTGTTGCTCACAACGGCGGAATTTCGAGACGGGCCTGTCTATGGACCGCCATTGAGCCCGTTCCCAGGTTTAGAACGTACATGCCAGAAGGCAGCATCTTCCGGGTTTCTCATCACTGTGTACCTCGGGCGGGTTTCGGTCCAGTTCGTCCCACCATCAACAGCCCTCTCATCTAGGTATGGCCCTTGACTTTTAGCGGGTACCTCTTCCCGAAGGGTGTGCGGCGCACTGTGCTCCCTTCTCTCACAGCACGGCTCTTCACCGCTACTCTCGGGCCGCTACATCAACGCCCTCCCGTTCCCTCGGCTCGCGCTTGAACACGCGGTGCCACTGACGATCCTGGAATCGACTTCGCCAATCAGAGGCTGCCAAAATGGCGCTCCCTAAGCATCCTCATTGCTCCAACCATAATGTATGGCCTCGCTTCTCGTGGTGCCCGGCTGGATCATCAGAGGCGACTCCGGAGTATGGATAATAAAGTCTTCGTTTCGTGCCCGTACGGTATTGTATCAGAGGGTCTAGTACGTAGGTGACGGAGAGTTTTACCATCATGACCTGCGGGGGTATGTGCAATGAGTGATATATATAATCTTTGCTCCTGGCAAACTACCAGAGGACCGGTAGATCATGGTAAGCACGTATGGCGCAGTATCTATTCATCTACTATATAGCTTTGTAGGCACCGCGGAATTCTCCGTCTCCAGCCTCCGTTTCGGCCCCGTCATTCGCAACTTACTCCGTACAAAGGCTCAACCTCGAAGCGAATCTGACAGCGACGACAAACTAGGAGTAGCCCAGGAAGACAATATTGAACGAAGTACCGAGCAGCTTCCTGCGTGTGCGTGTCAACTCATACACAGATCTACACAGTACGAAGTAGACGACCAGTCCCTCCAGGCCGGGCCGGCATCTTGCCGCGGGCCCCAGCGGGGTTTTAGATGGCTCCCTTCGCCGTGGGTTAGAGCCATTTCTCTGCGAAGAGGGGCGCGATAGCACCTCAGGTCGCCTGCCAAGCTGTCACTCCCTGGTCGTGGCCGCGCTTGAGAGGACTCGGCTCTTCCACGCCACCCAGGCGCCTCCGGAACATTGTGCCTGGAGCCCCTTTGAGGGAGGAGCTTCTGTGCTCTACGGATACACTGTATGGAAAGCTCTTCTCTCTCCATATGACATGTCATACACGCATGTGCCTACATAAGGTGCTTGAGGGACCTGTCAAAAGTCGCGGCGCTTAAGAGGGAGACGCAGCAAATGCACCTCACAAGCGCGCGCAAAAGCGAGCTGCAAGCGCTGTACATACGGAGCGCAGTATCATACGGATTGGTTCTATTGTATCCATACTTTCACGATACAACTGGCATGCTGCATTGGTCGCGCAGGAAACAAGAAGCCTGGCCAGCCCGGGGAGCAGCAAAGCAGCAAAGCTAGCGAGCCCAAGCCCACCTGCTTCGCCTGCGGACGAACCACAGCATGCTTGATTGACAAGGGGGGAAAAGGGGATCAGCAGAAGAAACGCGGCAAGGGTTGCGCTGCATGGAAGGGTTCCTCGAAGAGGGTTCCACAAGTTCGCGGTTGGTCTCGGACACGCAGCATCCCCGAACGTGCAGCCAGATCTTACCCTTCCAAGATCGCGCGCAGACGTCTCTGATCGATCCGTTTTGATGTGCGCAGGACTGGACGGCCCGGGGAATGGTAACAGATAAGGCGGCTCCAGATCAGCGCCTTCGTACGGTGAACTCCGACCTGACCTCAGGAAAAGTATGTTGCATCCAAGTGATGATGCCGTCGACGATTTAGAACACATATTTAGTAGCCACGAGTCGGCGGTCAAAAACACGGCTTTTCCGGGATGCAAAAACAGGGTGTCCTGCATGAAACTGCCGGCGACCCCCTTATGTGTCCTATCTGTCCGTTCCCGGGTTTGACGGCATGCAAGACGCAACAACGGCACAGAAGCCCAAGACAGACGCAGGACGACACAATCGGAGGCACATCTAGCAGGTAAGTGTCGCAGGGTGCGTGGTGCAGCTCGAGTACCGGGGAATGCTGTGCTTAAAGTTGGACAGGCGTGTGGACGGAGGGTATCAAAGATGACTTGATAGTGTACGGAATATCCGTAGAAGACTGTTCTTATTGATCAAGTGCTGTGCTTCGTAACAGAGGCAGTTGTGTATATCTGGTTGTCATAGCGCCGAGGTTCGCAAACCCGGTTCCCTTTTTCTGCGCCCCACGCGCGGGAGAAATTGGGACTGCACAGGGCGCCGCGAAAAGATTGCCTTTATTGGTTACCTATATTGTCTCAGACGGTAAATGGTGGTGTACCGCTGGAGAGGAAGGCGAACCGGCAAGTCCGTACTCCGACACCGTACTTTCTAGAGCAAGTCGAACTCGGGCTCTAAAAGTTGAGCCGCGAATTTGAATATGCTGTAGATGGATTATCATAAGGGAAACTCTACCGATACGAACGAGTTCCTACCCCTACCTTTTTACCCCCCAGTGGGTATTACCGTATGCGCACGAAGGACTCGACATGGGATGAGCCGATGTTTCCTGGCTCAAGCTCCTGTTTGCCTCTGTTCCCAGCTTGTGGTTGTCGGTTGCCGTTCCAGGTTTCGCTTTTCGGATCGGGAGGTTGGTGTTGAAGTCCCACTGCCAAGTACTGTACAACAGCTGGAGGCCAGTGGGGAAGTGGCGGGGGTGCCCAGTTGCAGAGAGGCGGGACAGAGAGAGGGGTAAACATAATCGGGAACATGACAGAAATGCAGAGGCTACGGAAAGAAAAAAAAGGAATACCCTAACTGTGATGGTTCACCCCAATCATTGAGAAGCGAAGCTTTTGACCACTCCTGTGTGGCGCGGGCACGCCAATCCACAGCATGTGAAAATCGCTGGGCATCCAATCTTCCCTCGAGAAACTCTGCCGCCAAAGCTCTGTCAATGAAGCTCTCGCTCCTTCCTCACTCCTCCATGTGTAAACACAATGTCAGAGTTTCGTCATGGAAGCTTCGCTTCAACAAGTGTGCCCTTCTGATTTGTGGTGACCTGATGGAGGATGGGATGTGTTTTTCTACTTGTTGATCACTTAGCGGCTTGGGCTGTTATCTGTCAATTGCCGTAGGAGACTTGTTCTGCATAAGAATATTGAACGATTGACTTACTATTATTCCCGTAGACCAAAGATGATGGACCGGACGACAAGACAAGACGCCAATGGGGAATTGCAGCTCATATTCCCAGGTATGGGATGTATGAAGGGCCCTGCTTTCCTGGATAGCCTGCGCTACTGCGTATCGGCAGGGCAAGTTGTGCATAAACCGCCTTGCAGCGCAATGGAAGTGGTAAAGTGTACAATGGGAACCCCGCCGATTTCCCATGCAGCCTTAGCTTCGACCGATAAGTATCCACTTCGACGCAGATCCCGTGAGATCCAGATTATCGAGAACCGCAAGTACAGATCTCCGCAGCCGGCGTTGCGGTGCTATGCATCGACCGCCTTATGAGCTTGCTGGTTGCGGCGTCTCAAGGAGGCAAAGGCGTGCATTAGAAAAGTTCAAATATGAAACAGGAAACGAAACCACATGAGAAGGTCCAGCAGCGTCAATCTTAATGTCGACTTCGATCATAGTGACGGGAGCAATGGCATCCTGCAAAGGCATTGGCCCCTCATGCATCTGGGGTAAGAGTGATGAGATATTGTGGGGTTTGCTCGACTCATCAACACCGTTCGCAAGGTCTCAGGGTGCTTCAGCATTGCGACGCTGTATATGTGTATCACAACGCTATGGCCTGTTCCCGTAATGAGAAGCCAACAGGGTGTGCTGCACTCAACAACTGATGCTTGGAAATGAAGTTGACATTATCAGTGGGAATTCTCGGGAATTCTTCAGTTCGGCCCTCGCAATCATGTGACTTGGCGTCTGTTTTCAGGCAGGAGCAGGAAACATGAGGCGGTTGCCTGGTGGCGACGCGAGTCGTGCCTTCAGGCCGCGGTGGAGTGGCACGCTCGCTATTTTCCGCTTCATCTCAACGATTTTTGTCGTTTTCGAGCCCTGATGATGAGTCGACTCAAACATGACGATTATTTCTCAATGGTTTCTTGATTGCCCAAGCTTCCCCATTTGCAATTCATTCTCCTCGCGATGCCACCGCCACAACCCAAGCTGCCTCCGCCGGCGGAGCCACGATACAGCCGCAGCTTCGATCCATGGAACTCGGTAGCGGCAGGCCACCAGCGACCGGAAACCCGCGGCCCGCAGGGATGGCGCGAGTCGCGGAATCTGAAAATGAACAGCCAGTTCCGAGCGGGAAACTCGGGCGGCGCGCGCATCTCAGACACGGTCGGCGTCGGCTCCGAGAATTTTGACGAGCGTCTCGGCATGCTCGTGCCCAAAGAGGTCCGGTCTCGCGCCATGAAGAGCGCGGCCGACATGTTGCGGAACCCGGGGACCATGCGAGCACCGTCAGCATCATCATCCACACGAGCTTTCCCACCGGGAGAAGGGACGGGAAGTGAAGAGGGCATCAAGGACCCCAGTCGTCTGACAGCCGAGGAGAGACTCAGTCTGGTTCGTAAGGCAGAAGACGAGGCGCGCGAGGAGGAGGAGACCCAACGAGCCCGAGAGCGCAACATCTTCGACGGCCTGGTCGTTTACGTCAATGGAAGCACACACCCGTTGGTGTCAGATCACAAGCTCAAGCATTTGCTTTCCGAGAACGGTGCGCGCATGTCTCTCCACCTGGGCCGCCGGCAGGTTACCCACGTCATCCTGGGGAAGCCGTCCGGCCCGAACGGAGGTGCCGGCGGTGGCCTGGCGGGCGGCAAGCTGGACAGGGAGATCCGGCGGGTTGGCGGCTGCGGCATCAAGTTTGTCAGCGTCGAATGGTAAGGTTGCGTGATGCACTCACCCTCGTTTCCTCCCCCACTTCTCACGCTTTGTTCCCTTCGGCCACCCCATTCCTGTCTCGGGTAGCATGGATACTGTGCAGAAACAAGCTGGCTGACGGACCATGGTACGCCAAACCAGGGTGCTGGAGAGCATCAAAGCCGGCAAGCGACTTCCCGAGGCGCGCTTCGCCAATCTCAAAATCGCCGCTCGGAGTCAGCAGAGTGTTCTCGGAGCCTTCTCGAAGGCCGACGGGAACACGCAGCAGCCAACCGAGAGCACCCCTGGGAGCTGACACACACCGCCCCTTGGTAGACGTTTACGCTCCCCCCACTGCCCTACCTGCTTTTTGCTTTTCCATTTCCTTTTTTCTCTTCCCTCTGGTTATTCTCACAGACGATGGCGAAGGTGGGACAAGGCTACCGTGTAAGGGCCTGTCTTGTTTGCTACAGCCACGTCTAACTGCAGGTATATATTGCCTTGCATAGGAGCGAACGTCTGGATAGGCTCAATGGGTTCTGGTCGCACGATGAAACGTGGCGCTTAACGGGTATTTGCATCACGACGTCGCATTTTGCATCTGCATTGTGCATTGGGAGGTCGGACAGGTTGGCGCTAGGAATGGCTTGCATGACTTGTGCTTCTCTGGGCTCAAGATCTACCGTATTTCAAACCGCTGGTTGGCTGAATGTTCTGTTTACTCTAACCTCTGTGTTGTCGAGGCCAACGGTTCAGCCTCAAGTCCCCAATACCATTGGAGTCAGCTCGAGATGGAGTGTGCCAGCATGGAGCTGCTACACTTTTAGCTGTCAGTGGCCAGATTCTCCTCCTCATCAGGAGAAGGGGAGCTCTGCGACGACCAGCGAGCTTCTAGGTGCGTACAACACCAGCTGTCACGGGATCCAGCTGGCTCGACAGAGTTGCCCATGTCTCGGCTCTAGGCGCAGGCCTACGTCCCGCTTCTGTTCACGGTTACCCAGTTACACCCAGAACGTTCGAGTCGTTGTAACCCTTCTCTGCAGGGTATCGTCGGATAATTTCCTTGCCCGCTGCTCGCCCACCTCCCTCACCCCCTCAGCCCACGGCTCTCGGGTCATACATATTTCATTGCACCCGCACTATCGAGATGGCCGGGATGGTGCTTGTGCTGTGTGGCTGCCTGCCGGTCTCTCCTTGACCAGCCCCATCCCTCGGGATGCTGTTCCGAGCCTCACCCCTTTTTGGCCGTCCTCCCTGAGATACCTAGCTGGGGCACACAACCCTCTCTTTCACGGCCAATTACTGGCTCCCTCCCTTGCCAGATCTATATCTCAAACTACGCTACCCACCCTCGCGTGTCACAGCCGGGTCAACACGAAGCGGTAAGCTGGGAAGAAAAAACAAAACTCTCTTTCACAGTCAGGGTCGTACCTTGTGCCCCAACCGCCAAGCCTCGTGATGGAGGCGTGTCCTTCATTTCCTCTCGTCTCCCGTTACCTTTTCCCTAGCTAGCTTCCCCACCGCCTGGAGTATCCAGGCCGCGGATTTCAGCACCATCAAGGTAGCGTCCGATTCCACCACTGCCCCCGGGCCATCGGCATGGTGTCTCGGTTCCACCGGCTCCTATGGGGGCTAGGTTTTATCTGTGACCGCGCCTAATCTAAAATCCCCTTGGGGTGCTGCGTTACAGCGATGGTAGTTTCATCTGTGCTGTGTCGACACTGTTAATGGCGGGGTTTGTTAAGCCGCCTTATCGTATGCTCTGCTGTGGCAGAACCCACCCTGAGAAGAACACCGTTGAATGGGAGAAAGGGGGCCCTGTCATGGATATGGGTGGTTTGAAGGAAGGGACGGGGTAATCATGAATCCGTCAGGGCCGAGGAGCTAGGAACACCCTGACTTCAGGGGGCTGGGAATTGGGGGTGAGAACCAGAAAGTTATTCATGGCCTAGTAGTATACGTTTGACTGTGCTACATAGTCGAAGCTGACTTTCTGGGGAAAACTTCAGTTTGGCAGACGGGGGGTTGAGTCAGCCTATCTATGTCTTGATGCACATGGCCTCTGCAAGGCCCAGCTCTCCGGAGAATCTGGCTTTGATGTGGATGGTTTGCGGCGCCCAACAGGAGGGAGTCATTTATGCTGCTTGAAAGCCCTGTATCAACTCGAGCATTACCACCGAATACGCCCACAGGGGATCACCTCAGGTAGATTCAGCAATGTTGGCGCGAGCCATCCAACACGAGCCATAAATTGTATGCTCTGCGCCTTGACCTTCTCAGACGATTCTGCCTTGGACAGAGCCACAGAGCCAGCACAAGTACGAACAGTACATAATCATCCACAACGAATCACCGTTAGTTAAGAACCTTGTAATGATGACAGGCTGTGTGATATGGCAATCCAGCGCCGCCGCTGCTTGGGCCAGCTCAACTCAACTCAGGACTCAGGTTCGTCGGTGAACATGGGAAAACGGCTTCCTTTTGGGGAAGGGGAACATCGCCTTCCCAGTAGCTTCATTCTGCAGCAATAATTACCAAGGGGTCTGAACCAAGCTTACACGTGGAGTCCGCGTTGGGAAGTGTTGAGGGACTGTATTGGGACATTCCTAAGGACACGAAGCAACAAATTGAAGCAACTCTCCACTTCAAACGCGCCGTCGACATGGCAAGGTAGAAAACAATGCTAATCGATTCACAAGCCCAATGCTATGACCAAAATGAAGGAGTCCCTATACCCGCTCGTCCCAGTCAAACACTTTTTCCTAGCAGATATTACTATAGCGTCCAGAAAACCATAGTTACGACCCCTAACAAAACCAAATCCTTCCCCAATCTTCTTTCCCCGCCCTCTCACCCTCCCAACCGACAACAACAAACACGCTTAATCAAAGTTTAGCCTTCGCCCTCCCCCTCCTCCTCCCCTCCTCACCCTCAATAGCCCGATGCCTCAGACTCCCTCCCCCCTCCCTAAAATACCGCCTCACCATCTCCCTAGCAACGCCGACCGCCCCGGCATCCTCCACCGTCGACGGCACACTAACCTCGGCATCAAACTCGCCCCGCACCGCATTCTCCAACAGCTCCCTCAGCACCCTGCGCAGCGTTTTCCCGGACCTCGTCTTGGGGATCATGCTCTTCCCTGTTGCCGGGCCCCGGATTATGCCGCCCAGACTGGCGATGGGGCCGACCTGGGTGCGGACGAGCGCCTGGATCTCGTCAAAGAGCTTGCTGTGGTTGTTGTCCTCGCCCGGGACAGTGGGAGAAGAAGAAGGGGAAGAAGATGAGATAGAAGAAGAAGAAGTGGTGGTGGTGGCGACAAAGGCGAAGGGCAGGTGGCCCTTGAGGGCATCTGGGATGGCTACGACGCAGGCCTCGGTCACGAGCGGGTGCGAGGTAATGGCTTGCTCGAGGGCGCCTGTGCTGAGGCGGTGGGCGGCGACGTTGATGATGTCGTCTGTTTTGTGTTGTGTCAGTTTGTTAGATCTATGAAGTGACAAAGTTTGTGGGAATTCTTACCTGTCCGCGCCATGATGTGGATGTAGCCGTTCTCGTCGATGCAGCCGGCGTCGCCCGTGTCGAGCCACCGGCCGCCAAACCGCTTCAGATAGCCCTTGTAGAACCTTCCTTCGTCTTTCCAGAGCGTGCGGAAGGCGGTAGGCGCGAGCGGGAGGGCTAGGACGATGTTGCCCATCTTGCCGCGTGGGACTTCGTGCCCTTCATCGTCGACGACTCTGGACGGGGTCAGGTCTGGTTAACGAAAAATGGTGGAGGGAGAAATAGACTCACCTGACGTCGAACCCAGGCATAGCCTTGCCTGCACTCCCGGGCTTAATACCCAGCGGTGTTTGTTCGTCGTTCATGTCTATTCCCTTGCACTTGCCTGCACGCGGCACCAGGGCAATACCAGAGATGGGCGAGCCCGACTCCGACGACCACCAGTTATCGACCACCAGCGCATTCGCGGCGCCGTACTTGTTCAGCAGATCCTGATACATAGTAATGATGGCCGGTTCGGACCGCTCGCCAGCGAGGAACAGGGCCTTGAGACTCCTCAACCCGCCGCGCTCTCCAATGCGCGTGAAGTGGGCGTTGTCCGGGTCGTCCTTGCGGATAGCGCGCAGAGCTGTCGGCGCCGTGAACATGGTGTTGATCCTGTACTCTTCCACCAGGCGCCAGAAAGCAGATGCGTCCGGGGTGCCTACCGGCTTGCCTTCATAGAGGACCGTGGCGGCGCCGGTCAGGAGAGGCCCGTAGAGCGTATAGCTGTGCGAGACAACCCAGCCAATGTCGCTGAAACAGCCCATCTGGTCACGTCAGATATGAACTGTTGGCAAAGCGCGGGGGAAACGGCCTTACCACGTCGCCCGGGCCATGGATGCCAAATAAATACGAGATGGACAGGTGCAGGCCAACGGCATGGCCGCCGGCCTCTCGGAGCACGCCCTTTGGCAAGCCAGTTGTCCCGCTGGTGTAGATGATGTAGATGGGGTCTGTCGAATTGACCGGCACACACTCAGCCCTCAGACCGCGGGCGCGGGCACTCTTGACAAGGTTCTGCCACTTCCTCTGGCCCTCCAATTTGCGGATGGGCCGCCAGGGGAGTTGATCACGCTGCCTTGTTATCTGGTCAACACTGAAAGCAAACAACAGGCATTTGGCGGCATACCAGACAATTGTCGTTGGTGGCTTCCATGGCGAGATGCGGATGGCTTCCTCGACGTACTCGCGGTAGGGAATGGGCGGCTTGTTCCCGTCGATGCCACACGAGGCGGCGAGAACGGCTACGGGCCGCGACGCCTCGATGCGCTGCGCTAGCGCACCGGCGGCGAAGCCTCCAAAGACCACCGCATGGATCGCGCCCAGGCGGTTGATGGCAAGAATACCAATCAGAGCAGCAGGGATCATGGGCACTGGGTACATGCACGGGTCAGGTGTCTGGTCAACTCTCCTCGGTGGGAAGATTGAGCAGGCGCGCCTTACTGTAGACGAGCACGACGTCCCCCTTCTTAACACCCTCCTCCCGCAGGACGGCCGCGAAGACCTCGACTTCATGGAGCAGTTGCTTGTATGTGATGCGCTGCTTCGTGTTGGTGACAGGACTGTCGTAGACGATGGCGAGAGAGTCGCCGTTGCCTGCGAGAACATGGCGGTCCAGGCAGTTGTAGCAGGTTGATATCTCGCCGCCCGGAAACCACTCCCAGTGGGCAAGGGTGTCGCCCGTTTTGAGACGCTTGGTCGTCCGGGTAAGCACGGCTGAGGGTTTCTTGTGCCAGTAGAGGTATTCTGCCTGGTGGCCCCAGAAGCCCTCGGGGTCGTTGAGGGAACGGTGGTGGACTTCGTCTTGAGGGTTGGCCATGGTCGGAGAGTTGAAGGCCTACCTCGGCTCAGGAAGCCCAGAGGATGCGGTCGTGGTGCCGGTAAGGCTTGTGTGAGGGACATACACCTCAGGTCCTTGATGGTGTTTCACGACGCGGTAGGTGAGACGACGGCAGAGAAATGAGCGGGAGTTGTTCTTATCCAACCTAATTTTCGCAGTGGCTTGGCCAGATGAACGGTGGCCCCTTTGTCCCAACTACGATGTGCCTCCTATATGGCCCCCGCATTCCGTTACCCCGAAAGCTTGAATCCGTCTGGGGTCTGGGGGATCGGCGCGGAAGTCGAGGCGATTGGCCGTCTGTGCGGTATTGCCGAGTCTGGCCTCTCTAAGCCGAAAATCCGGGGACGACACTATCAACAGGTTATTTGTTTGCGTTGGCGGACCCATTGGAGGTGATCACGAAAAAGCCCTGTCGTGCTTTCAGAGAAGAGGTTCGGTGGCTTGTTTAGGCAGACCGTGTGCCGGCAAGTTGTGCTTGCGGGTTTGAGGGCAAGTCATGACACCCCGGCAGTTCAGGGCGCTCCAATCAAGCACCTTACAGGCATGATGAGGCTTATCTCTGCAGCCGTGTAGAAAGGAAGGTCAATGCAATCTGACAAGTCCATCCACATGGACGCGCCATTCGATGCCACTGCCGAATGGCCTGCCGGAATGTTTGGGTTCGTTCGTTCTTGCCGTCGAAAGACATGTTTGATCACTGAGACGTCGAACCAGCCAGCAATGAGGGAAGGCACAGGTTTTGGTCCACGTCATGCAACCCTGAACCCCTCGTTTGTTCTCTATCCGCTGTCACCCTCTCCACCTTGTCAAGACTCTCCAACTCAGCGTGAAGAACTTTGCCCCGCGTTTTTACGCTGGACATGGTGGACGAGCTCAAGACGTCCACCTCAACAGTGGTCCAAAGTCGACGACCTGTCAATGCCGTGCCCTTTCACCGTCAGACTCCAGTGGCGAAAGCAGCAACGTTAACCGAGTAGTGTAATGGCCTAGAAGAGACACCCACACCTCCCCTACAAATCGACCACTGAACACTTTACCCGAAGGTTGGCCCCTTCGTCCCCGACGGCCGCTCCATCATCCCACTCATGGCGTTGACATAAATCAAGGTGGCCTCCTTGATATTCTCAATGTCGCACTCCTCGACGGTGCGCTTGATGAGATCAAGACAAAGACAATATGATCACCCACGGGTTCGCGAAGTATTACGTAACCAATCAAATAATAAGCCTCTTCACAAAGGAAACCACTGTCAAGGTACAGTACATCGAGAGCAAGTCCCGACAAGCAGAGGACTGAAAAGTGTCGGCATTTGTCCAAGTGAACACAATTCAGGAGAAGTGCACAACAAAACATCCCAATCCAGGAACCCCGTCCGCAACCGGAGCGAGGTCCCAACATCCCCTTACATCCCCTCCGTCAGCGACTATCCATTTCCACTCCCTCCCTCCCCTCTCCACTTCCCACCAACTTCCTCACGCTCTCAACAACCCATCACCGAAACCATAATCAACACCACAACCACCCTGAAGCCCGCGCGGGTGTATCAACTTAAAGGACAAGCGCAGCAAAGCCAAGGACACCAGCGAGGGCGCCGCCCGAGAGGGCAGCGGCCTTGCCGGCGCCGGCGGTGGCGATGGGGGGCGACGAGGTGGTTGCAGAGAAGGTGGGCGCAGAGCGGGTGACGGTGCCGACCGACTTGGTCGAGCTGGTGGCGCTCGTCTGGAAGGACGGGGCGTAGGTAGAGGTGGACGAGGGGCTGTTTTTCGTTCACACGCGATATTAGCGGTGTGTTTTGCGAGAACGGCCACAAGCGGGGGGAAAGGGGGGCATACCAGGAGTGGCAGATGACCGACGAGGTGACGGTCACGGGCTTCTTGATGGTGCAGGGGCAGTCCGAGATGGTCAGGGTGGTGGCCTGAAGTGAGACAGGAAGTCAGTTTCTTTGCGATTCTCGGGTGAGCGCAAGATTGTAGGGGGAAGGGTTGCGGGAGCGAAAGCAGCTGGTACTTATGGGTTGCGATATTCTAGGTCAAGTCGCGCCGTCCCATTACTGCCCGTTATGCTCTGGTTCCCGCTCGCGCCCTGAAATTCACGGCAATTTATCCATACCTCAGTCACGGTGTAGGTGCTGCCGCCGTAGGTGACAGTGGTGGGCGCCGGGCAGTAGGTGGTGATGGCGGTGACGATCTCGGTGGTGTAGGTGACAGACGGGGTGGCCGACGAGACGAAGGAGCCGACCGAGGTCGACGAGGTCTTGACGTCGTCCGTGAAGGACTTGGTGGCCATGGCGCCGGTGGCGAGAGCGAGGACAGCGGTGAACTTCATTTTAGTTGATCTGTTCGGGTATCAGAGTATATGTACTCGACGAGTAGGTTCTTTTGCTTGAGGCTGTCGTAGAGACGATTTAAGCACGGGGCTTTGGCGTTTGTTTCGAAAAACGAATGGAATTGACTCGAAAGTCGGGTTTGCTGAAATGAGCGTGGTGGGTGAGGAGAGAAAGGAGGGAACGGGAGCAAGGATGGTGTGAGCGGGCTGGTGTTTATAAGAAGGGTCCTGAAAGCCAGCACAACACATGGTGCCGCCCCTGTCCGGCGCGTGCATCCAATTTGCCCATATTGGTTACTCGGTGGTTGCAGGGATGTGCTGACGTTGAAAAGGAGGGTGGACCGGGGCGGGCAGCCAACTGGGAGCGGTCTGCCCCGGGCCCTGGCGGAGTGATAATTTCCTGGCTTCGCGAAGGGTTGCAGGGATCACGGCGCATCTCGAAGTTGAAGACGAGGTGCCCGTCTGTGTCAACTGGTGGATACTCAGCTTGTATGGAAAACAGATGTATGGAGCTACCTAATTGTTGATGATGAGTTGACAGCTACAGGAATGAAGCGTTTCCATATCAGCCGCCGACAGGATAAGGTACTGGCGCCGGGTGCAGCTACAAGCCTGCCAAGGGCGCGGTGTACCTGCAGATGGCGCTGGGTAGATCGTGGAAATGAGCCAAGTTTGGGCATGTTCCTTGCATTTAGTGCGGTTGCCACTTGCAACCGTCGGCGGGCCAGACGTAGACGTGTCAGCGCGCCAGATTGTAGAGTTGCCAACATCAAGGAGCGAGGACAAGCCAACAAAACCGAGCTCGAGTGTATTGGTGCCACTAGGCTTCACAAGGCATCTCAGCCCGGAACACATGCGATGAGAGCCTGAAGGATTCATCGGCAAACACGGCAGCCCACCCGCCCTTTCTCGTACCGAGCTCCCTCATTTCCTTATCCTGCACCGTCGCAATCGCATCAAGATCTCTCAATAATAAATAGACAGCATCCAATGGAGGAACTCGGGGCCTCTTTCTATGAATCAACGCTTCATTAGGCTCATATTCTAGTGAAAAGCTGCTGCTCGCTGCTAAGCCGTGAACCCACGTACTTCGCAACGTGGCTGCCGATTACCTCCGTACTCAGCAGAATCCTCAATGACAGCCGCAAACCGAGAAATCATGCTGCCGAGAGCCTTCATAGCGTTTTCTTTGCTGCCGAGAGAGTTGGGGGCGGATGGGGGCGGTTGGCGGCCAAGTTCGGACTTGGGGCAAACCCCATTGCCGAGCCCGCACATCGGGGCCGGTCCTCTCGGGGGTTGGTGGGGTCGCCGGGCGGCATGGAAAACGTCATCGGGATCCTCGGCTGTCACGGTAAGCCTGTTTGAACCCCGCCATACCGAGTATATAAACCTCCCTTTTAAACTGCGTGTCCAGAGACTTGCAAGTCTCTGATCTGAATCATTCATCTCATTTCACGTTCAAACACTTCAACCCACAGCCCATAAAAAATGGCCTCCGTCATGAAAGCAGTCGGTCCGTCCTCTCACCCTTCGCCTCCACCCTACATTCTCCCAGAACTAAACACAACACCACCACAGACACCAAGAACGGCAAAGGTCCCGCAACAGCCCTCTTCATCAACGCCTCCACACCCATCCCACAGCCCGGCCCAGGTCAAGCCCTGGTCAAAGTCCGCGCCTTCGGCCTCAACCGCATGGACCTGATTCAGCGCGAAGGCCACTACCCGCTGCCTCCGCAAGCACCCCTCACACTCGGGGTCGAATTCGCGGGTACCGTGGTCCGCTTCGGTCCCGAGACGCAGCCCGCTAATTTCTCGCCCGGCGACGCCGTGCTGGGCCTGGCCTACGGCGGCGCCTACGCAGAGTACATCGCCGTCTCTCTCGAGACCCTGCTCCCCAAACCGGAGCACTTGACTTTCGAGCAGGCGGCCGGCATCCCCGAGACGTGGAGCACGGCGACGCAGGCGCTGGATTTTGTGCTGGGCGGGATTAACGACGGCGAGGTTGGGGAGTTGGGCAAGGAGAGGAAGAAGAAGAGTATCCTCTGGCATGCCGGGGCGTCGGGCGTGTCGATCGCGGGAATCCAGCTGTCGCGGCTTGCGGGCGCCAGCGCGGTGTTCGCGACGGCGGGGACAGCGGATAAGTGCCGGTTCGTGGAGAAGGAGCTTGGGGCGACAAGGGCGGTGAATTACAAGGAGGAGGACTGGGTTGCCGAGGTTCTCAAAGCGACTGGCGGGAAGGGGGTGGATTTGGTGGTGGACTTTGTTGGGGGCGGCTATTTCCAGAAGAACCTAGACGTGGTGGCGAGAGATGGGCGAATCTGCATGCTGGGTTTGATGGGCGGGGCGGTGGCCGAGAATGCGAACATCGCGCAGCTGCTGTATAAGAGGGTGCGGGTGGAAGGGAGTACGCTGCGGAGTCGGGATGTACACTACCAGGGACGGTTGATGGCGAAGCTGGCTGAGTACCTGCCCCGGGTTGAGAGCGGCGAGCTGAAGCTGTTCATCGACACCGTGCTGCCGTGGGAGGAGATTGTCAAGGCGCACAAACTGCTAGAGGAGAACAGAACCATGGGCAAGATCATCTGCACCATTCCGTAGGAGCTCTAGATTCTGACTAGTAGTATAATAAGAGAACCAGTCATATCCACCCGCCAGCCGCAAGCAGCAAAACCCAACCGATACCAGAACGCCCGCGCAGAACCCGCCGCTAATGCTCGTTGATCCATTTCAACATCTGGTCGAACGCAGTGGCCTGCGCAACCTTGATATTCGCATCCTCGTATTCTCCCACGACGGCGAAACCTAGCCTGTTGTCAGCAACAATCATGCGAATCTCAGGATAGAAATGAGCTCACCGTGCGGCATCCCAGGGTAGACCTGCACCTCATGCTCAACCCCATTGCCACTCATGTACTCCTCCCCGGCAATCCTGACCTCGTCCGGAAACAGCGGATCATTCTCAACACAGACCACGCTCAACGGCGCCGTCAGCCCCTCCCAGTCCCCCTTAGACACAAGCGTCGGATGCGCGAGCGCGCCGGCCTTGATCCGCGGCGCAACCACACCCGCCTCCTCATCACCGGTCCCCCCTCCTTCCCCGCCCTGTCTTTGCTGCTGCTTTCCCCCTACCTTCTCCGCCGCCAACAGCAAGACATACCTCGCCCCAAAGCAGTAACCCACCGCATACACCCCACCACCGTGCGACGCGGCGTCCGCAAACTCGTCCCCCGCGCCGTCGAGCACCTTGTCCAGAATCGGCAGCACCTTCTCCTCGGTGTGCCGCGCCAGCCACATGTCGATGAGGAAACTCTTTGCCGTCTCGGCGGCTTTCAGCCGCAGTGTGTCGAGCAGCGAAGAGGCCCCTCTTCCTCCTCCCTCAAGATGAGACGATGGAGGCTGTTTGGTGTTGTCAGAGGAAGACTCGACGCGGCTGTTGGGCGCGGGGTCGCCTGCGAACAGATCCGGCATCACAACCACGTAGCCGTGGGTCGCGAACGTGTCGGCTTGAAGCTGGTTGTTGATGCTGTGCAGGCCTGTGCCGCCCGTCAGGAGGAGGAGCAGGCGGGATGGGGTGTGTGGGTAGTCGGCGGGTTTGGAGATGTAGACCTGTCCGGTCGGGGAGGGCTGGTTAGCTGTCGTTAGGTAACAAAGCGTGTGTAGGAGGAGGACGGACGTCGACATCGTTTAGTTTGGTGATCTCTCCTGTGGAAGACCGGCCTGTTGGTGTCGGCCGGTCGGACGTGCAATGGTCGCCCATCGGCGGGTTTGTAGGAGCAGGAGAGTCGGCCGACGCCTGAGGAGGGGTGGGGTTGGTAGCTTGCGCATCGCTCTCGGGAGCTTTGGTGGCTAGTTCGTCGGTCATTACGGTGGTTGTTGGTAAGAATTGCGAAGCAGATCGAATGGGTCAGATGTGAAGCTCGGGAGAGTAATTGGCGATGCCGTACAGTTGATCGAGGGAGTGAGGATGACGACGTTTGTAGTTGACCGGTTGGGAGAGCAGGTGTAAGCGGAAATAAAGTGGGCCGCACTCGCTCCTCACTTATCGATGGAATGGAATCCGTTGTCGTAACAGGTACAACATCGCCGTTTTGCTTCCTAGTGGCGTAAAGTAAAGATTGTTTTTACGTGTATCTCCGCAGCACTTTGATCAGATCGACAAAGAGAGGTTCAGGCAGAGACTTCGCTTTCGGTTGCTCCGATATCACGCTGGTTCGGGAATCCTTTTCATCACAATCCCGACACCGATTCATGGATCGCTCCATCTCAAGCTCCACCAACAATACTACTGTACGTTCAAGTTTCCCAACGTGGCCTTCTGAAAAAGTGGTAAAGAACAGCTGAGTCAACTTTCCGCGCACAATGAGGTGATTCCGGAGAGGGAGATCGGGATGGGGTTGAAGGGGATTCGGGTGGAAAACCTTTTCCCGAACGTCGGGGACCTTCATGTTGGCCAGCGTTGGTTATCGAAGCCGGATAATCCGAGCCGTTGGAGGAGCTCCACGAAGACATGGAATGGCGGTCTCGGGAATCACGACACGATGTTAAGATCGTGATCCTCGCCAGGTTTGACCGCAGCAAACCTGAGATCATCCTTGAGAAATGGTAAGAGGAGCTGAACCTGGAGGGGCCGATTCACCTCCACCCGGTCCGACGTCTACTAATCACCATCCAGCGAGACGAGACAACCAATCCGGTATCTTAACAAGTCACAAGGGGTTCAAAGTCCTTTCTCTTCCAAATCCGGAGCCGCAGGAAGGTGGGGATTTCGTCATTAGCATTCCTGACCTGCAGCGATATGCGAGGGCTTTTTGGGAAGAATTTCCATGATGTCGACGAATCAACAAGGTTACCGATGGAGCGCAGATGGGAGGAGGCTGCTGTTGGGAAGCATTCTAGGATGGGGTCCGAGAGGTGCACTACTGTGGTACACATGGGCGACTTCTATCAACTCTTATGTTCCAAAGCCAGGTGAAAGTGAGTTGGGAACTAAGGTACCTACACGAATGAAATGTCTCCAGGCGGGGGGTTTACGGATGCGAAGGTCTCGAAAGAAAGCGGCAATACCAACATAATCTTGCCTCTCGACCCGTAGGAGCTTAGGCGCCATAGTTTCATGTTTCAATCGTTGTGGTCGTTATGGTTCGTGACGGAGTATCCGTACGGAGTATTCCGTATTGCAGGTTGCATGAGGTCTTATTGTGGTGGGGTCTGCGAGTCGCGAAAGGCGCGTCGCGCCTGCCACTTTACGCGTAGCGCGTGCGGGGCGTGCATTCCTTCCCTGGTTTCGCTTCTCAAACCCCCATTCCACCTCCTCAACTCTCATCTAGCACTTTCCACGTGCAACTTCCTCAATTGCAACTCAGCAGTCGTCACATCGATCATTGTACCTTCCAAAGCACACAAAAGTTCTGTCAGAACAGAAAGTACGATGCCTGGTGTTCTCACACGCAAGACGCGGACTCCCCGCGGCAAGCTGGTCTCGTCCAGCGCGCCTACCACACCTTCTTCAAGCTTCACCAAGCTCTCAAAGTTGGGGAACACTGGGAAGGAATCAATCCAGACCGCCGTGCCGTTTACGGCGCGTAGCGCCAATATCGAAATCGTCCTCACATCCAAAAAGAGGAAGCCCCAATACGATGAAGTCGAGTCCACATCCAAGAAGCCGTGTCAGGAGCCCGAACCCCGGCCAGTCGCGCCTGCTACTCCTGTATCAAAGAAAAGGAAGAGCGTGAGGTTTGCTGAGACCCAGCCTACCGCGAGCACGCCTAGCCGCACAGCGACCACTTCCTCATCCAACCGGAAGCGCAAACTCCATTCGGACGAAACCAGCCAAGCGGGCGCGCTGCTCGAACGTCTGAGCCTCCAGCCGTCTCCCATCAACAAGCGAAGCAAGACTACCGTACACCGCCGCGCTCCTCACAATGACTTCGACCTGCCCAAGGAGCTCCTCGACCTCCTGGACCTGCACGCTGCCTTCCTCAGAACGCTCGGCATGCAGTACGCCCACAATGGCACGGCCTCGCCCATCGACCTGCGCATTCTTTACTCAAGCGTGACGCGCACCTGGGGCAAGCGCATGGTGACACTAGACGACATTCAACGGTTAATCGGCGTGCTCTCCTGGAATCCCACCAAACCCACCAGCTGCAGCTGCAGCATCGCCCAGCCGACGACCGCGGCTCCCTTCTCTCTCTGCGACTATGGCCGCGACAAGATTTGCATCGAGTTCCATGGGGACTCTTCTTCGCCCAGCCCGCTCCGCGAACCCAAGCTCAACATGGACTTTGAAGCGAACCTGCGCACGCTCTGGCTGAGCCGCAGCAACGACCAGCCTCCAACCATCTTCATCAGCACGCTGCCCAAGGCGCCCATCAAGCCGGGCGCTTCCGCCGCCTTAGTCTCCGCCAAAACCCAGACAACCCTCAACGCGTTCAAGCAGAGCATCGCCCTCAAGAAACAACAAGACCAAGAAGCCAAAGCCGCCCAAGCACAACTCACCACCGAATCCACCACGGGCACAGGCGCAGGCGCCAAAATGACGCTCCTAGACCGCATCCGCCTCAAGGAGACAATCCTCTCCCAACAACAACACACCCAAAACAACAAGCCCTCCCCGGCGGACCTGCAACGCCGCTCGGCCCTGCATCGCGCAGCCGACGTGGCGGCGGTCATCGGCATGCTGTGCAAGGCTCAGGGCCAGCAAGGGCGCGTGTCGTTTTCGATGGCGGCGCTGATGGTGCGGCTCAAGGACTCGGTGCGGACGCCCGCCTCGCAAGAGGACGCGGCGGCGTGCGTGAGGCTGCTGGCGGAGGAGGTGGTTCCCGGGTGGTTGAGGATTGTGAAGATTGGAGGGAGGGAGAATGTGGTGTGTGAGACTGCGCGGCAGCCGACCAAGGCGGAGGTGGAAGGGCGGGTGAGGGTTTTGTTGGGGTAGCGGTGTTTTTGTATTTTGTCATTCCCGGTGTTGACGTGGTGTCGGGTGGAATTGTTGGATTCTGGACTTGTATCAACTGGTGTGGTTGCTTGGCTTGACACGGTTGTATCTTTTAACTGGAGTTATACGGCGCCATGGAGGACATCGGTATCTGAATCTAATATAGTTAGTATGACTGGTGGACATGTGCGCACTCTGAAATGGAATGTGTTATTTGCCAAGACGAAAGGTCTATCTTGCCTCGCAAGGCGTGTCTATCCGCAATGTGTCCTCGCCCCATGCGGTGAAACGCCGCCACCAAGGGGCAAACGCAACCGGCCCAGTCCTCGCTAAATATCCATTCAAACCGGTCATGAAAGCGCATCTGCGCGCTGCCCGACCATCATACATCATCATACCCCAGCAGCAACGCCGCTGTTACCAGTCCGTCCCTTTGCCAAGCTGAACTCCATCTCGCGACTCGACGCGTACCCGATGTCGTCCGACCCATACGGACAAACCCGGTCCCTCCCTCTCAAGCGAGGAGCCATCCAACCACCCCACAAGCAGAGAAGTAGGCCATTCCCACTTCACTTCTTCTCCTTCTTCTCAAACTTGGGCTTGCCGATATCGCTCCCGCGCAGCTTGACGTTGAGCACGCGCTCCATGGCCGCCAGCACCTTCTGGTCGGGCGCCGCGTCGCCGCGCTCGAAACCGGCCACGACGGTCGGCGTCGTGTTACACTTTGTGGCTAGCTCCTTTTGGGTGAGGCCCTTGGAGCCGTTGGGATTCGCGTACTCGTTGCGCGCCTTTTGGATCGCTTTCCCGACCTCAATGCCGACCGTCTTGGGCTTGACGATGTCATCGGCCCGGTCGACCATTGTCAGCCGCTGGCCTTCTACGCCGGGTTTGGAGGCCTGATGGGGAGAACAGTTAATCTGGGGCTTGAAACAAGAGGATGATGGGCGAAGTGGGACGTACGGCATTGCCTACGGCGAACTTCTTCTCGGTTGTGATGGCGGCGCCGGCCCGCTTGGCTGCGTTGAGCGCCGACTGGCTGCGAACAACGGTTTCGCGCGCAACGCCTCCGCTGCGGACGTTCTTGCCGATTTTGACCTCGGCGGTATCCCAGGCAGACATCTTGACGGTTTGGAGTGTGTTGACGGTGGGGTTATGAAGGTGATATGATGGGAAGAGGACAGATCAATAAGGCCGGGCTGAGCGGTCGGTGACTCGAGTTTGTCGTTGGTAGGGGTGAGGTGAAGGAGTAATGACGAAGGAAATGGGTAAAGTCGTCGTTTGCGTTCGCTCTATATACGCTGCGGGCGGTGCGGCGAAATCATGAAACAGCGAGGCCGATGGCTAGACTTGAAAAGGCGTTGATGTTGGGCTTGGTTTAGTCAGTGTTCCCACGCTTTTGGTCAAGGCGGGGGGTTTTTAGCAGTATGGCTGCCCCGGTTCGCAGAAGCCCATGGGCGGCCGTCGAACTGGGCGGTGACTCGAGCGGCGAACACCCCCGCCGCGCCACATTGCCCTGAGGCTGTGGGGTCCGAAAAGGATTTTGCAAGGGTGTTCTGGGTCGAAGAGCAAGCTGACTAATGGTGATCGCTTTGGTTAATACACAATAATATTTTCAGCTGTGCTGCCTTTTACCGCATTTTATGTAGCGTCTTCACGTTACATCAACTCCGTTGAAAACTGGAACCTCAAAAGTACGGACAGAAAGAATCATTGAACAGGTGAACAGCCCACCTGTTCACCGAGCACCGTCCAATTCACGGATAGAAGAGTTCAGTTCTCCAACTAGGCGTGGATTCATTAGATTGCCAGAATGTCACCGACACGCAAGGACGATTTGCTTTGGCTTGGTCACCCACCTTGCTTGGTACAATTCCAGATGAGCCCTGGCCATATCCTCACCAAGTATCCTGTCGCCCTTCATCATGGCCGTCTACTTCAATGTTCTTCCGAATCTCGCCCATGAGACGATGTTGCCTTTCTGCATGACCGTCTGTACAAGACACCTGGTCCGTTACCTTCTTGGACCCGTGGTCTTCCCAACCTCCTTGGAGGCCACGCTCAGTACCTCGGTTCTCGCTTTCCTTCTCGTTCGGCTCCTACGAGTGACGAGGAGAAAAAAGAATAAGACGATACAATGGAATGGGCCAGGAAGCGTCCTTCTATTCCCTTGCCGGACACATCACGCCCGCTTGTTTCCGACAAAGCATGCCTTCTCATACTCGTACCTCACTGTGGGCATCCCTGTGGGCTTCGAGGACAATGCAGGGGGCATGGTCTCGGTCGAGGCCAAGGGCGAGCCAAACCACTCTCCATGGATTGGCCTCGCCCTACGGAGGCCGAAGGCTTGGTTCTCCATCGATCCTAGCGATTATTTGGAGCGTGGCAAGTCGGGATTGGGACTGCGGGGGAAGCTGGACGAATACCTGCGGACTCAGGTAGACGGACCTGTATTCCTGACAACAACCTCAATGCTGACTGGGACAGGGTGCTGACCCGGCAAGCTACCCGTATGCGTACCTGGTGACGGCAGCTCGCTTTTTGGGCTACCAGTTTAACCCGGTGTCCTTTTGGTACCTGTACGATGCCGACAAGCGCCTCGCAGCCATGATCCTGGAGGTCAATAACACATCTGACGAGCGCCGAATGTATTTCCTGACCGCAGGCGACAACAAGGTCGGCCAGGATGATGGCCGGCAACAGACTGAAGCAAACCAGGGCAAGCGCTCTCCTCAACCAAGCGGCTACTGCCGACCAGCGTTCACGCAGTCATGGCCAAAGGACTTCCACGTCTCGCCCTTCAACTCTCGCAAGGGCTCCTACATGGTGACGGCCTCCGACCCCCTGAGCCCGTGTACGCACGACAAAGGCTCAATATCCGTCACCATTACCTTGCTCTCCTCCAAAGGACAACCCAAGATTGTTTCTTCACTCACCGCCGAAGGCCCTCCCATCGACCCTTGCACCATGGCAGCCATGCAAAAGCTCCGTTTTCTCGCATCCTGGTGGCATGTCGGTTTGCTCACCTTCCCGCGCATCCTTCTCGAAGCCGCCCGGCTCTTGTTACACCACAAACTGCGCGTCTGGCCTCGCCCAGAGCCCCTGAACGGAACCATCAGCCGACGCGCCACCTGGACGGAACGACAGCTCGAGCCCATCTTCCGCCGCTACCTCCAGCACCTGCTGGACCAGACTCCGACCCCGCTATCCATCACCTACACGGCACCGGGCGGCATGACCACCACTGCCTCTCAACTGATGATGCTTTCGCCATCTGCCCGGCAGTTGATGATGTTGCAACAGCAACAGCAACAGTGCTCCTCCCACGCCAATACCGCGACGGAGATGGAGAGTTTGGAGCTAAAAGTTCTCACGCCGGTATTCTACATCGGCTTTGTCCGCTACACCAACATTGACACCGTCGATGCTCTGCTCAGCGAGCTCGATGACGACCATACAATCTGGGTGTCGCGGCGGGATTTGCTCGCCAGGCTTGCCATGAACGAACCGCTTGGCTGCTCGTCCAAGTTAAAGTCCTTGAGGTCTGGCTACTGCTGGTTGAGTGGGGAGGAGGAGGCCGGGGTGGAAGTTGATCATGAGAAGGGCGGGGATGGACATGTTTGGTGGTTGATACGGCACCTGCGTGTTGGGGGGCTGGGGAGGGTTGTGCGGTCGTTGTTAAAGGAGTTGGTGTTGCGTTATGGTTGTGGTGTTGGTAGGAGATTGGATGGGCAGCAAAGGGAGAGCGACCGGGGTGGAAAGGGGCGGGGGTTGTCGGGGATGGATGCTTATGTCTTGGAGTGTGAGGACGAGAGGGTGAGGAGAGTGTACCGTTGGTGCGTGTTGAGGGTACTGCTGGCGGAGAAGCTTGCGTTGCAGTCTTGGGGGTGGCTGATTGTGAAGTTGGTGCTGGTACCGGTGTTCCTTGTTTGGGGTATGGCGTCGTTTCTTTTGTTTGTTGTTGCGAGGTGAGATCGAGGGGTTTTGGTCCAGTATATAGGAGGGGCCCCGTCCTGGATATTCACGGCATGGCCGTCACAGGCGCTTGTTGGTGGTATTTGTACCACGCAAGAAGTCATTTGCGCGGATTGGGCAGATAGGCAAACCATGTCGGTTGCATTATATCTGGCTGTATGCCACTCAATTAGACAAAGAATGGTACCTATTAGTGATGCAAGGAAAAGACGTACAGTGACGGGTCTCGGAGAATTCCTGGTGTGCATTGGGACAGCGTCGGATGTCGGAGGTTTTGACGCCCTTCTCCGTTTCCATTGGTGCTTCCAACTACACAGTAGTTGAAGGGCGCCATATCTTAATGGAGCCTAATTGTGAATTCCAAATAATCGGAGTTGCCTCAGTCCCGTCCGTCGAATCCCGTAGGCCGGCCGAGTCCGAACCGGGGGCTGAGTGGGGCCGCTACGTGACATGGTGACGAAGAATGCTACCCCGCTGCGGGGATGATCTCACAGACTTTACATAAACATCGCAAACTCGCATCTTCTACTCCAGCAATTTGTCCAATCCTTGATGTTGCCTTCCAGGATTCAACTCCTATCTGGTTTTGCTCACAGGACAGTTGTTTTCCCAGTAACTTGAGCAAACTGCGGGTTATTTCCGCAATGGTTAACTGCTTGACGGTCGGGGCTTCCCGCATTGTGCGGGCGTGATAAGTTCTGATACATCCATGGACGAAGTCGGAAGTACCTTGCTTGGGCTGTTACGTAGGTGCAGACCACAGCAACGGGGGCTGAAGCCGTGAGTGAGTGGTTGCTGAGTCAGATGCTGTGTTCAAAGCGACCACTTACACATGTTGGAAGGATTCAAGATAGAGTTCGCAATCCAGCTTCTCATGGTAATCGCGTGTCGGGGGCTTACTCGCATATCCAACCATTCATTACATTGTCTTTTGTTCCCTCTTTGTGGGCTCAGCCGGCAAATTTGGAATGGGCATGGAGTCGAGGCTCGAGCTCGGAGCAGAGCACAGTGCACAGAGCACCCGAGAACTGGAACCTAGAAGCTTCTCGGAGAGCTCCAGTCGAGGAGTACCAACGCCGGTCCTGCTCGATGTACCTGCCTCCCGGTTGCCAGCAGATCCGGACATGGCTTCCTCCACCGCAGCAGTTGCTTTGCGCTCCGCCATTTGTATTTAAACAAGACTGACAATCCCCTCGATACCAACGTGTCCCGCTTTCACAAAACAATCTCAGTCTCACGAATTTCATCTACTTGAGCTCCAGTGTCACCGAACCTTAATTCTCGCCGGTACCATAACCCCAACAACACCCAAAATGACCCTCACCGGCCACTGTCTCTGCAAAGCCGTCACCTACACGGTCGACGTCGACAAACCTCTCCTAACCGGCTACGACCACTGCGACGACTGCCAGCGCCAGTCCGGCTCGACCTACTGTGCGTGTTACTCTTCCCACTTGCTCACCGTCCGAAAAGGCTTCCACAAGTCATCACACCTAACCTATCCTACCCCGCGCCTTCAACGTCACTTTCACCCCCTCCCCTCAATCATGAAGATCCTCTTAACACCCACCTCCCATCCATCCCTCTCAACCAACCCATCCCGCCACGACCTACACACGTAACACGTTTCCAGAAAACCCTAAAGCGAAAAGCAACTAACCCCTTTTTTCAAATCCAACAGCCCTCGTCTGCGTCGTCCCCAAGGACAAGCTCTCGGTCCAGGGCCCGCTCAAGAAGTGGAAAGGCGTGGCCGACTCGGGCAACGCCGTCTACCGCTGGTTCTGCGGGGAGTGCGGCTCGCCCATCGCCCACGACCCGGACGCCGCGCCCGACATCATTGCGCTCAAGGGCGGCTCGCTGGCGACGGAAATCAAGAAGGGCCTGAAGCCGGTATGTTCCGTTTCCTTTTTTCTCCCTTTTTGATTCGTGTCTTCCTTTGGATTGGGAATGAATGCCTTGTACTGGCTGCGTGTCCGTATGTGTGTGTGTGTGTGTTTGTCCTAACACCGGTGAGGATGGTACAAAAAGGGGACGTAGGCTAACGCAGGGGGGTGGGGGTTTCGATGGTGATAGGATACCGAGATCTGGACCGTCAGCAAGCTGCCGTTCTGCCAGGAGCATCTGGCTAAGCCGTTCGAGCATATGCCGCAGTGAATGCGGAGGGCTGTATATGGTTTGCATTGGGAGGGTGTGCAGCGAACGTCAGTTGCAAAGGGCAAATGAGTATTATGAGTGCAGGATGGTTACCTTACTTTGGACGAGATGACGAGGGCCTGCGGTACTTGGCAACAGCTTGGGAATAGCTACCATGACGGGGACAGAAACATACATGAAGTACCAATGAAACCTGCTCAAGTCGGTTGCATGCGAGAGACCGCGGCCGTATTCGGGGCTAGCCCTCGCGGTAGTGCACCTTAACCCAGGTCGAGAGTGTTCATGATATGTTTGGCAGCGGAAATGAGTAGGAGGGAGTGGGAGAGGTTGAGAAGATCGACCCGACTCGAATGGGCCAGACTGAAGGACTATATCTACTCGCTCTAGATAGGCGTGTACCTTGATGGCTACAACCCAGACAGCAAGGTTCACAGAGTTCACCCCTTGTATGCCCACTCACTGCATCACAACCATCACCCCACCACCTCCCTCTTGCCGGCGCACTTAAGCCGAAGCCTCAGAAACTCCTTGATCAACACCAACAACCCAGTCACCATCCCCCCAGCTCCATTATCCGGGGCAAGCATGACGCCCCAAAGCTTCTCCCGCACAGGCGGCCCCAACAACCCAAAAACAGTGTCCAGTCTCGCCGACAAGCCGATATAAATCCTTGTTTGGAATGCCGTGCTGTCGCGGACGGATGCGATGCCGTCTTTGAGCGCATTAGACCAGATGTTTGCAATACCATTATCAGCTCAATCGTCGACAGCCTAGAAATTGGGGTCGGGAAGGCAGGGTGGAAAAGGATTAGGAGACCAACCAAACCCTGACAGCATCTGAGGACCGGTCTGAGCCCACCTCACACTCGGGGTCATCGTAAAACCTCGGCCAGACAAAGTTGCTCTGCACGAGGTACCCCGGGTGAACGGATTTGTCAGGGTAGGAGCAGCCGGGCGCGGCGGAGAGGAAGTAGACCTTGGACTTGTCGGCCGCAAAGTGCGAGCGCAGCGTGGCGGCGAAGGTATCAAAGTTCGCGGCTTGCTCGCCCTGCTTGTCTATAGTTTTCTCGTGTGTTAGTAATTATGGGAAACGGTGATGGCGGAGCTTGGAGAAGAAGAGTAGCATACTCATATCAAACCCACCTAGGACCGCAGAACCGCATGGGCGTAGGGCGGGATCGATCCTCCTCATGGGGCCAAAAGCTCCCAGACGCGGTCTGCAAAGGCGGTAACGGCTTGGTCGGAGGCCAGCGATAGGGAGTTTGGCCGCCGATACTTAGAAGAATCCGCTTGCCGTATATGATCTGGCAATGCGCGATGTCTCTTTCAAGGGTGGGATACGAGGAAAGGCCGGGCGCCAGATGGCGCATCCGGGAGGTTTGTGTCCTTGGGAGTGAGATGCTGTATGCATGTTTGCTACAAAAGAATGATGTCTATGGAATAAGCCGAGGCAAGCAGATAATCCACCAGCTGCAACACCGGATAGATGCTCCCTTCAAAGGTGACGTGCGTCAGACAGCCCAGAACCACGATATCTGCGTTGGTGTCGGTGCAGACCTCCAAGAGGCTGACATTGACGTTTTCATGGGATTGGTTGAACTGGGCGGCCACATTGTTCGACGACCGCGGGCTGAAGATGGATGATACAGGCCTGACATTGCGAGCGACAGCTGCTGTAGAGTTCAGCGTTGGCCATGGTTGGGACAGTCCATATGTCGGGCTCGGTACCCACGCGGCACGGGCACAGCCGATGAAGGCACAGGTGTGATGATCGTCAGGGAGTCAGGGAGGCCGCTGGGCGTGAGCTGGAGGGTCGTGGTAGCGTCGACTGGCCGCTTATTCTCCATGTGCGACTGCCCCCGAGCCGTCCTCAAGATCGAACTTCGGCCGGGGGAGCGTCTGATCTGGCTCCGAGTGGCAGGCTGACAAGGAGGTGCCCCCTCTGAGCCGCACGTATGGCCGGTCCATCAGCCCCAGCGAGGAGGGCTGCTGTGGCCGGGACGCCGTAGAGGACGAAGGGAACATGACTGACGAAATGCTTGATCCTGCTTCTGGCCATCCGACGCAGTTGGCATCATGAACTCCCTATTCCTCTGACCCGCGGGCCCGCGCGTATATACTCGGTGTCCCGGCCAGCCGACTCGTAGGTCTGATGTGTCGCCTACGCCAGGCGTGCGTACATTTCGCGGCTGGAATGTGCACCGGTCAGATGAAGCTCAGCTAGTCGTAGGCACGTCAACAGGCCAGCCAGTCTCATTTTCTCCTTGTCTCGCATAAGCCAGGACACCGTCCCAGACATCGATGGCCTGGAATGCGAGACGAGTGGGATGCACTACCAACCTCACCTGGTTTGTGTGTTAGCGTGGCACATCGCAGGACTTCCAAGTCATTACGGGAAAAGAGGGCATTTAAGAAAACCTGGTACGAGAATGTGAGAAAAGATGGTAAAAAATATAGGCATACCTAGATGAACAGTAAAGTAAGAAAGAAGCCCATCGCTCACTACTGGCCAGTTTGTCTTGTTTCCTTACCGACAACCTCGGCACTAGCAAACAAAACCTGGGTTGGATTGTATTGTCTAAAGATTGCACGTGGAGCTAAAGAATGAGTAATGCGGGAGGTTGACCGTCGACAGCATCGATGATTACTCGACCTGTACTTCTAGACGACGGATATGTGTTGATACGGAACAGCTTCTATGACCTTTGACGAACATGGTAGGTTTGAAATTCCCGTTGGTTATGCAGCACAATACAATTGCTCGGGTGCCTGATTGTGAATGATAGAGCGCATGCGAAGCGTTGTTCACTTGTTGTTGAGGTTCTTCTGGAACAGTCGGCATTGAGGCTGCCCAGGAGCGATGCTAATCAATTTCAGGTTGCAGTACAAAGGGGCACATTGTTTTGTGAGTGCGACTTCGAACGCGGTGGTTCCCGTCCGAGTTTGTTGGCGCCTGGATGCTGACCTCTCGAGATTCGATTGGTTTCGCGGGTCCCCGGAGGGGAGCTGGGCGCGAGGAGCTCGGCGTTCAGGCGTCGGGACATGATCCGCGAAGCAATGCTCTCTGCGTCCAGATCTAGCTGATGTTATCAATTGGATTGCGTTGGAAGCACCGCCGGCCAACGGAGAGAGCAACATGCGCCCGAGGAGCAGGTTGAGTGAACCCAATCCGGTCGATCGGTTATGTAGGGGGGGGACCCGAAACCCATCAACGACGATGGCTCTCGGCTGGACTGGGGCAGTTGCGAAGACGTGAAACTTTTGGATCATCAGGCTGCGGTCAGCCGGGTTGGTCAGCGTTCCACGTCAGATGTTCCGCACGGCGTGACGAGATCTCAGCAAGTGGATGCGACGATTGGAGATGGTGGCCGACTGGCCCCAGCCCTCCCCGTTTCGCCCCTTTCGTTCATTACCCGAAACGGTTTGGCATCGAGTCTGTGCTGGTGTGTCGATGAGTGGTCACCTGGCGTCAGGAGGAAGGCGCTGTGGGTGCGACTGCTGCAGAGGAGATTCCTTGGGTTTCTTTTCTCTCCATGCGCCTATCGCTGTTGCCTGCAGGTCATTCCTTTGTCGACGGTTTGACGACACGCAACCTCCCAAGCTGCGGTAACGTAGTCGAGTTAAGATGAAAGTGACGGGCGGGTGAGGTGGCGGAGAGACATTGAATGCAACATATGGAGCAGGCAGGGCTGGTAATTCCTCCGAAGATCTCCTCAACTCGGCACGTAAAGTCCGCACTATGCATCGGACCTGGCTGGTTGAATGACGAGCTCTCCACAAGTTGGGGAATCCAGCAAACGGACTGTTCTTGTGGTGAAAATCATGGTCCATTTGTGAGCGCAATTTGACACGCTTGCCAGGGCCCTGTCAGCGGAACGGCCTGCCATTGGCGCATGAGATATTAGGGTTAGGGGTAAGCGTTACACGCCCAGAATAGCAAAGACGAGACTCCCTTGTTGGAAGACTCCGTGCAGCGTCCCCTCCGTTCCTGCGAACAAGTCGACTGCCGACCTGATTCTTTGGCAGCATGAAGGCAAAACAGGTGGACGCCCGCGCCCTCACCAGGGCTGCGATGGCTCCCAACTTTTGCAGGCCTGTCCCATGATCCTCCTTTCATCATTTCCCCAACCCAACCAAACGCCCACCACAATCGCATCACCAATTTCATCACGCCCCTTCAGCGGACAGTCCGTCTCCGTTGCCGCCGACGCGAAATAAAAGTGCGACGCCAAAGTCGATACGGCACATTCTCACTAGAAGCTGCCGATTGTGTGCGCCCCTTGCACGCCCAGCCAGTGGATCGCCCATCCCCGAGCCATCCACGCCCGCTTCAAAGCATCATCGCCGTGACAAAGCAATTTCTCTCTCTGCCACTCCGTTAGCCATAATCCACGTCGTCGTCGTTTCCATCCCAGCCATCAACGGCGCTCCACCGTTCACGCCTACGTATCGATTCAGCTTTGCAACGAGGTAGTCAGCGATGGCTCCGTCCAGCAAAAACGCGGCTGCGGCCAAGGACCGGCGCAAGTCGAGCAACACGGCCGCCGTCGCCGTCACCAGCGCAGCATCTTCCAAGCCCAGCAAAATCGTCACCATCAAGGTGCCGCCACATAAGCTACGGGCCATCATCGACCCGGATTTCGTCCCGGAAGACACGCCGGCCAAGCAATCGCCGGCTGCAGCGCTCAATTCGGGCAACGAGAACGTCTCCGACTCGACTCCTAACTCGCCTCCCGCGGGCACACCTGCCGCCCAGTCTTCCTCGATGGGCCCACCCACCGAGGGCCCAAAGAAAAGGGGCGTGAAGAGAAGTGCCGGAGCCGCTGCGAATGGCAACGGCGAGCCTAAAATCAGGGGAAAGCCTGGCCCGAAGAAGAAGCAGAGGCTGTAGGTGCCCCATTCCCTCACCCCTTATGTCTCCTTCTGCAGTCTCTGGAATCCCTCCCCCTCGCCAAGCCAAAGCATTTCTCTGCAATATGCATCTTGCTAACGCCATAGCGACAGCGAAGACGGGACCGTCGAAGGCGGGCGGGGCTCCGTGCCTGCGCACAAGCTCGGCCCCAAGGCCAACCAGGGCGCTATCAACGCCGGCCTGCGGGCGCTGGACCGCTCCGGCAAGCCGTGCCGAAGGTGGCAGAAGGGCGGCTTCACACTCAAGAGCTTCACCGGCGTGGTATGGGAGATTCCCCGATGGACGGCGCCGCCGAGGTCTCGGCCCGAGTCGTCGGCCGAGGGCTCCACGCCTGCTTCGGAAGGCAGTAACAAGGAGAACAAGGAGGACAACAGCCAGATTAAAAGCGAGGCCAGCAACAATGGCGGGGACGTGGAGATGCAGGGCACGCCCAGCTTTGCTGCAGACAACTCGCCTGCGCCAGTTCCCATCGCCGCTGCCTGATTGCTTCCATTCGGGCTTCACCGTTTGCATCGCGTGTGCATATTTACCCCTCTGCTTCTCTTTACACAAAGCTGCTAGGATCTGAGGCGTTCATTGGCAATACTACGACACGGAAGTTCGGGCGCAGTACAATGGGTAATGAAAAAAGGCAACAGAACAGTGCCGGCCGCGTGAGTTATCGCGGAGCACGGGGCAAGGCGTAAGGAGTCCAGGACACCCACTTCGCTGGCGTTGAAGGCAGCTGGGCGGTGCATGTATAATACGATGCTTGAGTATGGGTTTCATGGGAATATGGTATGCCAGAGGGTTTTACAGCAACAAGAGCACCTGCAATTAGACAATACCGTTTTGCATCGGTAGCGACAACCATTCGTGATACTTCCAGAATACTGGAGCTTGCAACCAGACAGCATGTCTGGTTTGGTGTAATGGGATCCCATCCCTTCATTGTTGGATGGCTCAGAGATCAAGGCTCTATTGTCGCCCTGGTTCTTTGCGCTGCAACACTGGAAGAGCTCCGGTGTTCTTTTCGGGGCCAACCACCAACAATCGTTGTCAGACATTTTGCTGAGCTCCAGGATTGTCGAGACGACAGCCGAATGAAGCAGGTACTCCATACGTAGAGGTGAGACGAGCACTCTTGCTTGGCCATCGTGGAAAGGAACTGTTCCACCTAAGCCCCATGCTCTTTACTCGACAGCTTTATCGGCCAGCACCAGCCATGTCCATGTTTATCCCGTCCTGCTTCTGAGCAATTGCTCGGAGGGATTGCGTTTGTTCTGGTCTTTCGGTAGGAAGGAGACGTTGCCCGAGTCGTCTCTGCCTTCCCTCCAATTGGTTGGCTGCAACTCTGAGAGTGGACCGCTTCTACCAGAGCTTGCTCCACTGCTCTCTGGGGACGGTCCCGTGCCACGCAGACTCGCAGACCGATCGGTCACTTCTTGGCTCGCCAAATGACCCCACCAGCTGCCAGAGACCCGCCAAAGTTGACGCCAGCGTCTCATTTGACTGGACCGGCCGCAACCTCCGACCTCCCGTCCATGATTGACTGATAGAGACAACAAGAAACGAAGGCTAGCGCCATTACTATTCCCGCGGTTTAGACACGCTATCTGGCCCATCGCACACCGAACTGCAACTTGCCACGTTCTCACCTTGATATCCTCATTCAATCCTGTCCGTTGCACGAGTACGGATGGCCATTACCACACTCGCACATCTATGACATAACGAGACTCGCGAGCAAGGGCCAAGGTGGGACTTGACTTTGTTTCCCATACCAACCTCTGGCTTAATTCCACGCCCATCTCGAGAACATATACTTCGTTTCCGGCCCGATAACTGCAAAACAGTCCCCAGCCAACAAACTGGGACCGCCACGAGGGGCGTGGAAATAATCCACACAGTCTATGCCGAGCAACGACCTCCACTTGGCTGGGTTGTGACGTGACTTGACGTCTCGCATCGTCTTCCCCCTCCGTTGCGGCCCTCCTCGGGCATCCCGCAGCTCCTCACCATGACAAATCCCTACCAGCAGTACAGCCCATCAAACTTCGACTCTTCAGCCTCTGGCAGGTTGCCGCCCCTCAACGCCCGCCGGCCCTCTTACGCATCTGTCGTTTCCGGGGGCCCTTCGGCCCTGACTCGCCCGGCCCACTCCGGCTTCTCCCACCTCCTCAACCCCTCGCCCGACTCAGAACCCCAAACACACTCCAGTAACCCATACTCGGCCGCGCACAGTCCCATGTTCCACGCCGACATGACCTACACACAAAACGGAGGCTCGAGCGAGGGTGTCTTGTCGATAGACCCTCTGGGCCAAACCATGGGCACCGGCCTTTGGCCACCTCGCCTCGGATCCAGCTTCCCCTACTTCTCCCGAGCTTTCGACCTCTACATGAGCAAAGATCCCTTACTACCCGCAGACCCCATGAGTAACGATGACGTCCGGTTCCCCTCCGTCGCGCCCATGCCCAACGTCAGCAGCTCCGGCTTCTTGTCGCCATCATACCTGCGGGGCACCATCTATCTACAGAAGCTGGAGGAAAAGCACAGGGCCGACGTCCTCGCCGAGCGGGAGCGCAGCGCCGCCAAGGTCGGGCCGCCCTCCTCGTCTCCCATAGCCTCGCGGCTCTCGAGCAACGAGAGCTCCTCGCACCTGCCATTGGTCGGCACCAAGGTGTCCGGCTCATCACACCGCGGGGTGGCATACGACATTGTCGAGAAGCCCATGTTTCCGGCCGAGGAGGAGGACGACGACGCGGTCAGCCCGCTACCGTCAAGATGGAACAAGGACGATAAAGAGGCCGCGCTCGAGGTGCTGAGCGACGGGTACGAGGTCAGGCATACGGGCAGGGCGTCGAGCGACCACGAGGCGAGCGCCGTCCGCGCGGACCACTACATGTCGCCGTCGTGCGGGGTGTATTACTTTGAGATCACGGTATTAAATACCAGGAGCGATAAGGTCAAGTAAGTAGCTGAGTGGAACGTGAGGTTCAGAATGAGGCTGGGCATCTTTATGGCTGACAGGCGGCTACAGAAACCCCCCTATCGCCATTGGGTTCGCGAGTAAAGAGGCCTCGATATCCCGGGCGCCCGGTTGGGAACCCGACTCGTGGGGCTACCATGGCGATGACGGCCACTCGTATGCCTCTCAAAACGTGGGCAAGCCGTACGCCGAGATCTTTGGTGTTGGGGATACCGTTGGGTGTCTTGTCAACTTCCGGCTGAACCATGCGCTTTTCACGAAGAACGGGAGAGAATTGCGTACGTCCAGTCCAAAATCTGTTTGTTACGGTTCTTGTCGTGCTTCACATATCTCAAGCCTTCTGTATCTGTCCTTCGGCGCACACCCTATGCGTCAGTTGTTGTGGGAAACTACTAATAGGCTGTAGCAATCGCTTTCAAAGACATTTCATTCAAGGATGTCAAGGGAAAGTTATACCCCATTGTCGGGCTCAAGAAAAAGGAGGATCACATCATGGCCAACTTTGGTCAGAGGCCCTTTATGTTTGATATCGATGGCTATATGAAGGTACGTGTTTCTCTATAATTAGCAGTGCCCGCCTGCAGGGCTTCTCTTTACGCTCTTGGGGGAAAAAAGCATCTCGGCAGGTCATGGCTGCTATCTCATATGAGATTCTCGAGGGTATGTCTGCCAGTGCAGGAGCAACCCAAGGCTGAGATAGGATCCGCTTCGATTTTTCACCCTTCAATTCTGCTCATCACTCAAAGCTCAACCATACAACAGCATCATTGCATTCTGTACCACTTATATCTCCTTAGTTGCAGTCGTTTCAATCGTCACCATCTCTTACTATGATGGCGGAGCGGCTTGAGAGGCCCGATGGGCTTTGGATCCGTATGCGTGCAGCACTGACCAAAATCATTCGACGGCAGAAGCAGCGAGCGAGTATCATAGAGGAAATTCGGCTCGCTGACACATCCTGGCTTGTTGACGGGCTGTCCGAGACGGACCTCATCCAGCAGCTGGTAAGCACCACAGACGCTCAAGAGCGCAAGATGTTCTAATGCCAGCAACAGGTTCTCCAATTCCTGCAGCACGACGGCTATGTCGAGACGGCGCGCGCTTTTGCGGAGGAACTCCAAGAGGAGAAGAAGGCCCTTCGGCTGACACCGGACGAGCCCGTCCAAGGCATCAACGTGCGCGACGACGAGGACGCCCACAATCGGCAGCGCATCCGCCGCGCCGTACTGGAAGGCGACATCGACTGCGCCATGCGCTACACCAACACGTACTACCCTACTGTCCTCCGCGAAAACGAGCAGGTCTACTTCCGCCTGCGCTGCCGCAAGTTCATCGAGATGATCCGCAAGGAGGCCGTGCTCAACATGCAGCTCGAGGAGCAGCGGCGGAACAGTCATCGGGGCGCCACAAATGAACCGCGAGCTGATGATGGTGAAAATGGCGACGAGGAGATGCTCGGGGCGGGAATAATAACAACAGCAGCAGCAACAACAACTGGCGGAGGCCAGGATAATGATCTGGACATGACCATGGTGGAGGACGGTGCTGCCGGTGACGATGTGGCGGCAGCAGGGGTGAGCAAGCTTTCGCAGGAGCTGCTGGCGTATGGCATGGAGCTGCGGGCCGAGTTCAAGGGAGATCCCCGGCGCGAGACGGCCAGGCGATTGGACGAGATTTTCTCGCTGATTGCGTACCCGAATCCGTTGAAGGTGAAGGAGGTGGCGCATTTGCTGGATGGCAGCGGACGGGTGGCGGTTGCGGAGGAGTTGAATTCGGCTGTTTTGAGTGAGTCCTTCCTATCCCTTCCCCGGACTTTACCCCCAATTCCTGGCTCTTGTTATGAAGAGTTGGGATGAAGCATGGTGGAGTGTGGTATAACTGATGTGTTCAAAACAGCGTCGCTCGGCAAATCGTCGCGCGCGGCCCTGGAGAATGTCTACGCCCAGACTTGCGTCTTGCTTGAGGAACTGCGAAAGGACGGCGGCGACGGGGCGTTTGTCACGGTCGAGAGCGTCGTCGAGAGTATTCCGCCTTCGAGGTTGCGCTAGGTGATTGGACCAGTTGTTGTTTTGTGGGCTGTGGACGGCACGGCACTAGTATGGCGAACTGGCTGCCTATATAGTTGCTTCTGCTGCTTCTGTTGCTGCTAGGGAGCGTACTACGGCCATGGTAATATGGGCGGTGGCTTCTTTCTCCCCTTTTCTCCTTTCCCCGAACCCTGGCTCTCATTTCATTGGTTGGTTTGTCTCTGCTCAGCGCAGTTCCACGTTACTCCTCCCCTAACCCGGTATTCTTTCCGTCTGTCTGTACTGGTTCACGGATGGGCGGATTGGGGAAGAGGGTGGGCCAAGAGAGGTGGGATATGATTGATGCCTTGTGGGCTCTACAGCATGGGTTCCAGAGACACTTCACTTTTTCTTCCCATTCTTTCTTGATACTCGCACCACACTCATATTCACTCCTCATATGCGGCGTCGGGCGTACTGATTTTGACGCAGAAAGGACTTTCTGATCTGGCTTTTGCTCGAGGGGCTGGGTTGGGTTGAGTTGTTCTCTTTTCTACTTTGCTGGTGGTTTTGCAGGCTAGGCTGTTAGGCTTTGTCGGGGTAGGAGTTTAGCTCCAGCTAAGGTCGGATGGACTAATAGGTGGTCTTGACGCTGCCTGATCGACTGACTGGTGATTTTTCTGGTGTTGATGTAGGGGCCGTTTCTGATGGTTGCCCGGTAAATTGTTTCTTTAGCTGCGTCCATTTGGGTTGGGTGGGTACGTGTTTGTTTTGGGCTGCATCATCTCACTCGTCGCCTCTCCTGGATTTGGCATTGTCTGGTGGCGCTCTTCCCTTTCAGTCTTCGACGTTCTAACGTCTGTTTTGTCGCGCTAGGTTGGGTTGGCTTCTGCTTTACTGCTCCTGGGCTTAGCTCAACTGAGCTTCGTGCTTGTCTGGGTGGTCTGGTTCATCAAACTGCTTGATATCCGTAGTTGTTCCGTGGTCAACCTCAACTAACGCTTTCGCCCATGATGTTCTTTGGGTTTCTTTGCTCCTTTCACCACCCATTATTACCAGGTTAGAGGCGGCGAGACCATGGGGTTGATTCTGGATCTGAGCTGACACGGTCCAGCTGGTTGGCGAGTTGCAGACGCGTTCGTGCTACCCGGCATGATCTAAAGTGAGGAGGAGATAGTCGCATTTAGTTAGTGACGGTGCTAGGGGTCCGGGTCAGAGAGCGGCCAGCGTGATGGGAGGTCAGGAGAAAAAGGTCAAGAGGCAGATTGGAGGTGGGTGGATAATCATGTTACTCGGGCAGCAGATAGCCGGTTTGCTGCTTCAATAATCCGAGCATACAAGACGTCAGAATAGGTCTCCGCACATGATTCTATAGGAAACAGATTGCTAACTACGTATGTCATGACTTTATATGCATGCCCCCATAAACTTGAACTCCCCGATATGTGACATGAGTTAGTGTAATTTCCTTGGGTATCCTCATCTAGTTTATCCTATACATGTATGTGCATATTTCATCCGCCTGCCATATATACCGCGCATCAAACGCCGCCTTGACGCCTCGTCGCTATCTCGCCCGGCCACGTAACCGCCAACATCCTGTCCCTATGCCTCGCGAGTTCACCATTCCCAGCCTCTTTCACCATCCTCCCCAACGCCCCGCCCCCCGCTTCCACAACAGAGACATCCTCTTCACCCATAAACTCCATCATCAGATGCGTATAGCTAAACAAGTTCGCGTCAAACATGCCAGGCCTCTCGGCCCCAAAGAACCACCCCGTCGGGCTCTCGCGCAACAAGCTCGCCAAAGCGGCCAGGGCGTCCCGCGCCGCGGCGTACACGGCCTCCTCGTCGATGGCGTCGGCACTGCTCGCGGCGGCCGTCGAGAGCACCGCGCTGCTGCTGGAGCCGGCGGTGTTTGCGATCTGCTCGGCGGCGGCGCGGCGCAGCTGGTACAGCAGCGTCGCCTGCACGCCGCGCGAGGACGAGGCCGGGCGGACGTAGAGGCGCTGGAGGAGCGCCGTGTGCGAGGGGTCGAGGTACAGGGCGTGGATCCAAGCGTTTCGCAGGGAGAGGGTGACGAGGGAGAGGTAGGCTTGTGAGCGGAGGGGGAACTCTGGGTCGAGTTCGGCGGAGGTGTGTTGGCGGGCGTAGGCGAGGAGCTTGGAGGCGGGGATTGGCGGCGATGAGGCGGTGGAGGATGTGCGCGGCGGGAGGAGGAAGGGAAGTGAGCCAGTGGGAGAGGCGTGGTTGGTGGAAGGAAGGATGCGGAATTCGAGGCCGGCGAGGCGAAGAAGGGTCTGACGCGGATGGTGTTAGCCCGCGGAGGGGAATGGGAGGTTCAAGCGGCAACACACCTGCCACTTGAGACAGGCCGGATTGAAGCTCGGAAGGCCTAGCCGGGCGTCCGAGTCGGTGGAGAAAACATAGAGAGTGGGAAGGTCGCTTGAGGTGAGTCGCTGCGACCTGTCAGGCAAGTCGTTGGCTCCGTAGGTCCGCAGTGGAAAGTGGTCGAAGAGTTGCTGCAGCGGCCGGGGAACCTGCATTCTTCGCCAGCTCGGCGCGGCGGGTGTTGACGCCATATTGATCTACAAGCAACACGAGAAGACGCAGTCGGTTGTGCTGCGTTGCGCAACACCACAACTGCCAAATCTCGAGATACGATCGATCTCGCCTGGGTCGAGGTTCTTGTCCAATGCACTGCAGAGCCAATGCAAGGCGACTCCGCTGTATCAACCGGGGTGGGTCCGTCTCCCGTCTTTGCATAAAAAATCGCCGGAGATCTCGGAAGGTACCGCCGGGGTGGCCCAAGCGTTCCTTCCTTTTCTGGCCAACTCTTCGGTTTGTGGAATGAACAAACGGAAGAGCGGTTGAGAGCTTTGGTCGTTCAACAGCCGTGACGCAAACAGTTTGCACTTTCAACTCGACTTTCTAATACTTTGCTTGCCCTGTGAATGATGCGGAATTACAGCCTAAAAAAGTTCTTGAGTGGCCAACCGAGGATGGGAGTTTTACTCGTCAAATGTGGTCATCGTCTCAGCCCAGTTGTTTAAAAGTGAATGACAACCCAATACATTCATTATCCGCACAGCCCTGCTCTTCACAACACTCGCGATTAACAACAATCGTAACAACCGAGCCCTTACAACATGTGAGACTCGGCCGACGGATCGAGGCATGGGCTGATTTCGAGCATTACCCGGTTTCTCCGTCACCGCTACGAATCTCTCCTGCCGATGACTTCTAGAATCATCAATCAAGACAATAAACAGAAGACTCTTCGCCACCGCACACGTTGTCAATTGTCTCGACATCGGGGTTTCCGTCAGGCGGCTAAATGCTTCGGCAAGAATTCTCGCGACCTTCGATTGTCCCGCAGTGCTGCCGACGCCAAAATCCAACGGTGCCCAGTGGGGAAGGTCAGCTTGACAGGTCCACTCGGTCAGGGCAGGCCATGCCGGCTGTGTTGCAGCGCTGCGGGATCGACTTCCAATTCCTGGGTGCGATGGCGGTTTTCATCTGGGACTGGTCTGGGCAGCCGCCTTCTTCCGGACCGTTGAACAGATCGACTGCATGGTCTACGGATCGGTACAGATACTGTCGCAAGATGCAATGACATGGATGGCACTCGATATGCGTTGGGATTCCCGCCGAGATCTGTACCTGCCGCACAGCGGGCGAAGGGGCCGAGAAGCCCGGTTTATAGCCAAGCTGAAGACGACTTGAAGCTCCGCGATCTACCCTTGGCTCTCACCACAATCAACAAAGAGGACCCGTCAGCCGGTCGCACTCTCATGATCCGGGTCAAACGAAGTCGAGATCTCGGCAAGTCGTATGCAGCGGAACATGACATGGCCATGGCATGCAAGGAACCGGCAATGGAAGGTCACTCTCCGAGGAATCCCGCGTCGATCTCGATTGGCCCTTGTTGTGAGCAACGATCTCGCAATCAATTCCCGGGACACGATGGCTTCCCGTTGCGTACGCATTTGGAAGCCAAGTGATGAATCGTTGGCATCCACCGTGTCGATGTCGTCGACAATGCCACCTCTGACAAAGGGCCGTTTTCTCGCTAGTGCGCTGCCACCGTCCCAGCTAAATCGGTTCTTCGGCGATTCTTTCCACTTCGTCTAGTGTTGATGAACTTGACGGAGGTGTCGCGGTTGGCAGACCCCGCCCAAGATTTTTTCGACGAGTCGAGGCATGTCGAACTCAGGTGGCGTGCCATGCCCTCTTTTGAAACAAGGCTTATCAGAAGAGTCAGCAGCCCAAAATTGACACTTTTATGCTGGCCACATGATAGGCGGGCGATGGTGGTGTATCTGACAAGCATAGGTAGAGTGCGTCTCGGCATCGGTCCATGATTTGCCGAAGTTCGGAACCTCTTCGAGAATTCGCAGCCCTACCACGCCTGCTGGTAGTGGAATGCGATGCCGGAAGATTTCTATGAGAAATCCGTCGAGGCCGGCTGTGGGCTCGTCATCTGTACCCACGAGCACCGAGTACGAATTGTTCCCACTCAAGAATGGTCTGCTTTGCGTTTCACACGACTGGGAAATAGAATGACAGGCACACCACCGTTTTCATTTCACTGGGCACCACATCGAATGTGGGGGTCAAGAAGGTTGATGTTTGCTCGCGGTCCAACCGGACCAGGGGCACTGGCGCCGGAAAATTCAGAGACACGGGGGTACTTGGGTGGCCCGGCTTGCTTGGCGTGCCCCAGGCAAATCTGCGGCACAGCGGGTCTTCGGTCCTTATCCCGATGGCTTGGCGCAAGTATCTCCTTGTCACCATCTCCAACACTCGGCGCAATGGAGGGGCTCCTCACGGTGGGCACCGGGCAATGACGCCGTTTCTAGCTCCATACGGAGTTATTTGGGTCGAGATAAAGGAATCCGAGAGCACAAGATAGCTGGTGCTCCGCTTCTACAGCCCGGGTGGCCCTCTAGCTTTTTTTTCCTTTGTTATATGACGGCTGCGATCCCCCGCCTACCCATCCCTCGGCTTGCCTCTTCCCCAACTCTCCTCACCGGCCATCTCGACCGTCTGATCCTGCATCGCGACCATATTCAAGGCCTAGGGAAGCCCACAGAGCTAGCCAACCACCTCTATACACCACTGTTACCCGATAGTGCCTCGGCTTGTCCCGCCTTGCGTGCACCATCCGCCGTCGGGAGCTCACAATCATCCACCTGTTATCGATCGCCACTGCAACCGCACGGCTCTCCAGTTTGGGCCTTGTGCAGGACGCCATCCAGCGCGCACTCGCCAGCAAGACGCCAGGAGGAAGAGGGGTGCCGTCTGCACGGCGTCTCGCCTCTGCAGAGTCCCGCTCACGGCCCAGATTGCTGTATATTGGGCCACAACCCCCATTTCAGCCGGCTTGCCTGCCGCCTGCGCCTACCGGTCGGCCCACCCATCGGCTACAGCCAGTTGCCAGAGGCTTATCTCAACGGTCGTGCATGAAATTGGCCGCTGCACCTGCTCTGATCGGGCACTGAAGAGCAAGAAGCAGCTTCTTTACTTTCAGCGGATCGGGAAGGTTGCGATCCATCTGTTTCTGTTGTCTGGAAGATATATTGCTGCGGCCGTGGCACAGCAGTCGGTTTCCTGACCGTCTAGAAGACGAAACTGCCGGGCGAATCGTTGCGCTTCCCGAAAAGTCGGCATCGCAAGCCGGACTCCCTCTATCGTCTTGGACTAGCCGGCCCCCGCATCTGTCGTCATAAGGCCTCATCCTCCCGTCCTTTCGCTCTTATTCAACCTCGTCGACACTCGCTCGGTTTCGCCTATCCATCCAACGCTTGACTCAAAAAGGTTCCTTCAGGCCACTTCCACTGTTACCACACCACAGTCGCTACCTGACCCAACAATGGACCCCTTAACCAGCACGCAGACGTCGGCCCTGTCCTCGACGCAGCAGTCGCCAACCAGCAAGATTGTCCCGCCAGCGCCGAAACCCGTCAAGGCGCCCTCAACCGAGGCTTTTCTGAAGGACTTCACCCTGGTGGCCGAGGCGGCCAAGCGGGCGCAGATGGCTGTGCTTATGCGGGATCTTGACGGCGTCAAGCTGTCATAGACAGCCGGCTTCATTGAAGGTGTCCGTCGCTACCGCCGATGCTCATCACTCCTCTCCAGCTGCCGGATTCTTCTCTCAAGATGGGCTTTTGTGGGTGCCCCAAGAGAAGACATCGACTAGAACGCTTGCGGTCCGATTGAGCAGAGCGGCAAAATCAGCAGAGTATCCTCGTCGTTTGTCGGAGATCATCAAGGAAGGGAGCAGTTACTGCAGGAGAGACCGGATAACTCCGGCGCACAGACAGCCAGTCACCCCTCATCTAGACGCGGATCTCTAGGAGCATGCACAGGCGCGGCAGGTTTGGGTTATTCATCGGGGCCATGGGGATTCATTGCTTTCATACGGATCAGGCGTATATATCGGCGGCATGGGCAGCTATATCGGCGGCATGGGCAGCTATATCAGCACAGGCGTTCTTGCGTTTGGGTATGGACAGGGGTTCGTCGTTGTCATTAAGAATTTCTCGTATACATTCTTGGTTTTTTTCGTCGTCTTGTTGATCGTCATCCACAACATACACATGGAACCGCGCGCCACACCTAAGGGCAGCTCTAATTCGGACACCAGGTCAGAGCCAGCACGCTGGAATGATAACTACAGCGTCATGAACACTCACCCCATCTATTACCCTTGTTGTAACCGTATTGTACAACGTACCCACCCGTCCAAGCAACGCATTCCAAACCACGTTTCCACAATATCCTCTGCCTCCATCCCATCCGCCCGCTCATAACCAAGCAGGAACTCGGACTACCGCCAAAAACTTAAATCTTACTCATCAAGCTCACCCCCCCATCCACGCGCACAGTCGCCCCATTCACAAACGCGCCCGCCCGGCTCGCCAGGAAGAGACACGCGCCGCCCACGTCGGCGGGTACGCCGATGCGTCCCAACGGATTCGCGCCCCGGATCTCGTCCCCAAACTCCCGCAGCGTCGCAGCCATCATCTTGCTCGGGAACGGCCCGCACGCCAGCGTGTTGCTCGTGATGCCCCTCGGCCCTAGCTCCACGGCCAGGTGCCGGCTGAGGTGGTGCAGCCCTGCTTTGGTGGCTGAGTAGGCGAAGGTTGGGAGGGAGGGGACGCGTAGCGCGTCGATGCTGCCTATGTGGATTATCCTGCCGGGGTCTGATGATACCGGGTGATTGTCTGGGTTGGCTTGGGAAGGCGAGGAGGAGGAGGACGAGGAGGATGTGGTGGCGGAGAGGAGCGGGGTCAGGAGCTGAGTGAGCGTGAAAACGCGGTGGAGGTTGAGCGTCAAAAGCTTCTGCCAGGCCTGGTCCGGGTACGTATCGTAACTCTCGCCCCAGGTGGCGCCCGAGTTGTGGACGAGCACGTGCAAACGGCGCTCGCGAGAGGCGAGCTCCGAGGCGAGGCGCTGGCATTCCGAGAGCGAGGAAAGGTCGGCAGGGAGAGGGATGGCCCCCGAGTTGGGCCTGACGCCGGGCAGGGCGTTCAGCTCGGCGCACGCGGCGGTGCAGGCTGCGGCGTCGCGCGAGGAAATATACACTTTGGCGCCGTTGACGATGAAGGCTTCAGATATCATGCGTCCGATGCCTTTGGCGCCGCCTGTCACAAGCACGACTTTGTCCTGGGATGCGGTGTTAGTCTGGTGAAAATGGGAGGGGGGTGAAGAAGGGGGGGGAGGCGGGGGGGAAGGGGACTACTTTGACGCTGAAGAGGGACTGGATATCCATGGTGAGGCTGCTCTACTATCCGAGGAAATTGTACTTGGCTGTAAAATTGTGACTTTTGTCCTGGGATGTGTTTACAAGAGTCATCAAAGAGTGTAAGTTGTGTGGTTGAGATTATCCCGCTGATGAGGTAAGCCGAGCCGAGGCAACTCAATGCCGGGCCGCTTGCCAAGAGCGAGGAAAGTATGTACGAATAGCACAACTTCAGATGTGGTTTTCTGCCAAATACATAACAGCCAATAAGCTGCTAACCTAATACGGCAAGCTACTTTGTCAAAGTACCATATATCTTTCCACAGCATTTTACCGTTCAACAATCACGAAACAACACCCAGGAGCGTCTGCTCTACCAAAGAAGGCGCCAGCTGTGGAAAATGGCACAGACCCAAAGGCCCCAGGTAAGGATTTCCAGTAGCCAAACCATGGCAGACGCATACCAGTTCCCCTGGCGCGTCCTTCCACGCGCAACTTTCGGGTCAGATGCGAAACTGGGTTGCATGCATCTTGTTCTCGTGCGTGTTGAACGTGATCTGAAGGCCCCTGTGGATGTTGGCCTGGTTGTGCGAGTATTGCAGGTGTGCTAAACGAGAGCCACAAAAGCAGGGTCAGAAACCCGGCTCGGAGGATGCGCGACAGGATATTGTCTGAGGGAAGCTTGGGAGAAACTTACCTGTAGGCCCCTGCACGCCGACGGTGCACTCATGGCCGCCGTCGCCCACATCGTAGTACCTGAACGAGACTATGTCGGGCTGGGCTTCCTCGAGCGTCGCGTTGAAGTGGAAGTACTGCTCCTCGTGCTTGTACCGCGTCACATACCACTCGACCGTGAAATGCCGGTTCGGTGCCGCGCCCGAGACCTCGTAGTAAACGCCGTGCGGCTTGCCCGCGGCGATCATCAAGTCGGCCCAGTACGGGAAGAGGGCATGGGGGGGAATACCGTTGCGGGACGGCAGCGGCTGGCCCTGACGGTGCGCCCGCGCGTCCGTGTGCCTGTCGAGGCAGATGAAGCCGTTCTCGGTCACCCACAGCGTCTTGCTCGCGTGACCGTAGAGCGTGACGGGGAAGGGCAGGTCGACCTTGTGAAACACGTCGTCGATGGTCGGGTGGTGGCCCGTCAGCGAACCGATAATGGCGACCGGGTTGCTCAGGGTCTGCTAGAGATGTGAGCCAAACTGGGGGAGAGGCAGTGAGCTGGCGGACTGACCACTTTGTTGGGAAGAGGATTCTTCTTTGCCTCGGGCCCACCTTGCTGCTTCTTCTTGGCCTCCTCGGCATCGTGCTTCTTCTTCCTCTCCTCCTCCGCCTGGATCTTTGCCCTCGTTTCCTCCTCAATCTGCCGCCGCGCCGCCGCGCCAGCGCTCACCTTTGGAATGCCATTGAAAGCGGTCGACTTGGAGCACACGTCCCACTCGGCGATGGTGCGCCGCGGGTGGAAGTAGACCTTGGTCTTCCACTCGTCGTCCACAATGACGGCCGCGACCGCCGAGAGGGGCATGCGGGTGCCTTTTGCCGGCGAGAGTGCCGCAGCAGGGGCCTTGTTGATGTTGACCGGCGCGGGCGCCCAGCCGCCCTGCTTGCGGTCAAAGTGGTACTCGTACAGATCGTTCTTATCGTCGGTGGTGAAGATGCGAATCTCGAAGAAGGCCGAGGCGTAGTTCCAGGCGACGGCAGATAGCATGGCCGAGGGGAGGAGCTTGTACGCGGGCATTTCGACTGCACTCGCGAGTCAGTGGACGGAAAGGCATCTCAGATAAGGGGGCACACATACTGGGGGTCCATCGAGTGTGGTCGTCGCGGTAGACCCCGGCCAGCGTCTCGTTGGGCGTGACGAAGAAGAGGCGCATCTCGTTCCAGCCGCCCGAAACGGCCGTCAAGGGGCTGCCCGGCTTGGCCTTGTCCGAGGTCAGGACGATGGCTGACGTTCCGGTCCAGCCCCTGCCTTTATTGGCAAGCTCGTGGATGGACTTGTCGGCGGCTTGGTAGTAGACATGGAGGGTCCCGTCCTCGGAGCGAACCGCCGCAAACTTGGAGCCAGCGAGGGGCTTGACTTCCGGGAACGTGGTGTCAGCGGTAGAGGCAGGGGGGGTGTCGGCAGGACGCAGATTGGTCTCGGCCCAGCCGGGATGGGGCGGCACCAACTTGGCCGGCGCCGGGAGCTCAATGTCGAAGCTATCATGGACTTGTGGCTTGAAGGAGGTGCGATTCCAGCGCTGCCACCAAACGACACATTAGCATCATCTGACTTTTTTCAATTCAAAGTCCAGGGGCAGGGAATGGGATCATTAACTCACTTCCCGGAGAGTGCCGCTTTTGTCGGCGTAATAGACTCTGGTCTGCTCGAGCGGTTTGTATCAGTCCTTGTTCTGGCATGTTGGAGGCAGGAGACTGACCTCGTAGACATCTTGCTCCACCCACCATCCAACACTGGCAATGGCACTGCCGGCTCCGACATCGTCGGCTACCAGGTCGTCGACGGCGGGCGCATGCCAGCCCTGACGGGTGCTGAACCTCGACTCGCGAATGATATCGCAGCCGCGGTTGTAGCCAAAGTGCGACGGCTCGCTGTGGTAGAGGCGGATGTGCTGTTCTCTGGGCCGTGCCGCCCCGTTCTCGGCCGCCGGCTTGGGAGCACAGCACTGCCTGATGTGCGAAGGACGTCCATCGGGGTGTACGAAAGAGCAGGCCGCCAGGTGGAAGGTCGTGTAGGGTATGTCTGCCGCGTCTCCTGCGCCCTTGGCGGCAGGCACAACGATATTGCTGACAGTCATGTCATGGACAGCTGGGGCATCACTGACGACACTTGGGGCATGGAGAGAGGCCGCCTGGAGCTTTGCGATGACAGGGCTGGCGTCGACGGCTACCCCGTTCGTGGCATGTGAAGCGGCGGTCTCAGTAACGGTCGCCATGTCGAGGAAGTGAATAGGGGCTGAGTGTTGTTTCTAGTGAAAGGCAAGAGAACTGTTGTTGAGACTGCCAATGGATGCTTGGTCAAGGAGAAGAGAGTCGGCTCTTATACGTACGAGTCGAGACAGCTTCACTAAGTTCAGTCTGGTGACGTCTGCGAGAGGCACTTTCATCCAGTGTGGTTGCCATCCTGGCCGCGTAATGGACCGTAGAGTTGTAGATCCAGAAGCGATGTTCCCCGTGGAGCTTGAGCTCAGCTACCTTGTGCTAAGCTGCATCATTTGTTTTGGGAAATTCTTGCGTAGGTTTGCGGCCTCGTGTAAGCTGAAAGAGGAGTCGGCGGTAACCGAAGCGTCTTGGGTAGGATCATACTACGCGTGTAGAATCGGTCGATCCATACATAGCTTATGCCCCGAAGCCCGCAAACTGTCAGCTAGTGTTTCTTTTTGATAAGAGTGATGAAAATATTTGCTGCCCTACCTTGGTTATTCATTGATACCATCTCAGATCTCAAACATCTGAACATCCCCTTCAGAACACCCATGGTTGCTGTGGCCTTTCTTGACCGGTCGGCCTCTCGATATTCGTTGTCCGAGTTACCGTGCATGTGCAAACTGCATATGTGAGTCGATGATTCTGTACTGGACAGGCGAAGCTGAACGGTCGCATTGCTGTCTTGTCCACTAGGAATCATTGGCCCAAAGAGCGCCGCTCGGTTCGGCAACACGACGTCCCATCTCCTAAAGCGGGTTTTCAGCTCATGCCTGGCCCCTCGAGTCGCAGCAACTGGATGGAATTGTTGATGAGTTTAATGTATCTCCTGGCGTGGTTCTGCATTTGTCCCCGGCATAGTCGGCGACGTCGCTTCAGCATCCGACCGGAATCCCGAGCCAGCCCCGAAGCTTCTAATGCCTATCGCGCCCTGGGGCTGGAGATGGATTGTGCACAGGAGCCATGGGCCGCGGGAAGTAGGGCATCTGCACCTACAATCTACATTCAACCCATAAAGCAGAGTCGTGGGCAGGGATCCAGATGGTCCCCGCTTCGACTTCCTCTCGCCGTCATTGTTAACAACCATGATCATTCCCCCCTACTCCCTCTAGGACCCGGCAAGCACTTCGACCTGGGGCAAGGTGCAAAGCAGGTTGCAATTCAGGTCAATTCAGGTCAATTCAGTCGACCTGACCGTCACCCAAGACGCAGAATCGACCTTCTTCCCGATTCATCCGTCCCTGCGTGCTCGCCTCCTCTCTCACCCCGTCGTTCTCCTCAACGAATTATAATGTTCCCCCAACCCGTACCCGTGCCGATAGTACGCCAACCAGATCGTCCTCCTCCCTTCTTCCCCCTTCCTGTTCTCCTCCCCCTCTTGTCCGTCAACAACAGCCCCAGCAGCAGGCCGAATAACCTCGACCCTCTCCCCGCCCTGCACGACCCGAATTTCCACCCCGTACGCATTCGCAAGGGCAGCGAGCTCCAGCTGGCCACCCCACTCGGCCGTATCCCGAATCTTTTGCACATACTTGTCCACCCCGCCCTCTTCCTCATGAATAAACCCCTCATACTCCTCCCGATGCGCCTTAATCCACTCGGCCGCAGCCCGCCTGACAACCCGATACGGCGCCACCTTAGCTCTCTCCCCCACCACATCCACCAACCCTTCCTCCCCGTTCCCCTCCTTCCCCTTTAAATCATGTTTCGGCGAAAGCGGAATGTCCAGCGCCTCCAGCTGATCCGCGACCGCAGAAAAGAGACAGTGCCCGTCGGGCGCGATCTCGCGCTCGCGCAGGGCGTGCGCCGCAAACGCGCGCCGCATGGCCTGGCGCTCGGCCGCGCGATGATCCGTCATGCCGGCGGCCTCGGACTCGGCCGCGCGCGCGGCGGCTTCTTGCTCTGCCTGGCGGCGGGCGAGGCGCTCTTTTTGGCGGTTGCGTTTTGGTTTTTGTTCTTGGGGCGGCGGCTGCTGCTGTTGCTGTTGTGTTTGTGCTTGTGCTTGTTCTTGTTGTGTTTGAGACTGTGTCTGCTGTTGTCGGGGAGCGAGGGTTGTTGTGGACTCCAATCTGTCGGCGAGGTTGTTGACTAGGGCTTGGTCTTGGTCTTCTTCGTCTCGCGGCCCTGGTTGTGGTCGTTCTCGGTCGTCGAGCGGCTGCCCGTCCACGCCATTGGGCTCATCTGCGTCGCCCATAAGTCTCCTCAGTTCCTCCTCATGGCGCTCCTTGGTCTGGCGCTCGAGCTCGGCGCACTCGTCGTTGACGAACTTGCGCGTCTTCTTGGTCGCGTTCTTTTTCTTGTTGGTAATGCGCCCCTGTAGGTCTCGAAGCTCCTTCCGGTGCCGCGCCTGCATCTGCTCGAATGTTTCCTCCATCGCTGCGGTTTGTTGTGGGACAGGTTTTTTGGTGGTGTTCTAGAGTTCGAGGCTTTGATTCGTTTCGAGGACCCCACTTCGAAGTTTGAAGTTCATGGCGGGGCATAACTTGGCGCTGCGGGTCAGGTCGTGGAATCGGAGAGCGTGGGTTAGGGTTCGCTGCGCATAACACTTAACATGGCGATTCATTCCCTCATGAAAAAGATATTGCGCCTGCAGAGAAGAGAAGGGGGTCTGACAACTACCTGTAATGTATTCCATCATCGTGCTAAGTTATCTCGAAATAGAGAATGAGCCAGCTCTGACAAACCCCATCAACACTCACAACGACCCTAACAAACTCCATTACGAAACACAGCACATTACCACACGAACCCAATCCAAAGTTCGAGAAGAAAGGTCTAGTATAGCTCTCTCTATCGATGAGGAAGCCCAACCGGTATATGGGGCTGGGCAGGCAAGTAGTGTCTTCTCATCCACCAAAGTTAAGGTAACATCAACTTATTCATTCTTACACACAGCGCCCTCAGCCAACGCCTGTCTGTGTCGGACCACCTCAAAAGAGCAGAGTAACAACATAAATCTAATACACCGAAAAAGGAGCTGTACTATATCCACCTCCAAAACTAACTTTTCAAAAATAACAGAATGGTATCATTCAATCAACCTGCCAATGAAATAAAACAAACCGGACGTGGCACAAGAAGAAGCATACCTTTCCCCAGTACAAGAAGTAAATGTGTTCCTGCCCGGTTGCTTGCACGTCTTCCGGGCAGCCATAATATACAATCCCTCCGACAAAGAAGCAAAAACGGAACCTTGAACACAGGAAGAGGGGAACAATATCCCATGGCCCCCAGTAAGACGATCATCAACGATCAGTCCCGAACTGGGTTGATGAAAACGACAACAAATGAAAATACAACCCCGGAAACAGCGCGAAAGAGCGTGTGTGTGTGAACGTGTGGATGCGAAGGAGCGGATGAGTGTGAGAGAGTTTGAAAGGAGGCGTCAGTCATGACCGGGACCGCGGCGTCCGCCACGAGACATAATAATAAGAAAACAGCGGACAGAGAACCCCAACGACCAGGCGCTCCTAGAAACCCCTGAAGGGATCATTATCACCCCTCAGGTACCACTCGTCAAGGGTTTCGTCCGTGGCCCGCGTGCCCCTGCTCTGGTAGCTGTCTCGCTGCCGACTGCTCCGGCTCGCCCTGCGGCGGAGCTCCTTGCTGCGCCGGCGGGACACGTGCCGAAACTCGTCGGCGGGCTCGTACGGCGCGTTCTCGCTGAACTGGCTGAGCGAGAGCGGGCTGATGAAGGCCTCCATGCGCACCGTGCCAATGGCTTCAAAGATGTTTGGTCCACTGGGTCGGCTCGAGGCTTCCGATGTCCGCACCGACGGCGTCGTCCACGTCATGCCGCTCGATCCCGTGACGGCGCTGGCACCACCGTTGCTGTAGATATCCGACGACCCCGCCGTCATAACGCTGTTGCCCGCCGTGCTGTTCGAGGCCGTGTGGTACCCGCCGCTGCCGGCGGGGCCAGAGAAGCCTCGAAACGAGAGCGGCGGCGGCACGTGGCCGCCCGTGTTGCTGCGCTTGCGCCCGTGGACCGGCATCTGGCTTGCTCGGTCAAGGAACCGGGGGACGGTAGGCGGCTCCGCAGCGTCTCTCGACATGTCCCTTGCGTGCGCGGGGAGGTGGTACACCTCGGGGACCGGAGGCGGCCGGTAGGTAGGAACAGGCGGGGCGCTGTCCATCTGCGACGGCTCGGCCGTGAGCGGATCCGACTTGATGACGGCCGTCTTGGACTTGGTAAGGCGGATAGAGTCACGAATCGCCCGCCGCTTAGGCTTCGGTAACTCGTACTGTTCGACCAACGGCCTCGGCTGCGGTACCACCAAGGTCTCTGGTATGGCCTGGTTAGAGTGCGCCAGAAATGACAAGGACGTAAGCCAAATATAATGACGCTCGGCGTTTTCGGCCGTGAATTTCAGCGCGCGCTCCGGTGTCAGAATCAGGATCGACCGGTTGAAGACTTGGGCGACCCCCTTAGGAGGCGGGTTGTCATCCTTGACGTCCAGCACCGACTGAATTGTCACTGCACGAGGTCAGTAAACAAACCAATCCTACTTCAGATACGGACCACTTACACTTGCGGCCAGACTTGCCCAGCAGCGCGCTTCCCGAAGCCGGCTGCTTGCTGCTCCAGAGAATCGCCCGCTCATACGGTGCAAGCCAGACCCATCTCTTATGACGGTCGTTGCTGCTGTCGTCGCCGCCTCGGGCATCCGAAACCCCAAACGACTTGCGTCTCCGCACATACTTGAGCATCCATTCGCCGACCATGGTTTGCGCAATGGCGTCCACCACTGTCGGCGGCTGGTTTGACCTGCCCTGTGACCCGGCGCCCGTGTCGGCCGTGTTCGCGGTGGTGTTTGACGGCTGAGACCTGTGGCCCTTGCATCTCGGCGCCATGTATCCATCCCTTGTGCGCGGCCTCGTGATATCATTGTTGGGCAGCGGAGGAAGCCGGGGGCTCTCAGTCGCTTCCGTTGACGGCGAAAACGGAGGCGGCGAGCGGCTGCCGCGCCGCCGGTGTCTCTGGCTTCGAGGAAAACCTGTAGCGGAGCGCACTTTGCGGATGCTATTAGCGCGGTAGTGACTCCGGTTCGAGCCTCGCCTGGACCAAGCATCGGAGCCTCTGCTCGGGCTTGTGCGTCCATCACTCGGCGCGCTTGTGCTGATGGGCGGCTTCCTTGAGCTGGCCCTTGTTGGAATGGGAAACGGAGGTTCCTTCGCATCCGTGAGGCTCGGACTTCTAGTCCTCTGATGAGAGACGATCCCGCTCTGGATCATGGCGGTTCGGCGCATGACACTCGACTTTGTTCCGAACATTGAAGGCCGCCCGCCGCGTCTCGAACTCTTTCTGCCAAATCCCATATCGCGAACATCATGAGTTGGGTACCTTGCAGAGTCAAAGCCTTCACCATCCTCCGAAGTCCGAGACAAGAAGCGGTAACTGCCTTTCGGTGAAAATGCATTTTCTGATGACGTGGCAGTGCCCACGGAATTGCGCTTCACACCGCGACTCGTTCCGTTTCTTGGTTTTGATGGCGCTGACAGCGCGGTGCGGTACTCCGATTCGCTCATGTCCGCCTCCAGGAATTCGTCAACTTCGTCGGAGCTGTTCCCATCAAAACCCGCAAACAAGCTGCTAATCCGTGGCGGCCGTCGGATGGGCGCCTTTTGGCTTGATAATGGACCGTCATCGTTATGCCCTGGGTAGAGATCGTGAGTCTCCTCGAGAATGGAGGACGAGAACATCGGAGGCGATGAGGGCAGCTCTGTCAAGCTTCGATTGGTAGCCAGGCGTCGCGGATTCCGTGGCGGCACAGTGCCAGGGATTGGCGTAAACTGCCGAGTCTCCTCGCTAGCAACATCTGCCCCACCGACGGCAGGGGAAGATGGCCTGGAGGTAATGGCAGAGGGATGAAGATGTGGAGGAAGCTTGTCCAATCTCATGTCAATCCTGATCTCTTCCGTCTGCATGCCTGACGAAATTGTAGGCACTGTAGTCAGCAGAGATACCTGGCACCCGAAATCCTTGGACAACTGTGGGAGGCGCGGTTCGCGGGGCGTCGTTGGTCGACTCGAGGGGATGATGCTGATGCTGGGGATGGGCAGCGTCAGCCCGTGGAACGGTGATTGGAGCGGAGGCGGCACGTCATCGGTTTGTGTGGATACGGAAACCATGGCAGGAGGCTCGGCCTTTGGCACTGGCGGCGCGTCCTGGAAAGGCGTCTTGGGCGTCTTGGGTGGACTGAGAGGCTCTTCAGCGGTTTGAGACGAGCCGTTGACCATTAGATTATGAATGCCGGGCATCTTGATCGCAAGCGGCTGACCCGAATGCACCCGCTTCCTCCTCTGGTTCGCCTCAATCTCGCTGTCAGCACGAGGAGGGCTGTCGACATCGTACAATCTTTCAAGCCGTTGCATGATCAGGGAGGTTTCGGGCGTCGAAGGCTTGGCCGGAATAATTGTGGGCGAAGGCGGAGGCGAAAATTGAATTCCTGTGTCCACATAGCTGAACTTAGGAGCGGGCGGCTGCGATTCATCATCCTCCTTGATGATGCCATCCTCGAGCTTCTCGAGCGCAGCGGCGTTGAAGGCCAGCTTTCCGCGAAGCGCAGTGCCGGGCCTCACCAAGCTATCATTGCTCCGGTGTCTCTGGTGGGTTCTAAACGCAAGGCTCTCTCGACTGAAGTTCCGCATGTGGCTCTTTGACAGGACGCTGTCCCGGCCCCCATAGTCGCTCTCCTCGTCGTAACCGTCAAATCCCAGCTCGTCAGCCAGCGAGTTTCCGTTGGCCTTGAGGATGCTGTTTGCAACCGAAAATCGGATACTGTTCGTGATGCTCATGCTCCTAACACTCGTAGCGTCGTCTTTGACGCTCTCTTCCCCGTCGCTCTCTGCGCCGTTTGGCACTCCATTCAGGCCATTGGCCTGGGCGGCCTGGAACGCAGCAACCTCATCGAGGACCACTTTCAAACGTGTTTCGGCGACGTGGATCCTGCGCTCATACTTGCGCTTCTCCTCCTCCCATTCATCCTTCTCTCTTGCCCATTGCTCATGCACGCGCTCCGAGTCTTCCTCTTGGCTTCGCAGTTTCTTTTGTGTGGCCTCGAGTCGTTTTCGGGTCTCGGCTGCTGACTCAATCGCCTCATCGCGCTCCTTCGCTAATTCACCAAGTGCGGATGATGTCCCGCCTTCCAGCAGGGATAGTTGCCGCTTCAGTGACCGGCTCTCCTTCCCCGTCGACAATAATGAGGCCTGCAACGATTCCGTCTCCTCTCGTACCGTATGTAGGGACGTCTCGAGACTCTCGATGATCTTCAACTTTTCCTCCTGGTCTCTCCTGAGAGAGAGTATTTCTGAAACCAAGCTGGCGTGTAGTGTCGGCGTAAAGCGCCTCGGGTCCAGAATGCTGATGTTCTCATCATTGGTGACGTCCCTGGACGACCTTTTGGATCCCCTCTCACTCTTATCCCCAGGAAGCGGTGGGGGAGAGCGGCTTTTGCCCTTCTTTCCGGGTGGTGTCACGGACCTCCCGGATTTCCGCGAACCTCGCGAAACGGTGCGCGAGAGAGGACGATGTGGCGTGTCTGTCACCGGCCCGATCGACTCATCTTCTGTTTCCCACACAGCCATAGTGTCTGGGATCGAGTTCCCGGGAACTGACAAGAACCGCAGTCTCGCACTTGGCCCGAAAAAAAAACCCCTCAGGTCATTGCTGGAGAAGTCTGCAATTGGCAATCGGTATGGCGAGGGCGTGTAAGTGATGTATCGACGCAAGGCGGCGCAGCGCTGAACTGCGATAATCCCTGTCCGTTCAGGATCAAGCTTATCCAAGGCTATTTAGTGAAGCACATGCAAGCAGCCGACAAACCAAATTCGGAACCTCAACCGAACGTCAATGCCCCAACCAGTCCCTCGTACGACCAAGCGATTGCGCAGGCAGAATAGCGCCTTGGAAAGTGCTGTGTTGGTCCTGCAGCAATGAGGCGGATTACTCTCTCTCAAGTTGGAGACGTGTCGGCGGCTGGTGCGACATCAGGAGAACTCGTCCATCGATTTGCGCGCGCGTTGCGAATCCCGGCTGACGATTGGTCAATCAGCAAGTCTGCTCCTCCAACTGTTGACCTCAGGGCTTGAAGGTATAGCATGCGCGTTATGGAACCGGCACCCCTAATACGCCAAGGGCAGCATTGCTAACCTGACATTCCAAAACTTGGGGGAAACCTCGGTACATCAAGGTGAGAACACACTCACAGGATGTGGCCAATGATGATTGTCTTGCTGTCGTCAAAACAAGCAAGCGACGGGTGCAATGAACCACTGCTGTTCGATGATGAAACAATGTTTGTCCGGGGATGCTGCTGCGGGGTGCTCGTGGCTTTCCCGGTCTGCAGAGGTGGAGCCTCTGGATGGGATGAACAGCGGTTCGTGTTAGATTCGGATGCGGTTCAGGCTTCGAAGGCGGACGAGTACGTCAAAGCTGTCACAGTATGTGTCAGTCAATAAATTGTGAACAAGATGCCGTGTCGTTGGGACGGGATTGCCGCTTGGTAAAATCTTGTGGTACAATACACGCACCTTGCAGCAGCAGGTCCTCCAAGAAGGAGTCCTGGATCAACGATCAGGCGGGGGAGAAAAAGAGGCCCTCGAGGCGTCAAAGCGAAAGGCTCGAAGTGGAGTCGAAAGCAAGAAGCACGACTCGCAAGGAAAGAAAGGCGAATATTGCGTCGCAACGGGCGAGGAAAGGAAGCCGTCGGCTCGATAAGAAGTGCGCCGTGTCTGGGGAGCACTTCGTGCTCGAGACTCACCAGGCGAAAGGGAAGCGAATCCGAAGAGCACTCGGTGATGGCGAGCCAGGTGAAATTGCGCAGACAACAACCCGTTCGAAAGACTCGAGATATCAAAAAGAAGGGAAACAATGCGTCAAAATGCCGAGCTCGAAGTTTAGATTGTCTTCACAACAAGATTCGACGCACATCTGGGCGGCGTGGGTTATGTACGGGTACTCCACTTTCCAAGACACGAGCTTCAGCAATAGCAAGAGCAAAGGCACCAAGTGGGGGGAGATGATGGCCCCTGGCGAAAAGGCGAGCAGCGGCCGACCCGGAGGACCTGGAGTGCTCCTTCCACACCCGTGGACCACCTGCAGCACGGAGCACAAATCGGGGAAAACCTGCACAATGTGCAAGAAACCGCGGACAGGGCCACGAGGATGCTCCCGTCCATTGGAGGGATCTTGACTGGACACTCGATTTTCATCAATCTTCAGGTGATGAACGTCAAACTACAACACCCGCGTTTCGCCCACCTGCGGAAGAACCCAGACCGGCGTTACACAGCGGGACGAGCATGTGCTAATACCGAGACCGAGATATGGAGGTATTTCTCATCCGTTATATCCACCGTCAATGTCGAACAGGGAAATCATTCATCTCAAGAGTCTGAAGAGGCGGGGTTTAACTTCATTGCTGGGTGGGAGAACCCAAATTGGGTCAAGTCAGACTTGGCCCCGGCTTGCCATTGTGAACTCGCCTTCTCTGGTCATCGGTCTTTGCAATTCACAACGCCCTCAAGCGACTCGGCTCACGTTTTGCGCTCTCCGTTGGGCCAGAATCTGTCTCTGGAACGTCACTCCGTCCCTCCAACATGTGTAAAGTGCAACTCGATTCCGTATGCGCCCTCGTGGGTGCCACCAGAAACGGCCATTCACGGAATCTTGGATGATGGGACCCTGGAATTCAGCCCGAGGCGACGGGTCCCGAAAAGGGGACGAGGCCCGGACACACCGTTCGGCTGGCCGGTTTTGGACCAGGCCACTGTGACGACCAGCACGAAGCAGCGAATAGGAAGCGACCCCAGGGTGAGTCCAATTTCCTGATGTGATAGGATGCTGAAGATCGCCCGGGGCCCAGAATTCAACAAGTGGACCTGGCGGGTGGTTCCACAAGAAACCGCCGCCTCCACAGGGGCTCTTTCAAGTCCAACTTCGAGCACTTTCCTGGATCCAACAGTTCAGACTTTGATGAGATGATAGGAGGTTGAGCAGGCGGCCACTCGCATCCTGGCTTTAACGGACACGGATGAGTTGAGGAAGAAAATAGCTGCTGCGCAACAAATCGCGGCTAACTCCCCAGTGCTGAATTGCTCCCACTCGGCACCCGTCCCTTATCACCGGAACTGCAACCTCTTGTCACCAGCAAGCTAGCCGAATGGCACGGCTTGACATTGAATGTCAAGATGCAGCGTCGCAGGGCCTCTGTGACCTGATCTTTCACCAAGATCAATGAAGGGCTGGATAGGGTAACGATAGTTGACGATATAAGTTCGAGTTACCGTCGGGCTAGCCGAATTTAAGGTTCAAGGGCGACGTGCGAACAGGAAACACCACCAACCCGACTACCTACTGTGGTACAATTGACAAGTCTCGTCTATGGACATTGTGTCGGCGCCACACGGGAACGGTCTCGGTTCTTGTGTGAGACAGGGTCAACCACTGCTGTGTCACCTTCCCGAGCCATGCATCAAAGGCCGGGCCACCAGGATGTTTCTCGCGATTTAGACCCCCATTCTCACTTGGCCTGCGAGTACGGATACAGGGCTGATATCCACTGCCACATGCGCTCAACCCCATGCTTTCAGTTCCAGAAATCGTCGATCTGGATATCCACTGTAAGGTCACACAGTTCCATCCCCTCCTCCTCAAAAGATGACTCTCACCATACAGCCGGGCTCGCGAGGACCGGTCAATTTCCGTCACGCCAAAGCAAAAGAAACCAGCGTTCCAGGCATAGGAAGCAGCCTCCAACGCGCCAAGTCGAGCCCAGCCAAGTGAACATGAGCACGAGTCCGGGGAAAAGAAGGCCGCCCAGCCCTGTGGCGGTTGCATTCTCCGAGCCTGGAGGACGCGTTTCCCTGCCCGCTGAGCCCATTGGCTGAGCTCTTCATCACGGAGAGACAAGCCTGTCCTCTTTCCCTGGCCGCAGGCACCCGTTGGTCAACAGACGCCCCAATCGAGCCGCGATACACGCCGAGATGAAGGGCGTTTCTTGTGGAGAATTAACAACTCAAGCCACCGGCCTCTCCCCTTCGAGGACGACCTTGGCCCTTTTCTCTGCTGGCGGGAAGGACCTCCCAATGTCGATCTGCGATCGCTTGCGCGGCATGCAGTCCACCATGCAATGCAATGCGGACAGTGACATGAACCCCTGCTTGCTGCAAGACGCACGGGGTAGTTTAGATATTGTGGGAAAAAGAAAAGGCCACCCGTGGTGCCTGCAAGGGGACCCTTCACGCGACGACAGTTGCAGAGGTGCCCTGAAAGACGCGAGAGGTACGGAGTATGGAAATTAAACGCGCCTCTGGCCTGGGGCCTGAAACTCGCTTGATGTCCACGCAGCTGACGAGTTTGCGTTTGGTACTTCAATCACGGCATCCCACTCCGTGGATAGATCACAGGCAGGTGTCTGGTGACTCTGGTCTGATCACTTCCACGTTCAATCAGCCACCGCGCACCCATCAAGGGGACAGCCAGCAGTTCAGCTGTACGACATAATTGATTGCTTGCCAAGTGAGTAGGAGATTTGACAACGTTATAATACACAGCTGGACTGTCCACTGGCATATTGCAACTTTCCTCGAAGACCGTGGACGGAGACGGAGGGAACCGCTCATCAGCTAGGCACCTCTCGCCTAATTCCAGCTCACTGCAGGTAGGTCAGCGACACTGTAACTGAGTTAGGATACCCTCAACCTTTTTTAATTCATAAGGTAAAGTGTCATGGTTATAATCCAGTCATTGGCAGATTATTGATCTCACACCGCGAGGGCAAGCGGTCCCTCCGCGCTATTTTACATGCAAGGCATCCGCTCCCGTACTGCGTCCGCGCAGCTTAGTTGCCGCTCGGGCGCTCCTAGCAGTCCCTCCCATCCAGCAGTCCGGAATTCACCGTTCCGGCTTGGTGACGACGAAGCTGTGGGGGGCCATCCGGCCGTGTTCGTCACTTAGCTGCATAATTCGCGCTGCGCGCTTGCGGCTCCAGCATGGAGTCAGAGCCCGGTGCGCTTCTTCCTTTTTTCTCCCTCTGGGCTCCCAGTCCCTTCACCTTCCTCTGGGTCTTCCTCTGCTTCCTCACGCTCCAGTTCCATCGAGAGCCTATACTCAGCCAGCCTCCCAAGGCTCATGAGCCAGGTGACTATCCGCGCTACGCTGGAGCAGTCTCCAAGAGCTCTCATCAATCAGGTCGTGCCTGTTTCTGAGCTGGGGTGTCCCGTCTTTGAGCTCTTGGTCTTGGCATCTAAGCACCACCGTCTCCGGGGCTCTCACGCAGCGGCAAAGCGGCGTGGGCACCCCAGGGACCCGCCTTTTAAAGAGGAAGTCTTTGAGGCCAATTTCTCCCGTGCGAGCCTGTGTTAGCAGCGAGCTCTTCGCCTTGGTCAGCCCTTTGTGAGCTTGCAGTGGTTGTGCTGCAGGATCGAGCATATAGAGATCGGCTGCTTCCCTGTAGCGGCGCGGGCGTAGCGTGTCCGCGCGCTCTGTTTGCCTTTCCCGACGAATCTTTCATTCCTCGATTGTTGGCTGGTCAGCGTCCAATCCCACCCATCCTATATGAGGCGCATGCTGGGCGTCTTCGATGCTCGGTTGTCAACCGCCATCCATCGGATACGCCTGTAGCCATTCCTTGGCTGGCAGATTATCATGACCATCATCATGCTGGCATCAAGCATGAACTGATGAAAGCTACCGGAAGTGCAGGGTACGTAGTTCATTGGTTAGGATCTACTACTAGAATCTCGATTCGCGACCGATGCTCATGCTCCCCTAGCCCAAGATAAGCTGGAATAACGTTATGGCGGGCACTAACTCAACACCCTCCTCCACCGACTCAAGCCTTAACCTCCCGAGCCCCTAAAGTACCGAGTAGTCAGAAGAGATGGCAAATCGAACATCTCAGCCTCTTGCATTCCCAACATCGATCATCTGTGATGTTTTCCTTTCCGCCGCATTGGCAGCAGAGCCACTGAGTGACTTCCCGATCGCTACGTGTTGGTCTTGAATCCGAGCCCGGGTTTTACTGCTTTGAGAACCTGGCTCCGATCTGGTGTCGACTTCCTCGACTCGGCCGTGGGTATTCCTGGGATGAGCTCCAACTCCACCACCGCGGCATGAGAGGGATATGTAGCCGACTGGGTCACTGTGGCCCCCGAGAGGAGGCCTGTGAATGTTGTAGTAATATTGACGCATGGTCGTTGGGTGGTATTGAAGGATGTTTCGTTAAGGTGGTGGTGTCAAACTTGAAGGAAGGTATGTTGAGTGGATTCTCGGAGACGTTGAAAGGCGCTGAAGAGGAACACAACCTCTACTTGATCTGTAGACTAGTCAAGCTACGGGTTTTATATATTCATTTGTATTGCAAAGGACAAAGCTAAACTTCTACTTGGCCCCGCGGCCAACGATCACAGGAAGGTTGCCAAACAGGCAGCATAATGACCACTGCACATGTGCAGGTGCCACTGAAATATCCCATCATCCATTGATGCCACGTTGGGCGGGGTATTGTTGAATGCAAGAACCACGCTGAAGTTATACTTGACAGCACAGAGTTCATGCGTGTCACTAAATGACCTTGTCAAGGACTCCATTAGTACCAACTTGAAGCTTGGTCATGGCAGCCGGCAGGGTCGGGGCTCCATAAACTGGAGGCGTGCAATACGAGAGTTGGAAATGTGTGCAGTGGTACGGTTGACAAACCTAAGGTACCTAAGGTAGGCTTGGTCCTTAGGTTGCCTGATATATGTCTAAGGTACAGCACGTGGAGGGGCACTACAAGCTTACCATGTGGCAACTGGTCTTTTCTTTCCCGCCCTTTTCTAGAATTTGATAGTCGTTGTTCCAATTAGTATAGAGAGATCGAGGGAGAGAGGACACTCACTCATTAAGGTAGTATGAAATAGATTCAACCTCATATAATGCAAGGCTACCACTTCCACTTAATGTACTACTTGACCTGCGGCTAACAATGTCTTGGGGTCCTTGGGAAGAGTCATGTGCTCCTTCTCGATTATCATCGCCCTTCTGCCTCTCCTCCTTTAACCACCTAATACAACTGTTCATATTTAGATGTATCCGTCATGATTCCTTTGTACGGGGTAACGTTACAGATGCGCATAGATATGTGCCGATACTAAGGTAGTTACATCCATGATGTCCCTGTTACAGCGCCAACCGCGACATGTACCACCAGACCACATTCACCAGGTGCAAGTAACCTCATCGAATCGATAGTCATCACAACGTATCTGGTTGATGGGGCCGCACGAAGGGTCATTCGTGATTGAAGTGAGCGACAGGCAGCGCTTGGCCTGGCCGCTAAAGTAGAAATGGCCCCTGCCTCGTGGCCAATCCATGCAGAGCTCGGTCATGCCGGGGACCTGGTTCTCTGGCGGATCGCGGCAGCCGCCCCTGGCATCGACGAAGTGTGCGCCAAAGGCCGAGTACCACCTCCCGTCCAGGTAGTTGCAGTCGACAGTAGTGCAGAAGGCGTGCACGATCAGGTAGTCGGCTGTGGCGAGGCTGACGAGCGGGGCTATGATAAGACCGAGGGTTGAGAGACGCATTTCGGACCGAAGCGGTAAGTTACCGACTGGAGTAGATGGGGTATTAGCCTTGGGAAGGGAACGAGGGTAGACGCTAGGGACGCACTATCTAGGCGCAGAGCTCAGTTGGGCAAGACGAATCAAATTCTGTCCTAGGGAATGTTGGCTTGAGTGGCGATGTTGATGATGGTGCTGTGAGCGGTAATAGGTAACAGGTACTTATGGTAAGGTGAATAGTTCCAGTGGCAGAACTCTCACGAGTTTATATAGTCCAGTCTGGCCTCTCCACCTTGACGGCAAATACCTCAATGAGTCAATGGTCGTACATGATAATGCTACATCATCCAGGCGGCGAAGAATCCTTCATGCATCCTGTATTGGGACTGTGCTGTTTCCCCACTCAGAGAATGGATCTTGAGTTGGGAGGTTGTCCTCTTATTGGGGAAGGCCGGACCTGTACCGTAAGCACAATGCCCGCAGTTGGGGGCCGAACCAAACTTGACCCATCCAAGGACTGCGCATGGCGCCTAATTGATTTTAGAATGTACAGCGGAAGTCGGTGTGCCCCTTAGTATGCTTTGGATTCAACTAGCTCTCTTCATGTCGGCAACGTATTACATGCCACTCCCTTAAACTGCCCTCTCCCCTAACTGTAGCCATGAAGGAGACTGTTCCACTGGGACGGGGTACTTGTCCAGAGATTCATACCACTGCGCAACTGAGCCGACCTGAATGCGGAATGGAGAAAGTCAGTCCAGACCGTTGACTATTGGGAGGACAAAGGATTGACATGGCTGCGTACTAGGAAAGCCCAAGACCCGATAAATGTCGACAGTGCTGAAGCGTACTCGAGGGCTGGAGAACTCTTCGAGTTGAAACCGACGGCGGGGCATAGAGTGAAGCCGAGGCCCCCTATCAAGTTCCAGAAGCCGATGTGCCAACTGAGCCTCTCTGGGGTTGGCTTGTACCTGATTGTCTTTTAGTTTTCACTGCAGTAAAAAGCACAAGGGGTGGCCAGTAGTTGTAGACCAGGGGAGAAGAGTGATGAAGACGGCCGGGTACACTACTAACCACTTGTCCTGAACCTCAACCATGAACAAGAGTTTCGACACGACGAAACCCGTGCCACCAACGACCTGCGGAACCCAGTAGACTCCGTTCACCAGGGGCACCGAGAGGGCGTTGTAGATGGGTGGCAAGGCCGTGAGGCCTGATATCCAGAAGATGGTAGCCCCAAGGAGCTGCACGAAGGACGCAAGGAAGCCAATTTCCTTGGTGTAGTGTGTCTTGAACTCGTGCCAGGTTGGCCACCATAGCCTAAGCAGGAATTCTGGTTAGTCTCGATTCTGTCCTGGGAACAGCCCAGGGGTTGAGGTTGCTTGTTCTGTCAAATCTGTGTGCACAAGTCTGAAGACTTACCAGCGCCGCTCCCTCTCCGATCTCGCATTGGCATCGTCGCCCTTCCTCTCTTCCAACCCCCCAGGTTCAGCCACATTGTTAATTGCCGTCGCCGCCATGGCTGCCACCGCGCTGTCCTTTAGCGGGGCGCGCCAGCCGCGGTGATGGTGCCGGCACGCTTCATGTTTGGGACGCAGGCTCCGCCGGTGGTCCTCCAACGACGCCTCCAATGCCCAGCCAAAGCAGTCAGACCCTAGAGCAACACAAACAACAGATCAGTTCTGCCTGGAGCCCCTTCCTTTACTTGACGCCAGATCAAGTTGAATCTTTTCAACCACGGCTTTGGTACTTACTCTCCGCATTGGTGGCTTCTACAACCATCAGCCATGACCCAACCTCAAAAATGGTCGCCCCGATGAAGGCCAAAATCTCCTCTGCGTTGTCCGTCTCCCGCGGAAACTCGCTCTGCGGCGCGACCAGGGGCAGCCAGATGAAGCAGCCGTTGATACACACACGGTGGACCCTGAACCAACGCAGCAACCGGTCAGCAAATATTCACCTCCTGCCCCATATCTACCAGCTCAACACAGCGCATGAAGAGGTCGATTGGGGGCAGGGGCAGACAACCGCCTGGGCACCCAACACCGTCGAGCCGAGTAAAAAAAGAAAGAAAGAAAGAAAGAAAGAAAGAAAAAAGAGAAAAATGAACAAAACTGAAACGAAAAGGGGAGGTAAAAACAAACCAAGCAAAAAAGCCACAGCAACAAGGCAACTGACATCCCACACCGGAAAGCGCGTCGCCAGCCTCGTCAGACCCAACAGCGTGCTCCTGACACGCTGAGGGCGGAGAATATCTTCGCCAGCATCATCATCACCTCCACCACCACCCTTGCCTATTTTCCCTTGGGAAGAAATTTTTGGTTGGGTCATGATGATGACTGCCCTTTGACGGCCCTTTCTGTTGTCGCGGCTTCGCCAGACGTGGTAGACTTGCCGGGTGTCCTTGGCGGAAGCCCCTGTTGTCCAACCGGCGGCGGCCGGTGAGGGCGATCCAGGGTCATGGTGTTGCTGGGCTCGGCTCAGGGTGACTGGGCGGAGGTAGCGTGTTGTAGGGTGGAGGAAGGTGAAGGGTCCCGTGGAGTGTGATTCGTTTGGGTGGCGCGCTTCCAGGTGGGCCATGGTTTGTGCTGCTCGGAGGTGACAACCTCGTGTGTTGGGTAAGAGGAGTTGACTATCTGTCCAATGTGGAATGAGAGCTGCAACGAACGATGTGCTTCCATGTCTGGCATTCGGCTTGAAGGAATTGAGGAGCAACGGTGCTGCAGTATCCGTGAAAGCGGGCCGATCACTCAGAAACCCATCACATCAAGCCAGGTACACTAACAACAACCTTGAGGGCGGATCGGTTGAGCAACGTCCAATCCTACGTGCCGTTGGTGCCGGTCCCAATAATGATGTTGTATAGGTTGGCTTAACGCTAGGGGTATTCACATCAAAATCCGAGGCTTAATGACGTCAGCTGTTTTCCAGTTGAGGCCGGTTCCGGCTCCGAGCGGACCCCATTTCTCCGAGTCCCGGCCCGATCTCCACCCGGCGCAACCGGAGCTATCAGTGACCAGCGTCAGCTCGGTGATTGCCGCGGGCTCGCCGTTGGACCTACACGGCCACGGCCTCCAGCAGCACCTCATACCCCGGGTTGTACTCACCTCCGAGCATAACACTCTCACACTCCCACAAATGGCTTCTTTAGGAGAACGCAGAAACATACCCTCTATCCCTCCCCCTGCCTCCGCTTCACTCTCGCGGGACGCTGGGAGCCCTAACCTCCATCGTCCTCGGCACAACCGGACCCCGGTGCAACGCCATCATCACGGCCTTCACCACCTAGGCAACAGACCGAGGGCACTGCATCTCCCTTCACTCTTGGATTCTAGCAAGACAACTAAAGACTGTAACCTCTTCGCCTCGCCCATGGCGTTAGTTCTCCTACCTCTCCCTCGCCTCTACTTAACCAGTTCCCTGCCCTTTAACCCAGGCCATGACACGAGCCCCGGGAAAAGGGCACATCAGCACACCCATCACCTCGACAACCAGTCCTTCTCTCCCCGTCTGATAAATGAATAAAAACATGTTCCCTAACGTGTGTTTTACCTGACGTTCAAGACCAAGATCGACACGTAACTGAACCGCCCAGGCAGGCCAACCAACATAGCGCCCCAGCCACCGATGACGTCTCAACGAAGCAAGACGCCCCAGCATGAATGAAAAGGGCAAGGGTGAGAATGGAACAAAGAGAGGGACTGAGAAGTGACCGTACCTATCCGTAAGATAAGTGTGGTCTGGACACGGCTGATTTCTTGGCCAGCCCTAAAAACGTGCAGTGTCACCAAAAGCACAAGGCGACCCTCATGTTCTGAGGTACCTTAGCTGAGGGATCAACTCGCACCGTTCGGTATAGGCTGTACCAAAGCGTTTCGAGCAGACAAGGAAGGTGGCTGATATCTTATCTAGGTTGGAAAATACCTCTCCTTCGTCCCGGAAGGCGCTGTAGTGTAGCATTCCCCAGCCGTGAATTACCTATAGTACGCGTCGTCGACTGTAACCGACGCTGGGCAGACCACCCTCACCTGGGCCTAGGTGGTGATCTCGACAAACCCCACGAGAGGAGGCAGAGAGACACAGGAGAGAGAAATGTCGTCGACCACCACAGATATCGTGACGGTGCCACCCCAGTGGGGCGAGCTCGTGGGGGCCGTATGATGTGCCCTTGCTAGCTAAAGGTGGTAACTTGGGCTTGCCCGGCCGTCATCACGCCATCACCTTTGGCTTTTCCTTCAGCACCTTCCCAACAGCGTGGAAACTCCGAAACCACTAAGTTAGCACCACCACATGTGATCGGTGGGGGGGCGGGTAGAAGTGCTCTCGTTAATGATCACCAGTAAGCCGTGGAGTTGGAAGGTTGCTTGTGCAACGCCATTCCACTCGCATCGTCGCCACGCATGTCGTCAAAACCGACGGGCTGGAACAGCAATTTGGACCCTTATTTTTCTCTTGGTGTGCTGGTGGCGCTTCGGCATTTGAAGGTCTCAGATCTACAGCCTAGGCATGCATACATAAGAACCCAGAATGGAGAGGGCGAAGGAGTGAGCCGATAAGGTATGTACCGCTGTGTACTCCGTAGACCAGGGGTATCGAGCAAGTTTTCACCTGGCGGTGTGCCAGTCCAATCGGTACTGGCCTAACGTTAATAAGGTTAGCGAGAACCCGGTCCAGCGGCTTGGTCCTGTCCGTTGACACGGCATCGCTGCGAGTATCAACATGTCCAGTGCCGAGAAGGTGACTGATGAGCAAGTTTCCCTAGTTCCCCTGCGTAAGGAACGCGACCTGAGACCGGGGCCAGGTGAGCACGAGGCCGAGTTCCTGGGTTTGTCTGGGGGCGCGGCAGACAAGCGGTGTGCGGCGAGTCTCCGCGGCTGGGTCCGGACCAGTCTCCGGACCAGCTCGGCGGGTCCTCGGATCTGGCCTTCCGGATGGGTCCTTCGGTTGCTGCCGGGGTGGTCGCAAGTGGCTGGATTGGAAGAGACTGGGTCGTCGAAACGGTTTTATCTGGGCGGTGCCTTGCCAGGTGCAGTTGCTCTTAGCAAATTGGCTTCCCGACAAGCCAGATCTCGCGTCGATAAACGTTAAAATGAACGTTTCTTCAACAAACATAGGCGGACATCTGTCTGCGGGCGGTTAAGTTCCTGCCAGTCTCGAAGCCCGGAGTAGCCGTATCGCCCCGCGAGCATTGACCGCGACAGCAGCGTGGGCGGAAAAAGAAAGAGCTGAAGTGTGCCTTCAACGGTTCATGTCTCGACAACAAATCCATCATTGGGCATTTCCGGGTTCTGAATGTGACGAGAATGCCGCCCCAACCGACCTGCCCGTTTCGCAGCAAAGTTCCTTCGCAATTTTCCTAAAAGAGGATTTTATCTTCCCTCCAATGGGCGATGCAGGCACCAGGGTTCCTGCAATAAGCAAAGGGGCGCAACCGTCGACAACCAGAGCCGCGCCGTCAGCCTTCCACATCGAGACAACCCTCCATCCTATGGAGGGCAAATGGGAGATGCCAACCCTGATCCAAGGAGTTTCGCTTTAACCGAGTGCCCGAAACCAACTGTAAGAATTGAGTAGGTAGGTCGAGGCAGGAAAACGATTCCGAGTTCGACCGACGGCCCGGACCGGTGAATGCAAGCTCTCTGAGCACGGACAGCCTGAGGTTGAGAGCAACAAATCACCAACCCACACAAGGAAGGAGGCATGGCATGCCAAGTCAGATCTCAACGCGTCATGATCCGTCGTCTCCCGCGTCACCGTGTTGGCTGTAGTTATCTGCAACCTGCGAAGATAACTCAAGTCCCGGCCGAGAGAAGCAAGCACTCTCACGCTTCGTAAACCCGGTTGGCTGGCTTGGGAACCCCCGCGACCCCCAAGTTGCTTGTATCGCCTTGTGCACAGTCCACAGCATCCTTCGGCTGCCGATCTCGGTTGATACAACACCAAACGAAGGACGGGAGGCAGGTTGTTGCTGCTGCTCCCGTCCGCAATGCCGATGACCGCAACTGCAGTGGCCCGGTCTCGAGGAAGGACTGTGCAGAATGAATGTACGAAGCCACATCAGTCTTGATGCAACTACACGTACACAAGCAGTTTGTCCGCGAAAGATAAACGGAAGCTCAACAGGAAACGATATGTTTCATAGCAGAAGACAAGGAAAATAGACAGATTAGCATGTCTTCAATCTGAGACCTTCCATGTGTCAAATCACCCGAGTCTTGTGCTAATGAGCCCAGGAACGGCATCAGATCGATGTTGAGCCGAAATTGAAAGCCAAAATCGACTTCAAAGGAACTTGAACGTTGAAGCCTTCAAAACCGTCTTGAGTTGCATGCAGTACAAACCGTGAAAGGGAGCAGCGGCCGCTTTGTGGCCAGTGCATACCCAGAACCGTGCAGGGCGACATCGAGCTTGGACATGGGAAGGTGGCAGATGAGGGCAATCGCGCCTGGACGGGAAGATTTTACCCCACCTTACCATTAAGGGTCTCGCACTAAGTGGGGGGACGATTTTCCGCTAAGAACCTTTTTGGAGCAATCCCGTCGTGCTGTGTTGGTGGCGGCGAGCAGGAGAAGAGGGTGCAAAAAGGGACAAAAGAGGTTCCAGGACGATGACGGGATCACCTAAGAGACGAGAAGTGTGAAAGTTTCTGGCATTTTCTATGGCCAGTGGAAGGATCAACCAATACCCCTTGGTACGGAATACACAGTTAAGGGGTGTTCGTCCAAAATCTCAGCGTGTTGGGATCTTTGCAATGGTCATGATCACAGTAACTACCCCCATATAAGCATCTGCAATCTTCGTAAGATTTGACGACCGGATCATTGTGTTGGATGAGCTTCGCGCCTTCAACGTCCCATCCCGGACGTCGATAACATTCTTTGCAACCCATGTTGAGACCACCTTCGCCATCCGCTGTCATCGTTGTCCAGCAACACATCATAAAAGACCATGAGAGCAAGGGATCGAAATCCCGCAAAGCACTTCCGAACTCATTTTCCGTCGCCGTCCCCATGAATGTTCCCCGCATCCTGCCATCCTGGGGCATGCCTTTGCCGAGCTTCTCGGTAATAAGCTCTCGCCATCGAGCGTGCTTTGAAATGTTCTGTTTGTTACCTTACCTCTTGACCTTATCAACCATGTAAACCAAGGCTACGGAATACTGGGCGTCAGAACATCAGCTTAGACGAGCAGGCAGCTTGCGGTTGCAGCTCAACACTTCTATCTCGGCCTGTATTGACAACAGAACAAACCACAAGCCGCAGGGTCACGGAAAACCAGTAGGAACCAGAGCATCGGTTTTGGTCGTTTTTTTTATTGTCCCCGTGGAAGCACGTCTACCTGACAGCCTCTCTGTTTGGGTCCATGCAGGTTGTGCTGGTATTTGCTAGGCTAGCGGATATTTCTGGTGCGGCGGACGTGATGACCGGACAGAGAAGACAAGGTTTTTGCCTCCGGCTTGAATGCCCTCCCGCCCTGACTCGGTTGTCTCTGCCTTCAGCATCCTTCCAGCCCGCATGTCATGCCTCCGACAACGTATCCGAGGCTGCCTCGGAATCTTTACATTCAACCCCGATACCCTCCCGTACCAAGTCAATAACGGGCCAGATAGATTCCTTCCGCACCGCTCCCTGAATTCGACAATATGAAAGAAAATAAACTGGACGAAACAAAGTGCACCCCTCCTGGAACTTGGAATAGATTTGGATATTTACGCCCCAATGATGCCCTCTTTTGGTTCATGCGCCATTCTCCGTGTCAGTGAATCGGTTATGTTTCTCATATCCAGAAACCATTGGTGGTAGTGGTGGTGGTGATGGTGGTGGGTAAGTGAAAATTTTGAGAAGTCAAAGCCCGCGAAACGTTCGCAAGTACATATGCCATCGTGCATATCGGCCCCGAGATCTTCGTGCAATCGTCGCCCCAGGGTGGGGTTTCGGTCCGTCGACGAGCATGTGTTGCCAAGGACCATGAAGGAGGGGCAGTGGTGTGCCAAACCGTGACAGGCAATCTGTGAGGGAAGGGAAATGGTGGGCGAGATGGGTTGCGCGAGTGTTGTTGTCATCATTGCTCATAAAATGACACACCCTCTGCCGCGGCGCTCGCCGCGCTCTCGTCGGTACCGGCCCTTTTCCGACTGAATGCTTGAGTCCGTCCTTCGAGATTCGTATTTGCTGCTGCCTGCGGGGGGAAGCGGTTGGGCGGCGGCTTGCCGTTGCCTCCGCAGGATTCTGACCACATCGTAGAAGGCCTTGTCGACGTTGATGTAGTTCTTGGCCGACGCCTCGACAAACTCGCAACCCAGCTCGCGCGCCAAGGCATGTCCTTCTTGGGTGGAGACTTCTCGCTCCGCGATGCGGTCGCTTTTGTTCCCGACGAGCATGATGGGAACGGGTGCCGCCTGGTTGGCAGCCGAGATGGGCGACCCTGGGTACGAGGGTGACGAAGCCGTTGACTCCTTGACCCTCTGAATCTGGTGGTGGAACCGCTTGATGCGCGTGAAGGACGACCGAGACGAGATGCTGTACACCAAGATAAAGCCCTCGCCGTCCCGAATCCATTGATCGCGTAGCGCAGTGTATTCTTCTTGCCCTGCCGTGTCCAGCACCTCGAGCATGCAAGCTTGGTTGTCTATCACGGCCTGCTTCCGGTACGAGTCCTCGATAGTCGGGTCGTACTACGAGGGGCGGCAAGTTAGCGAGCTGTCTATGCAAAGACACCGTCGTAGCGAGGGATGGCAACCGAGGCGGCCGCAGCAGAGCAGAGGGGCGTCACAAGAGCGGGGAGACCACGACGAGGGCGTACCGTTTCAACAAAGTGCTGCAGGCACAATTGGATTGTGAGCGCCGTCTTCCCTACGCCACCGTCTCCAAGCACCACCAGCTTGTATAGCACCATTTTGCCCGCCATCTTGAGAGTGTGTTTGGCGGATCGCGTCGCCGATGGAAGGCTGGAGCGTGTTGGGCTGCGGTTATCGGATGGATGATTTGTTGGAGCGACGAGGTGGCACCGAGCTTGGATTTAGGGGTAGAAGCTCGGATCAACCGATGAGGGGCTCGATGTGCTATTGTGCAGCACCCACAAAGATAACGAAAGTGCGGGAAAGTCAGGACGACGGAAGGTTGTCTCTGCTGATATCGATTCCGACCCAGAAAGACAGGCACTAGAAGGGAGAACAGGACGGGATTCTCACAGCGGCGGCGAGATGTCGGTCGTCGGCGGAAATCCTCGCTGCAAGTGGGAAAGCGACGGGAGCCAGGGGGTGAGGTGTGGTAGGGATGGGTGGTGGGCAAGCAGGCCTTTGACGACGGAGAGCAGTGGAGTAAGTAACGTTATCGGCCAGTGTGGGTGGCTCTGGACTTCCTAGGCTAGGGATGGCTCTGCCAGCGTGGTACGGATGTGCAGTCGCTTGGCTGCCCGGAGTAGAGATGTCTGGTCACTCTGGTGCTGGGTGTTGAGAGAGGGTGCACCGGCATAAAAGGCCTAACTGGAAGATGCCATGGCATGGAAGGGTGCACGGGCAGCCGATGGCTCGGGAGCGACGAGGCCGACGCGGGTGTCCTAGCTGTCCATGCTTGACACCTTTGGGTGGGAGCTCGGAGAGGGGAAAGACCAGGCCCAGGGTTGCAGGAGAGACACGCCGATGTTGGAACCCTGTTTCAAGAAGGGACTGTCCGGGACGTCAAGCGGACGAGCAACAACAGCACATCAATGCCCCGCCTTCCCCGTCACGGTACCTACAGTCAACCACCAACGCATCCATTGAAATAGGTACATTGAGGTGGGCGTCCACTTGCACTGACCCATGAATATCAGCAGAGACGGAGCCCATGGCTACCCCATTCAATGGCCTTCCCATGACCTACCCAAACTCGCCAACTTTGCTTCCAGCGTCTGGCAAAGGATCTCGGACACGAAATGGGGGACTCACTGGTAAAGCAAGTAAGCGTGGAGGTCATTGCCCCCGCCATCCATAGCATCTCCTTTTTCCAATGGATCCCGTTGGCTGCAGCGAGCCAGACCCGAGAGCTTTTTGTGGGAAGCGCAAAGCGGGACTGCTTGCCACAAGGCGAGCGGTCCGTTACCAAACACACCCGGCCGGTGCAGCCAATCCCTTTGCGCAGTTTCCTCTCCACGGTTGCGCTTTCCCGTCTGAGCTGCAGCTTGTCGCCAACCACACAAGTCAAAAATTCTTCGAGTCGACTTTTCAAGCTCCATTCTTTTTTGTGGTGTGCCCATGCACGAGATGTTCGGAGAGAACGCATAGTCTGATTCCGCCCAGGCGTGATGGCAGGGCAAGACGGTACTGTTCAAGGAGACGGCACTTCATCTCCACAGTTTGGGCCACAGTACTCCCATGGCAGGCCTAGCTGCACCCCAGCGCGGGACTCCCGCTCCCGTCGGGTCTCCCAAATCTCCAAAACACCCTCAAGCCGGGATTTTAGATCCAGATTCCGACACGTTTCGCCCCGGCAAGAGCCGACAGATTAGCAATTCAAGGTCTCGGCGGCCACTGGCTCATCGGCATTCGGCGGTGGTGATCCGACGAGGCAAGAAGGCCAATCTTCACACCTCATCCCACTGGACGGGCATTGTGGGTAAAAACAATCTCACGGTTGACGCTGTCGAGCTTCCCGGCGGCGGCGGGTCCGGGTGCTGGTGCCGACCCACTGGGCCAACGCGGCCAGTTGCTGCGACCGGGGCCGCATGAGCTGTACTTCATAGGAATTATTGATGGTCGCGGCAGAAACAAACACCAACAACGCATCTCCGGCTCATCAAGAACTCTGGCACCGTTTCGAAGGCAGCCGAACGTGAGACGTTGCCTGCCTGGGACGCACAGCATTGCGGAGCGTTCAAGTACAACGGCCATTCGGCACACAATCCGTACCCGCCGATCTGACTTGTCAACATTCGCAGTCCTCAAGAAGCGGCTTAAAGCGGAGCTGTCACCGTAGCATGTGCCTTGTGCATGCAGAGGCGGAAGCGGTCGCAGCTCGTTGACCCTGTACTGGAGAGGTCGCAGCGGCTCTCAGTTCCGTGCACCACTTGAAACCCCAGCTAAGAGGTGTAATCGAGAGGATGGTTTTTGCATACAGAGTTTGACGTGCACTAAAAGATGGTACAAGTACAATACAAACCCGTGACACCCTCATCCCGGTGTCCTCAGTACTCATCAAGACGTTTCTTATTCGAGTTCCCGTGCAAACGATATACCGGCTTTGGCTAAATTAGGATGTCCTCCGCCAACGCCCGGAGTCATTGCCGCTTCCTGCCTGCGTTTGCAACCGGCATCTTATGAAGAACAGACATGCTTTTTGCGTGAGTACAGCCCAACAAGAAGGAGCTGACGCTGTGCTGGCGTGGATTGGGTGTATTAGAACACTCAGAAAAGTCTTTACACAAGCGAGCAGTCACCCAGGGGCAGAACGACGATGGCATGCCGAACGGACAGAGGCAGCCGACACTTGGGGCAACGGTTCGCTTTTTTTGCATACACAGTATGCAACAAGGAGACCTGTCGACTGCACATCAGTACGGAGACCGTATGCGGCAATTCCTAGCAGCGGGCAGCCAGGCCCCGGCTGTTTCCTTCTGCGCTGGAGTCAGCTCCGTGAAGCAATCCTTTGATCTCGAGACGGTCCTATCCTGGTCGAGCCGATAGCTCACTAGGGAGGCTATCATCCGTTTGAGCGCTCAAGATTTCCAGTTACGAGCCCGATAATGCCGGGTGCTTTCGGCATGCTCTCCCTCAGATTTCAATTCGCCTGGGCTAGCACCCGAACGATGAGCTTGCGTGGGGTTTGACGCATTCTGCGTTGTTGCAGTGAAGCATGTACTTGTACCATGTCGCACTGGACTCTGTGTGGGGATGACGCAAAGCAAGGTCTCTGGATGGCCCCTCGACATCCCGTCCAGTTTGGCCTTGCGAGCCAGATCAGTCGTGTCGTCTGAGAAAAGCACGTGGCATTGACTCTCGTTTCCATTGTTCAGTCGGGCAATCGAGCTGTTTTACTTGAGAGCTGTCTCGCATGGACTCCAGTCCTCCGTATGTATCACTGAGTCCTCGATTTGGCCCTGGCCTAACCAAGACAGACACCGAGCTTCACCAGTTCAACTTCCCTCGCCGCTTCAACAACTACCAATAGGACTCAAGCATATGTCCAACGATGATTCCGAAACGGGTCCCAAGCAACGGCCACAACTTCGATATCACGATATGGAACATCAACTCGAACGAACAGGGCAAATTTGCAAATCTGACCCCCAACGCCATGTTCCATTCAGAGCCGTACTCAGTCCTGTTGGCAATTCCTACTGTAAAAACATGAAATCGACAGCTCGAGAGGGCACTTCGTACACACAAATCTCCCCCGTCCACACGCCACGCGCATGGCTACGTTTTCGGCCCGCAAACCTCCCACCGTCTTCTCCTAAGCCTATACCCTCTCCGATATGACAATTACACCCCTTCGCCTCCCAGAACTCTCTCTCTTTCATGCACACCGCCCGAACAACCCCCTCCACCCCACGTTCAAACCCGGAACTCATTTTCACGCTTATTAGCCCATCTTGCAGCCACGGCTAACAACTCCTTGAGCTCTCACATCCCCAATACCCGCACCACACGCCCGGGTACTTTACGTCCGAATCCGAACGGCATAAAGCCCACGTTTCCTTGCAAGAACACTGATCCAGAGAAAAGATTGGAGAGCCTTCACAAACGGAACACTGAGGAGGTTTACCGTTGCTTCAGCCAAGGATTATTGACAGGGCTGCCGCTTGTTTCCTCCAAGCATTGATAATCTCTATGCATGTCTTATTAGCAAGGCATCACAACTATCCCAGCACTCTCCGGGACTACCGACACTCATTATCTTCGAAAACACTGGGCAGGTACTTAGCGAGATGGGGTCTCACCTACATGGAACGATGGGTAACGACTGGAAGCTGTTTAAGGGTCCATAGCAACTTTCCGAGTCCTCGCGCTTGCAAATATAAAAATGCGCGTAGAAGCATGGCTAAAGGTACCTCGACGTCCGCCACGAAAACGCCTCGGCACCAGTCATCCTCCGTTCAATCCCCTTGAGCACCCTCACCAACCGCCTCCCCGCCTCTCCCTCATCCGTTTGCCCCGCCTCGGCACGTGAACGACGGAACAGCAGCAGCAACTCCTCAGCCATGCTCAGAAACTCCACCTCCCAAGCCCTCACGAGCGCAATACACAGTCGCCGCGCGGATTCCATGGACACGTTGGCCTCCCTCGCCAGAACCGCCACGCCATTGACCAGTGGCACCGCCGCTGCGCCGCCCCCTCCGTCCCGGGCGAGCAGCGGCGCCTGCGCGGCCGCCTTCCACTCCCTCTCAAACGAAAAGACGTCGTTGAGGATGCTGACGTGGTAGTGCGCCACTTTCTCGAGCGGGCGCAGCGCCGCCCGCCACTTGTCGGCCTCGTCGTTGTTGCTGTCGTCCGAGTCCAAGAGGTCGGGCTCGGTCCAGTACAGCAGCTCCGCGCAGATGGGCATGCCCACGTCGACCTCGCGGAAGGATAGGTAACGGCCCAGGGTACTCGTAGGACCGGCCGAGACATGATCGGAGCCCGAGTCATTGCTGCTGCTGCTGCTGCTGCTGCGCGACGGCCAGCAGTGGCATGCGAGCATGGCCATGTAGGCTTCGAGGACCTTGCGCGAGGAGGAGGAGGAGGAGGAGGAGGAGGAATCCGAGGAAGAGAACGGGGAGGGGTCGGCGAGGATTCGTGCAAAGAGCGTTGCGTGCATTCGGTCGATGGTTGTGCGGGGGGAGAAGCTGGAAGGGGAGGAGAGGAGCGACTGTAGGCGTGAGACGACCGAGGAGACTTCGGCTGGCGGGTGGTGGTCGAACCAATCTGAAGGGTATTTGCAGCAGAGTCAATAACGAAGCTCAACTGGTGGTCAAGAATGACTGGGACGGGGATGGGAGGAAACATGAGCGGGAGGAGGATGGGGGGATGACGAACCGTCCATCAGAAACCCAAGGAGGAGAAGTTCGGTGGCGAGCTTCACGCGGCTGGTGTCGCCGGTTGGGAACATGTATAGGACGACATCGCTCAGCTTCCAGCTGATGAATGCCTGTTTGTGTTTTTCTGACGGCCACTCCCACGTGTTGACGAGGTAGGAGACGACTTCGCGGTCAATCTCTTCGGCATCGGGGTGAATCGTGGCTTCAGGGAGGACACTAGGCGGCACAATGTCCTTCAGGGGGTGGTTCAAGAGCTTGCCGTTCATGGTGATTGAAAACGGGACAAGTGCTGGCAGTTAAGACAAGACCTAAGCTGTGTAGACGCAATCAGTTCGCCTGTACTGAGATGTCGCTGATGGAAAGTAGATTGCATGCCTAAAAAGCCGTACTGACACTGTCTTTTGATTGTATTTCGCCGGTGGCTCAACGGTAAGACTTATACCATTCATATGCTCGCCAAGCCTAGCTACACGTCGGGGGAAATTGTCGCCGTCAGAGACAGGTTTCGGCGGCGCCGGCGGTCTGTTGAGCATCCACGAGAACTCGCAGGACTCAATGGCTTGGCAGTTTTCTATCTCCTCGGCTCCCATTGCTTTGAGAACAGAGATTTGATTGACCTGCAGACCGCCATGACATCTCTCAGGCTGTGTCTGTCTGGACAAGATGCTACCGAGGTACACAGAAGGAAAAAAAGAGACGGTTACATCGCAGGGCACTGCCATCCAACACCTCCCAGCCCATGCTGGATACTAGTACCAGAGTGACCGGCCTCAGGTAGCACGTCAACATCGCTCAGGTCTCCGAGTTGAGGTTTGCTGGGCATTCTCACTGCGCACATGCAGTCATTATTGGTTTTTCAGCTCTGCATGGACTGCGCGTGTATCCCAACTCGGATCCCAACTGGGGGTTGTAGGTCGGGTGAACCGAGCTGAGGCCCTCGCACCCCGCGGATTCAATTCACAGCTGAACACCACCAAGTTGTGCCGGATAATATAACACTGAGAGCACATTACGTATGACGTTCGCCGATTCGCGAGCCCAGGGGCCGTAACAGAGCTGAGTTGTGTCCCTAGGTAGTACCAGAAAATGGGTACTCGAGGGGACAAGAAAACCGGCCCTGACTATGCCCACTCTGAGAGAGTTTCAAGCCGAAGGGGTGTCCAGTGTCGCCGTGGGAGATCGAGTTGAGACTAATATGAATTACTACTATGGTTTGATTTCCCGCCTCGACAAGTGCTTCTGATAGGCTCCGAGCACCTAGAGAAGAATCAAAACTTCAAATGATGTGACGCTGACTCGGAGCTCAAGCTGCCTGAGTGCCTGGTGCCTGTGATATACCTGTACTGCCAGTGACAGAGCTGAAACAACTCGATAACTTGATTTGTTCAACAGCTCAACGGCACGATCACCAAGCATCTTTCTATAGAATCCCAGGCAGACCGCTGACACCGTAGGCGTATGCATGATACAACAAAAACTGATTAGCAGGCCGTATCCGGAAATTGAGTCTTCGTTTGGAACCGGACGGTGCAGAGTGCCAACCATCTTGAAACGTCACAGGAGATCAACACCATTGAATACCTGCGAAGACGCCCCGGACCGCTGCTGTAGGCAAGACTTCCTATCAACTAAGGGACCTAGTCGCTGAGCATCCGTTCCATGTCTTCAGAGAATCAAAAGCCCCATGCTCTCAGCGCAGTCGAGACTGCAAACTATCTCGGTCCATTCCCTCTTCGACCCAGCACTCCGCCGTCTTCTGGCTCCTAATCTGCAACCGGATGTCGCTTCTCTCACTCTGACAAGCCGATGGCTTGAAATGACTGGACCTTTCACGAGTGTAACCCGGGGATGCCCCCGTACTACTATCAAGAAAAGAGGCGGACCGCAAGGCGCGGTCCGAGTATAAAATGCGCGACGGCGAGGAGGGCTTGCCGTAGCGCAGCAGGCGGTAGATGGAGCGCGAGAGGGCGAGGTTGGCGGCGATGATGCCGATGAAGAGCTCCAGACTCGACCATAGGGAGACCCAAGCGTACGTCCCTGCGCGAAGCATAGCGTGTCAACGAATAGGGTTTGTTTTTGGTTTACACATGGGATACATTTGAAGTAGTAGTGGTAAGACTTACAGCTCATGTCATATGCCCGGAATCGAAGTGAAAAGGCACGCACGACCCCGAAGCCGGTTGCCCTGGAAACGTGTCAGGAGTCGTACTTGGGTAAAAGCGAGGGTGCGCGAAGGATAAGCTTCAAAGCTTGACCTACAAGAGTCCCAATGAGATGAGACCGCTGATTAGCAGCTTGGTCTGGAGAGGGATCCGAATCTTCCAGACGGCGACCAGGGGGAAAACGGAGCACAGCAGGTCCGTCAGGATATTGTAGGCTAACCCCGTCAGTTCACGATAGCATTGACCAGCGCGGCAGACACACAGATTGTAATCCAGAAGGCGCGGATGCGGACCGCCGGGTCCCAGCATACGCCACCAGTCCCTTTCCAGTACGTTTCGACGGGGGAACACTGCGCCAGCAGAATGATGATGCAGCCAAAGTTGGTGACGACCAGACCGGCCATGACGGTGTATAGCAGGACTTTTAGGGCCTTGGTGTCCTTGATGCGGAGGAGGAGAAGGCAGATGGAGACTTTGAGCAGGCAGGACGACGCGAAGAGGAAGATCTGGGTGTAGAAGCCGAGCATGTTGTTGTACTGGTACTCCTCCTCGCTGATATACACCTGGTGTCTCCCGTTGCCATGCCGGGACTGCAGCGCCTGGATCGCGGTCCGGGTCATCGCCAAGACGGCGGTGACGGCGATGGTGTAGTCGTCCCAGCCCAGGTTCCGCAGTGCCCATCGACTGTACAGCCGCAGAGCCGTCGTTACGACTATCGGGACTGTCAGGCTGGCCGTCACAGCGACAATAAGCAGCCCAATATTCTCATCCGGGGGAAGCGGTTCCTCCTGCGGAGCGCCCTGGGTCATTGTATGGGCAATGGTTGGGATGCCGGCGAGCCGTTTCATTCAACTTGGGCCGCTGGGCGGGATTCTGCCCATGGAATTGAGGACGGCCAATCGCACATAAGCGTTATGAGAAGGACAGTCGTTGTGATATACGACGAGTCAAGGCAACATCGAGACAGCCTTCCCCCGAATGTCTCCAGAGCCAGAAGACTCTCGTCCTCTGTCGCTTTCCATGGCTTCTGAGCCAGCACCACGGCACAGGCCGCTTGGGCCCTGGCAAGACCGCAGGAAAGTTGGGTAGCCCTGTCGGAAGTGGCGCTCAGCCGCAGCTCAACACACTCTGGTGATTCGTGAACGGAATCCGGGGCCGGCAGTAGCGGCCCTGAAGCTCAGATCCACCAAGGCGGCAGGGTTGGCTTGGGCCAATGGTGTTGGCACCCGAAATTGAGCAGCGTCGTCGACAACACGGGGTCAGCTTCACCGGTTAACTACAAGGCGTCCAGTGTGATGTAGCACGTATCCAGAACCTCGATCTAATCCGAACCAGGCAATCGCCGTATCTGAAGGACTCGAAGAACAGACTATACCCACAGCCCGAGTACCCCAGAAACAAAAGTAAGAGCATGTTGTAACGCCAACACATCGAGTAAACCAAGCCCATCGGGGTCATCGCGAAGGGGCTTGCCAACTCGTAAAGACTCACATAAGAAACAGAAAGCCGCACCATGGAGAACACCAGACTCGAGCACCATCCATCCGCTTCACGTATGCAAGGGTGATGTGCATTCTCCCAGCTCCCATATCTAGCCAACAAAGTAGATGACAAGAAGCATAGCAGTCCGCCTACTGTAGTAGTAGCGGTACTGTGATGGTATAAACATTCGGCATCGCATAACATCCCATCCGAGCAAGGCCCCCCGGCAATAGACCAACAACATCATCCAAGCCAAGACACGATATTTGTACCCGCTGCTCAAGAAAGAAAAACACACTTAGGACACCTCTCATGTCGCCGCATTCTCGTCTCCGAACGGACTCCTTTCCCTGCCCTTGGCAGCAGGAAGTGTTGAGTCCCGCTGCGACGCCCGCCTCGTAGCCTCCTCGATCACGGCGCTCAGGCTGGTGGTGCTGTGCGAGGCCGACTTGGGCGGGTCACAGAATGGACTCTGCTCCGTGGCGGGGGAGTCAACAATAATAGTCGCGGCCGACGAGTCGCGGATGGTGGATCCTGACACGGTGGGCGCTGTGATGGACTCGGCGTCTGTTGCTGCTGCGGATCCTGATTTTGGTGGCTTGTTGGAGCCGCCCTTCTTCACGCTCCCGACGCGGACGACCATGGCCCGGGCCGGGGTGGCCGTGGTGGTGCTGGCATTATTGAGGAAGGTGGAGCCAACACTGAAGGTGCTGTTTGCGGGGCTTGGTGGTCGGGGCGCGAGGTTGTACTTTTCGTAGTCGACGGTTGGGACTGGCGGGGTGGAGCTGCCGGTCGAAGAAGTATTGGAGTGGGCTGACCTCACGCTGACCATGGCCGGCTTGGCCCGCATACCGGTCTGTGCGGGAGCCACGACGACAGCGCTTTTGCCATATATGGTAGACGCCACACTAGAACGAGGTGCGTACGAGGTGCGAGCATAAGAGGTGCGGTCGGAGAAGGCAGAGATACCCGAGTAGGTCGAATCGCGGAGATCTCCGGGGACGAAGAAATGTTGATCGTCTGTGCTCGCGGGGGTGCCGGCCTGCGAGTGAGCGATAGGAATTGGAGGAACGGGCGGGACAAGAACCGTCGGTGATGCCGTTGCTCGGTTGGTGACGCCCGGAATATAGGCAATCTGGATGATATTCGAGGCTCGGGTTAGGACCGTCGAGGCGATAGAGTGCGTCGTATGGGTCGAGGCGCGATTGTCTCGTCGTTGCGCAAGCGTCTTCTCTCCTTCCAAGCCGTCACCCTCCCCGTCGTCCCATTGCTCCGCAACAAGTGCGTGCCTCCGCGTCCTGACACAGAACCTCCATACTAAGTAGGTGACGATGGCGAGAGCAGCAAGGCCACCGACAACGCCGCCGGCGATCGCGCCCACATTGGTCGAGCGACTTTGACTGCTATTTGGCGCGATTGTATCGACGGGGACGCAGGTCGCCCTTTTGCATTCATTACAGCCCAGGGGGATAATGTATTGGCATACCGTTACACCCTCTTCGCAAGGCGGGCATATCAGTGTTTTTGACTCGTCGCAGATTTTGCATTCTTCGCCCTCCCGCTTCAACAGGTCGCGGGCCGAAGGCGCAAACCGTAATGTCGAAGTCATGGTCGATGTGTTGCTTCGCGGGAAAGCCTTGGGTTGATATTGTTGATTGTGCTTGAATGCTGCTTTGGTACTGCTGTTTCACGAGGCAGGCAACCGGAAAACCCTGTGCCATCCACCGTGTCGATCAGTCGACGCAATGCGTACCACAAGGATCGGCAATGTCGTCCAGCAAGGAATCTAAAACCGTTGGCGACCTAGATGCGGATTGATGTTCGGCAGGCGTTTGCGTAATCCGTAGAAAAATGAAATAAACGTCTTTAGCGTGGACGACAGCGCAGCGATGGTGAGGGAGAGAGGATGTCTCGGGAGTCGAGTGAGGTCAATCAAGCCATGACCAAGCAAACGAGTGACTGAGGCTATCTCGAAAAGAAGGAGGGAGAATGTAAAGGATGATGAAAAAGGTCAGAACCAAACAAGTCGAAAGAAGAAGATATCACCAGAACCACATCGGATGGCTTCTTTTCAAGACCGAAAAGGGAGGGGTTTGTATCGAAGATCGCGATGGTGGCCGATGTGGTCGGTGAGGTGAGCATTGCTGGTGAGCGGGAAAGGCGGAGGAAACGGTCAGCGGGCTGCCGTGCACTTTGAGAGAAAGGCCGCGGCCTGGATCTCCGCTCAACCAGGGCACGAATTCATTTACGGAAGGGGCCCTCTGAGGAAGCGGAGCCACACTGAGAGGCCGCCCCACAGCGGCACTAGCGAAACGTGCTGGTGGGCCATGGTGGGTTCCCATTGGCTCGATCGTCGAAGCCTGGCGGCCCCTGGAATTCCCTTCGTGGCACGGCTGTCCGATGCCCTCCCATTTGCAGCCTCCTTCCGGGTTGTTTCTCTGGGAATCCCACCTTGCAATGATCTGCCGTCGACCATGCCTTGGTTAACAGGCATGTTATTAAAGACGACCGTCATCCGCTATTGAGGTCATGTCTTCGTTTTGTGCTTGCCCAATTTCATGGTGATTCAAGCCCGGCACTTCAGACACGGCAAGGGATTGAAGGGAACGAGTCGGACGAACACCAACGGAAGATGCCGATACAAGCACCACCACACATACAGACCGGACATCAAGCTTGCTTAGATTGCGCTGCAGTGGTATCCTGCAGGTTGCCATGAGTCTCCCGCGGCCAATGGCACTCTATTCGAACTTCCGAAAGGTCCCTTGATTGCAACGCCCGATTCTCCTCCCAAGTACCGCCACGTGCTCACCGTGTTGATCCCCGTTCATGCCGCCCATTCCTGATCTCAACTTTTCGTCTGATCTTGTTCGCAAAATTTATAGCTATCTGATATCACGGACGCTAAGGATTTACAACCGCCTATGCCCGTTTGGCGCTGACGGCCGTTGTTTCTACGGCAGCCGGCGCACCGACTCTCGGGCACTTTCAAAGCACGCCCTGTTTTCAAGTCGAGGTTTATGTTGTGATTCCGACAAGAGGCTGCGGGTTGTGCAGCATGCAGCTGCTTTGGAATCTGCGAGCTCTCAGAAGACGCGATACGGAACCAAGACACACGACGACCCCTGCAATCATCGGCCAGCATGACCCAAATATGCTGATTCCCCGGATGAAGGCTGCTTTGCTCAAATCCGTGACGAGGTCCCGCAGCTGGGGTGCGAAAGAAGCGGAAGAGTTTTGTCGACTCCTGTCCGACATGGAAACGATCCGATACATGCAACGCATCTACGTGGCCTGATGAAGGTTGGTTTTAGCACCAGAGCCGTCAATGAGGAGAAATCAAGCGAGAGAACTTAAAAGTTGAGTCTGCTGGAGCACACCTTTGCAGCATCTTCTCCGGTCACGCAAGCAAACCCGGCATCCTGGCCGTCGGGAGGTCTGGACGGAGTAATGCCAGGAAAACGGACGGCTTCCGGACTGGGCCAATGCCGGAGACTGTTACTAGTTCAGCGTGCGGCACCGTCGGCCGCCGCTAGGGGCTGGGGCACAGTAACAGACTGGAAAGGCAGGTCACATGTCTATCATCATGGCCCAACGACATCCCCAGATCAGATTACTGGGAATTCCAGTAAGTCATGATGAACCAGCCTTAGGAGTGAAAGACACAAGGTCCGCGAAGAAACCGTTCCTTCTTTACTCGCTGACAAGCAGCAAGAGCATGAGAAGCTCAGCCACACAGTGGCACCGCCAACACATCCAGAACGACGCAGTTGCTGATGAGAGTGTCTCGTCCGCCAAGCCCCCAAGAGACCCATCGTCAGAGCAAAACCCTGTCTTGGCGGTCTTATATTCTATTTTTGGCCGACGTGTTTCTGCGGTTGGGACTTGGGAATGTTGGAGCCGTTGTGTGGATTCAATTCGTATAAAAAATTTAGGGAGATGCGGGCTTTCTTCTTCTGCACTGCAGACGTGGAATCTTGCATGTCGTGTAGACAACGTCCTTGCTTTCCATCTTTCGTGTCGCATGTGGCGGGGTGGAACGTCAATGCCGGCTCTTTTGCCGCGCGGGTCGAGGTCCCTTACAGCAGGCGGGGCCGATCGTGATGTCGAACGTCATGGCTTACCTGCAGCTACTCGTCCAGTGTTGCAGTTGGTTGGAAGCTTAACTGCAAGTTAGTCTGCGCTCTGTGTGGCTCGCACCTGGAAGAGGGCGTCTTGTAGAGGTGTGCTTGGGCGTACCAGGTTCTGTGTTGAGAAGTCGGTCAATTGCAAAGACAGAAACGACAGATGGGTGTTGTTTCAGGCCTCAGACCCGCGCCGTGGATTCGCGTTGTCCTCTGTTCATGGGTCTGACCGCTACACGTTGCCTTGGACAACAGAAGCACAACATTAAGACGGCCCAGAACTAAAACGAAGGATATACGATTGGGTGAAGGCGATTGTCCGCTCAAGCTCCGGAGGTGAGACGCAGCTCCCGCTGGCTTGGGAAGGACTGCATGTGCATGTTAGAGGAAAGACACTGCCCCATCTGCCGGGAGAGAATCCAAAACTCTAGGCGACAATGATTTCGATACCGAGAAAACCGTTGGGATAATAAGTACGAATGCCAGAATGCCATCAGTAATAAAGCCTACAGATCAACATCCGATCCATCAAGCCTGTCTACCCCTCTGCTAACATGCCAATCTTGTGGACGATGGAGACAACTGAAACCGTGAAACACTCCTGAAAAAAGAAAATGAAGGTTGACTGTGCTTAGCGACCGCTTGGAAAATCCGAGCCACTCGCAGTCGCGGCCATCCCTGGCTAGCAAAGCTGGAGAAACCGCAGGGCAGCGCAGTGGAGCCTTGACCCAACCCGGGTCGCTCAGCCACAAGCCTGCTTCGCCAACTTTCATACGGAGAAATACATAGCACGGGATCAGCCTCCTGAAGCCCTTGAAATCAAGTTTTTAAGTCCGTTTTTATCTTTGCTTTGAAGCAAAACCATCATTATCGACCAGCGATTTCATCGGGGATCGTTGTTTTCTGAACCCCGCCAGCGTTCCGTGACCTCGACGTCGGTCTCTCTGCGCCAACGCATCCCGTTTGGCCTGGAATTGGGTACTAAAGTAGCCACAAAAACAACACTACGCTAGGGAGCCAGCTGACCCGACTTTTTCGTGCAAGCTCTCACATCCCCTTTCACCGACAGCAAACGCTCGCAACAACGACGTCGACCTGTGCTTGACAATTGCTGCCACTCGCAAAACTTCCCCCATCTCAATACCCATACTGGCTAGCTGTTGATCGAGCACCTCGCGCCGAAGCGAGTCGCTTGCAACCATGGCGTACCACGGCCGGGGAGACGGCTACGACGGCCATCCGATGCAGGATCTCCCGCCGCATCACGGCCAGGTGAGTTCAAGAATGCATTCAACCGAGCATAACGGTGAAGTCTGACTCGGAGCCTTTCTCGTAGCACGACGATGAAGCGCAAGCCGCACTGCTCAACCAGAACCAGCTATACGACCAGGAGCGCCTGGGCGGCGTCCATACCCCCCCTGTCCGCCCTGTCTCGGCCTACAGTCTGACCGAGTCGTACGCTCCGAATGCCACAACCACACGGGTCGGCGCGGTTCCGACTCCTCCTCCCCATGGGCACACCGAGTACGGCGGTGCCACAGGCTACTATCAGCCGTCCCAGTTCTCTGGCGACCCGGCCTACCGGCCCATGTCTACGATCGACACGGACGATAGCTGGCTCCAGCGCCAGCAGCCCAACGTCGCTCCTACCGGCGATCTCAAGCGTTACGCTACAAGAAAGGTCAAACTTGTCCAGGGCTCCGTCCTGAGCATCGACTACCCCGTCCCCAGCGCTATCAGGAACGCGGTGCAGCCACGGTACCGCGACGAGGAAGGGAACAACGAGGAGTTCTTGAAGATGCGCTACACCGCTGCTACTTGCGACCCCAACGACTTTACCCTTAAGAACGGTTACGACTTGCGTCCCCGCATGTACAACCGGCATACCGAGCTCCTCATTGCCATTACCTACTACAACGAAGACAAGGTTCTGCTGTCGAGAACGCTGCACGGTGTCATGCAGAACATCAGGGACATTGTGAACCTGAAGAAGTCGTCCTTCTGGAACCGCGGCGGTCCCGCCTGGCAAAAGATTGTCGTCTGCTTGGTCTTCGACGGTATCGAGAAGGCGGACAAGAACGTGCTCGATGTGCTGGCCACTATCGGTGTGTACCAGGACGGTGTGGTCAAGAAGGACGTCGACGGCAACGAGACTGTCGCCCATATCTTTGAGTACACAACCCAGCTCTCGGTCACGCCGAACCAGCAGCTCATCCGCCCTGTGGACGACGGGCCGAACACGCTGCCTCCGGTGCAGTTCATTTTCTGCCTCAAGCAAAAGAACAGCAAGAAGATTAACTCGCATCGCTGGCTGTTCAACGCGTTTGGCCGCATCCTGAATCCTGAGGTCTGCATTCTATTGGATGCCGGTACGAAGCCGTCGCCCAAGTCTCTGCTCGCCCTTTGGGAAGGTTTCTACAACGACAAGGATCTCGGTGGCGCCTGCGGTGAAATCCACGCCATGTTGGGCAAGGGCGGCAAGAAGTTGCTGAACCCGCTGGTGGCCGTGCAGAATTTTGAGTACAAGATCTCCAACATCCTCGACAAGCCGCTCGAGAGCGCTTTCGGTTACGTTAGTGTCTTGCCCGGTGCCTTCTCGGCATACCGGTTCAGGGCGATCATGGGCCGTCCCCTGGAGCAATATTTCCACGGTGATCACACGCTGTCGAAGATCCTGGGCAAGAAAGGTATCGAGGGCATGAATATTTTCAAGAAGAACATGTTCTTGGCCGAGGACCGTATCCTCTGCTTCGAGCTGGTCGCCAAGGCCGGCCAAAAGTGGCATCTCAGCTACATCAAGGCGGCCAAGGGCGAGACGGATGTGCCTGAAGGTGCTCCCGAGTTCATTAGCCAGCGTCGTCGTTGGCTGAACGGTTCTTTCGCTGCCAGCTTGTACTCGCTCATGCACTTTGGGCGCATGTACAAGAGCGGCCACAACATCCTGCGCATGTTCTTCTTCCACATCCAGCTCATCTATAACGTTCTCAACGTCATCTTCACCTGGTTCTCCCTGTCTTCGTACTGGCTCACAACATCCGTCATCATGGATCTCGTCGGCACCCCGGTCCCCGCGTCGTCCACCAGTTCGTTGCACCACGCCTGGCCATTCGGCGATTCTGCCACGCCCTTCATCAACGCGGTCCTCCAGTACATCTACCTGGCATTCGTCATCCTGCAGTTCATCTTGGCCCTGGGTAACCGGCCCAAGGGCTCCAAGTGGACATACATCACCTCGTTCATCGTCTTTGCCATCATCCAAGCTTACGTCATTGTTCTTTCGGGCTACCTCGTGGCGCAGGCCTTCAGGACGCCCATAGGCGACCAGATCAAGTTTGACAGCGCCGAGAACGCGCTCGAGTCGCTGTTCGGCGGCACGGGCGCGGCGGGCGTCATCCTGGTCGCGCTGATCACCATCTACGGTCTCTACTACCTGGCGTCGTTTCTGTACCTCGACCCTTGGCACATGTTCCACTCGTTCCCCTACTACATGCTGCTCATGTCGACCTACATCAACATCCTCATGGTGTACGCCTTCAACAATTGGCACGACGTGTCGTGGGGCACCAAGGGCTCGGACAAGAACGACGCGCTGCCGTCGGCGCAGGTCAGCAAGGGCGAGAAGGACGAGGTGGTGGTGGAGGAGATTGAGAAGCCGCAGGAGGACATCGACCAGATGTTTGAGCAGACGGTGCGCCGGGCGCTCGCCCCGTTCAAGGAGGAGGAGAAGCCCGAACCCAAGGACCTCGAGGACTCGTACAAGTCTTTCCGGACCATGCTCGTCGTGTCGTGGCTCTTCTCGAACTGCTTGCTTGCTGTTGTCATTACTAGCGACAACTTCAACTCGTTTGGCATCGGGGTAAGCACGGGCCTTTTTTTTTTCCCTCTGTTTCTTTTTGACCTGTACTATGCATGGAATGCTAACTCCGGGTGTCTACAGCAAACCGCGACGGCGCGCACTGCCTGGTTCTTCAAGTTCTTGTTGTTTGCCACGGCCGCGCTCTCCATTGTCCGCTTCATCGGCTTCCTGTGGTTCCTCGGCAGGACCGGCATCATGTGCTGCTTTGCCCGGCGCTGAAGCAGAGGTGAAGGTTGGGTCCAGATTTCCGGTTGTTTATCAAATTTGCCCCATCCTGTTTTTCTCGCTCATGCTCGCCTTTTCCGGTTTGGCTCTTGGGTAAGCCTCGTGCCGGGTGTCTAGCCCCTGGATATTTTTCGAAGAGAATTCATCTAGCAGGGCTACTTGCGGACAGGCTCGAGGACTTTTTCAACTGGAAAGCCCATTTCTTATCCAGTTCTGCCGGCTTGTTAGGATATTGTGTGCGTACGGAAGGACATAAAATCGGGCTTTTTTTTTGGAGGCGTTGCCGTTGAAGCTCGCGTGCCGCTGGCTTTATCTGATGTTGATGTTGGGGTTAAAGGCTTTCCATGTTGGTTGTTAGGCTATGTCTTGAGGTCAGTAATGAGAACTCTAATTTGGCTGAGATTGAGTGTGTGCTTGTGTCGAGTGCTGGCGTGATAATACGAGACGATCGATTTACGGATGCTCCATACAATACATGAGCAGTATTCGTATCTGCTCTGACATGGAGTGTTCGATTGATTTTGTCAGAGATGGCTTCCTAAGCACTTGACCGGAGTATATGCTGCTACCAAGTAGCGAGCACTTTACATAGGCACAGTCGGATGAATTACGGGTTTGTTTACTCGACACGAAGGTGCGGACCTCTAGTGTGCTCGCTGTTTACCGTTTTTCGGCGTCGATGGCAGTCTGTGAAAGAAGCGGCAGAATGGAGTCTGTCTGAGCCCGGGCCCCACTTCTCCGTCAACCGCGGGGCTGCTTGACACCTGCTGCCTGCACGGTCAGCATTCTGACTCCAATGACCTCAGCGGTTAGGTTTCTGCGAAAATCACCGACCTACCTTATCTCGAACTTACAACCCGCTACCTAATAGAATTCCTTTTCAGACCACATCAGAGGGCAGAACGGTTTTGCGACTTTCATCTTGTCCCTTAATACCCTCTCGCCCGCGCAGAACGTCTTGCCATCGCCTCTCACTCTTCAGTTCAACCCCACCCGTGCTTCCTTGCATCTCCCTGCAGCGCCTGTGCCCACCCTTTTCTGCGGCTCGCCGAGACGAAGACAACCGCGCGTACATACATTCGCTCGAGGAGGAGACGCGAGACTTCGACTTCGGTCGACAAACCGTCAAGATGCTGAAGATATGGTCCATGGTAGGGTGCTGCTCAGGCTTCGGGCGCGGGGTTGCTTTGGGCAGGTTGCTGACTGCCGCGGACAGAAGAAGGAGCAGCAAAAGGCTGAGAATGCTGCCGAGGGCACAACAGGGGTGGCGCCCAAGAAGAAGAAGGTTACGGCGGCGCAATTACGGGTGCAGAAGGGTGAGCAGGGCTCCTTACCCCCGTCAATGCTCTCTCTTCTTATCTCTCGACCTTCCCATACCCAAACTAACGATCGGCATTTTTTACTTTGTGTAGACCTATCAGAGCTCTCGCTCGGCAGCACAATGACGACCGAATTTCCGGACCCAGACAACATCCTGTCCTTCATCCTGTACATCGAGCCGGACGAGGGCATGTACAAGGGCGGGCGCTTCAGCTTCACGTTCAACATCCCCGCCTCGTTCCCGCACGAGCCGCCCAAGGTGCTCTGCCGCGAGAAGATTTACCACCCCAACATCGACCTCGAGGGCAAGGTGTGCCTCAATATCCTGCGGGAGGACTGGAAGCCCGTGCTCAACCTCAACGCCGTCATTGTCGGCCTGCAGTTCCTGTTCCTCGAGCCCAACGCCAGCGACCCGCTCAACAAGGAGGCCGCCGATGACCTGAGGAATAGCCGCGACGGGTTCAAGCGCAACGTCAGGCAGGCCATGGCCGGCGGGAGCGTGCGCGGCGAGACGTATCAGAGGGTGCTGGTTTAGAAGAAACAGGCCCGGAGTGCGTCGGGGAAGGTGTGAATGGGAGGTCGTGCAAAGGAAGGGAAGGAAGGGGAAGGGCGGTGGAAGACGGGAGATGGGTGAGCGGAGGAGCGAATGATACCTGCACCTTCGGCTTGTCTGTGAGCGAGCGGGGCCCATGGCAGAGGCTAGATGAGCGCACCTGTGGCGCTGATGAGTAAGATGGCTACGGTCGAATTTGATTTTATGGCTCGGGTGTTCTCTCTGCCCTTTGCGGATTGTGTCTCGCTGTGCGGGCTGCAGCCGTTCCTCTTGAGCGGCAGGTGCCGTACCGGGCGTTTGTTCAATCTTCTTACTGGAGACCGGCCAGGTATATGCGGAAAGAATCCTTGATCAAGTGACGGCGAGGTCTCGCAACAGGGCCAGAGCAGAGGATGGTCCTACTGTCCTGAATTGTGTCGTTTCCCGCCCATAATACACACAGCATGTGTCGCGTGACTCAACTCGGCTACGTCCTCATCGGCCAACGCTCCGCGTCGGTGGTCTAGCCCAGTGGACTCCGCGTCTGGTTGTGCCTTAACTCCGGAGCACGTTTGCCTTCTGAAGCCTCTCGCAGCCCCGTGCCAAGGCTCGCGCTCCGCAGTCCTCGGGTGCACCATCAGCCCCTGGCCGCCCCGGATTCCACCAATCCAATTGGAAGCGCTGCAGAGTGAGCAGAGCTCCACAACCCAGCCGTCAGGCGCCCCCGAAGTCGGTGACAGCTCGCCTGGCAAAAAGTCTGCAAGCCTCAGTCATCGGCAGCGAAACGGAGACGGTGAAAAGCACAAAAGCTATTTTCTGTCCACATCAACCTTCCCCCTACCTCCATTCCTTCCCATATCCCCCCGTCCCAATCCCCACTCCCGCAACCGAAATTCCATTTCACAATGGCCTCCCGCAGCTTTTCCAGGGCTCTGCGCTCCCCAATGGCGCGCCAATTGGCGTCGCCCGCTGTCCAGAAGCGCACCTTCGTCGCCGCTGCTGGCCTGGTGCGTGCGTCGGCCGTCGCTGCCCGCGCCGCCACCGCTGCGCCTGCCCAGCAGCAGGTGCGCGGTGTCAAGACCATCGACTTTGCTGGTTCAAAAGAGGAGGTCTATGGTGAGTTTGGCTGCCAATTGGGTGCTTAGGATTGCGTTGCTGATGGTTGATGTGTCTGTGCAGAGCGTGCCGATTGGCCTCAGGAGAAGCTTTTGGTGAGTCATTGCTGGTTTATGGGTTTTATCTTACGAATTGTTTTTGTTCAGGCTATGCGATGGACGATGGGAACAGCTGCTGATAATCCCCCAGGAGTATTTCAAGAACGACACCCTCGCCCTTATCGGCTACGGCTCGCAGGGCCACGGCCAGGGCCTCAACCTCCGCGACAACGGCCTCAACGTCATCATTGGTGTGCGCAAGAACGGCAAGTCGTGGCAAGATGCCGTCCAGGACGGCTGGGTTCCCGGCAAAAACCTCTTTGAGGTCGACGAGGCCATCTCGAAGGGCACCATCATCATGAACCTGCTCAGCGACGCCGCCCAGAGCGAAACGTGGCCCGCCATCAAGCCCCAGATCACCAAGGGCAAGGTATGTGACATGGGAGCAACCAGGGCAGTGCGTGCCGGAAGATCTGCGACCGCTGACAGTGAATGCTAGACCCTCTACTTCTCGCACGGCTTCTCGCCTGTGTTCAAGGACCTCACCAAGGTTGACGTTCCCACCGACGTCGATGTCATCCTCTGCGCCCCCAAGGGCTCGGGCCGCACCGTGCGCTCCCTCTTCCGCGAAGGCCGCGGCATCAACTCGTCGTTCGCTGTCTACCAGGACGTGACGGGCAAGGCCAAGGAGAAGGCCATCGCCATGGGTGTGGCCATTGGCTCGGGCTACCTGTACGAGACGACGTTCGAGAAGGAGGTCTACTCGGATCTGTACGGCGAGCGGGGCTGCCTGATGGGCGGCATTCACGGCATGTTCCTGGCGCAGTACGAGGTGCTCCGCGAGCGCGGCCACAGCCCCAGCGAGGCCTTCAACGAGACGGTCGAGGAGGCGACGCAGTCGCTGTACCCGCTGATTGGCGCCAACGGCATGGACTGGATGTTCGAGGCCTGCTCGACCACGGCCCGCCGCGGCGCCATCGACTGGACCCCGCGGTTCAAGGACGCGCTCAAGCCCGTCTTCAACCAGCTGTACGACTCGGTCAAGACCGGCGAGGAGACCAAGCGCTCGCTCGAGTACAACTCGCAGCCCGACTACCGCGAGCGGTACGAGAAGGAGATGGAGGAGATTCGCAACCTGGAGATCTGGCGGGCGGGCAAGGCCGTTCGGTAAGTTTTTACTCGGAAACATGTTCCCACAGGCAGCAGGCTAACCCTATCAAGTGCTCTCCGCCCTGAGAACCAGAAGTAAACGGTCGGCGTTGGACGGTGTCTTTTTCTGCTCCGAAACAGTATGAATACTCTGGCTTATGGAACGGTTGGGCCGCGCGGCCTGCCGGGGACGGGATACCTCGGGCAAGGAACTCAAAAAGCCTTGATCTGCACTGGAATTGCTTTATAATGGGGGGTTCAGCTGTAAACTGTACATATACTCTAGCTGACGGCGATATTTGATTTCTGAGCTCGTCTTCCTTTCCCTTGTCCCCCGCTCCCAATTTCGTCACTCCTCGGCAAACAACTTCCCCATCATCTCGAGACTCACGTTTCCTCCGGAAAACACCACCCCTAGATCCCACCCGGCCTTGCCGCCGTCGCGCTCCACCATCGCCCGAAACTCCTCGTTGTATAACGCCGCCGCCAACCCCACCACCGCGCTCGGCTCCACCACAATCTTCATTCGCTCCCAAACAAGCCTCATGGCCTTCCTAATCTCGTCCTCGCTCACGGCGTACACGGCCCGAACCAAGCCCCGGTCGTGGATGATGCTCCAGGGGATCTTACCCACGGGCGTGCGCAGCCCGTCGGCGATGGTGCGCGCCGCGGGGACCGTCTCGACGCGGGCGTGGGAGAGTAACCCGCGCCGGCAGTCGTCTGCGCCGTCGAGGGAGGGTTCGGCGCCGAAGACGAGGGTGCGCGTCCCCTCGCAGGCGAGGGCGGTTCCCGAGAGGAGACCGCCTCCGCCGCAGGGGGTTATTATCGCATCTAAGGGGGTTGGGGTTTGGGAGAGGAGTTCGAGCGCGGCGGTGCCCTGGCCGAGGATTATGTAAGGGTGGTCGTAGGGCGGGATGAAGGCGGCGTTGGTCTGGGAGAGGATCTGGGACGTGACGGCTTCGCGTTCAGGTGCCGTCGGGCCGGAGAAGGTGATGTGGGCGCCGTAGGAGCGGGTTGCGGCGATTTTGGCGGGGGACGAGGTTGAGGGCATGATGATGTGAGCTGGGATGGATGAGGTGAGGGCGGCGAGGGAGAGGGCTTGGGCGTGGTTGCCTTTTGTTCCCTTCGAGTGTGAGTGGGTGAGGCAAGAGTGAGAGGGGGTCAGTCAGAAACTCACCGGAGCTGTGCGTGACAACCCCTCGCTCCCGTCCGCCCCTTTCGGCCCACCCCGGCTCCTGCTTCAGCCGCTCAATGGCATGAAAGGCGCCCCTCGCCTTGAAGGCGCCGATCTTTTGGAAGTTCTCACACTTGAACCAGAACCTCAGGACAGGCTTGGCCGGGGCGCGGCCGGCCCACTCGGTGCCCTCGAGCTCGGCTTCAGTCCGTGGGGTGGACGCCAGCCGATTGAGCGTGGCGTTGGTCAGCACCGGCGTCTTATGGATATAGGGCTCGATCAACTTGTGTGCGGCCTGCACCGACTCGCGGGTGAGCGGGAGCGCCGTGGACTGGTCCGCCATGTTTGATGGTGTTGTCTCTTGCCGGTGCCTTTCGGAACCGGGATCGGGATCAGAGCTCGGTGTGGGGAGGATCGGCCTGCCAGAGCGGGATCGGACCGGAATGACTCGGTTTGTGCCTTTACCACAACACCACGGCGTGCGGTAGGCCCCGGTAACGACGCAGATGAAAGTGGACGAGTCCGACGTGAACTCAACGAGGTGCAAGTGGATAGAGGGGATATCGGGCCTATACCACAGCGAGTCGGAGGGAGAGCATCCACTGTTATCCACTGATTCCACTCATTGTGGGCACGTCCGGCAGCTTATGCATGAGCCAAGGACGGCAAGCCAGGAACGGAAGGTCACAATAAGTCACACACCGGGCCCAAGAGCACGCCTTAGGTAGGGAGGGAATAACTAGGTACCAAGGATACCGAAGTTGATGAATTTGAACTGGCACCTTCGTGTGAGGACACAGGGGTTTGCTACCTATGGTAATGGTGAATGCATCACTGGAAGAAAACTTAGGAGTGTCTCTTCCTGTAAGTGATGACTCAGCTATAAAGTTATCCTGGGCCTCCATTTCACTGCTCTTTGCTTGCTAACGGTGACCGTTTGGTCCCGGCAACTACTCCCTAACGGCCGGAATTGGTCCGGCCGTTTTGTCTCCGCACCGGCGTCTTTTGTGGACCGGCTGAGGCCGGCTATGGCCGGAGAAGAGCGGGCCCCCTGATTCCATTACATACCTGCTATACCTGCCTCTGGTACATACTCCAGTTGGAAGTCACCCGTCCATCACGGCTACGGTTCATGGCACGAGAACTCACTCAAATGCGATGCGAGTATGAGAGGCCAGTCAATGGGAGACTTCAGACGCGATATTGCAGAGACGGCGTCCCATCCGCCGGCAACACCATGCCCGAGTCAGGTTTCCATCTCATCGCTCACAAAGCAGACAAGCTGTATGGACGCCTTAACCCAACAATATTGACCTACCAGATAGAGACGATGGACATCAATTCTGATGGTGTCTGACAACTTGATGCGAAGGCTGGATGACTGCCTGTCCAGTTGGACCATGGCCATGTGCCGCTTGCTCAAGTCATGACAAAGAGAAATGGCCGGTTGCTGATGCCTCCCCATCGATAATGGTCTGTGGCCGGAATACATTCCGGCCACCGTCTATATAGGCACTTGTCTCAACCAAGATGCCGTCAACACTCGACGCACAGCGATCCAACGCTGAGAAGAAGAAGACCTTGATTTGCCATTTGGCCCTCCGCAATCTCATCCACGACCAGACCTTGCCACCATGAGATCCCTCGAACAGCCCATCCGCCCTTTCCCCGTCTTGGACGACACCAGGCCCGACGATATGTCCCTCCCGGCCTTCATGGTATCCACCACACGCGGTTTCCTCCCCCGCATGGACCCCATCGTGGCCCTCCCGCCCGAGTTCGAGGCGCTCGAGTCCATCCTGCAGCGCATGCCAGTCAAGACTCTGGTGGGCGAACCTGGCCTTCTCGCCGTCGGCAAGTTGGGCGAGACGGTCACCACCGAGCTACCCGACCTGACCGATGCCGTCGACAAGTACAGGGCCAACCTGCCGCTGATGAACGCCCTCTACCGGGACTACTCGTTTCTTGCGTCAGCCTACCTGCTGGAGCCGTGCCATGAGCGGTTTGTCAGGGGGGAGGGCTATGGCCTGGCCAGGGACGTGCTGCCGGCCAACATTGCCCGGCCTATTGCCAAGTGTGCTGATCTGTATGTCATTCAGCGCCATCCTGTCCTCGTCCCCAGGGGATGTCACATAGTACTAACCGAGGGGATTTGTGCTGTGTATCCAGCTGCGGTTTTAAACCCTTCATGGAGTACGCCGGCTCATACGCCCTCTTCAACTACCGTCTCGTCGACCCGTCCGCCGGCCTCGCCTCGTCCAACCTGCGCCTGATCCGCGCCTTTGAGCACGGCCTGGACCCCACCTCGTCCGAGGCAGGCTTCGTGCTCGTCCACATCGAGATGGTCAAGCACTCGGGTCCGCTCGTCGCTGGCGCCGTGGCTTGCATCGAAGCCTGCGCCTCGAGCCTGACACCGTCCGCCTTGCCAGAGTCTCCCCCGCCGCGTCAGGCCCTCAATGCCGCCCTGTCCACCGTCCTCTCCTCCCTTCAAAAGATCAACGCTACCATGGAAACCATGTGGTCCCGCTCCCGCCCGACCGAGTACACCTCCTTCCGAACCTTTATCTTTGGTATTACCTCGCGTAAGTCCACTTCATCTTATCAGTCCCCGTTTTCCTCCTCTTCTGTCCTACATCTTCTTCCCGTGTATTTCTCTCCTGACTCCCTACGGTACCTCAACCGTATCAACCCACCCCCGGTCTCCGGTCCTGAACGCAACACAAAGCTAACCGCAACTCCCTCATAATAAAGAAAGCATGTTCCCCAACGGCGTCCTCTACGAAGGCGTACCGAACCTCTCCCCCAACAATCGCGCCTCCTTCCGCGGCGAGTCCGGCGCCAACGACTCGATGATCCCGCTCGTCGACAACCTCCTGTCCATCCCCATGCCGACCACGCCCCTAACCGAGATTCTCCAAGACTTCCGCAGCTACCGGCCGGGGGAGCATCGGCGGTTCCTGGAGTGGGTCAAGAGCGCGGGCGTGAGCGCGGGGCTGAAGGACTGGGCTCTGGCCTTGGCTCATGATCCTCCTAGTTTTACTCCCGTTGACGGTACTGAGAAGAACGATGAGGAGGATGAACAAGCCAAAACAGAGACGAGGGCGCTCTGGATCAAGGTGCTGGACCAGGTGCGGGATTTCCGCTGGCGGCACTGGTGCTTTGCGCGCGAGTACATTCTCAAGCGGACGAGCCATCCCACGGCGACGGGCGGCAGTCCGATCGTGACGTGGCTGCCGAACCAGCTGGCGGCCGTCATGGACGAGATGGTGCGGGTGTATGAGGCTGTCGGCGGCGGGCTGGGGCAGGAGGTGGAGGGGATCATGGACCTGGTGGGCAGGCAGAGGGACATGCTGCGCAAGGAGGTGCGTAAGTTCTGCGAGGAGCGCGGGGTGACGGGCGATGGGGTGTAGATTATTAGGGTACTGTCTCTCCGGGGAGGTTGTCCATGGGCTATCCCGCGCTGGTATTTCGAATATGCAACACCTGAACTCCGCGCAATGGCCCAGTCCTTTCTCTCCCCATTTTCTCTGAAATCGCTTTATATCAACCCAGCCAACACCCCTCCAACCTCCACCACCACCACCCACCACACACCCACCACCCCAACCCTTCCCCCCCCATTATGACCAGCCAACCCCTTCGCCACACTAGCCGCCACCCCTCCAATCCCCGTCCTAGTCCCACTAACAACAGCAAAACAACTCGCCGTCCCACACTCATAGCCCGTCGGACAACACCCCGCCACGTCCCCACCCTCAGAACCACACAAGTACCACCCGCCCGCACAGCCACCACCACCATCCACCGCCGTAGTCTCCCCTCCACCCGACCCAACAGGCACAACGACCGTCACGCCATTCCCGTCCACAACCGTCGTCATCTGCGTCGTCGGCGTCGGCGGCGGCGGGCACGTCGTCGTGGCGCAGTCCCGCCCCGTCTGGCAACACCCTCCGCCTGCGCGCGCGAGGCAGGGGTAGAAGCCCGTTGGGCAGTACGATGACGATGACGATGATGATAGACTCGGGCTGTTTGTGTTTGTGTTTGTGTTTGTGTTGTCGGGTGAATCAGAGGAGGAGGTTGGGCGGAATGGGGCGCCTGCTCCGCTTCCTGACGACGTGGAAGCGGTTATGGTGCTGGTGGTGGTGGAGGTTATGGGTTGTGGGGTGGTAGACGGGGTGATGGTGATGACTACCGTGACGAGGATTGTGGAGGGGGTGGGGAGGGAGATGATGCTTGTTGAGGTTGTCGTGAGGGTTGTGAGGGTGGGGGGTTCAGCGGAGGGGGAAGAGCGGACGCCTGTGTTGGAGTTGTCAAATTAGCAGGGTGGAGGTTGGGAGGGACGGATGGTGGAGGGAGGGGGGGGGGAAGCGTACAGCCGACGCCCTGGCAGACAAACCCCGGGATGCAGCACCCGCCGCCGAGTTCACTCCCGCAAGCCGTGCTCCCGTCTGCGCAGCCGGATATCCCGCCTCCGCATGTCGCGCCGGACGGACAGCAGCCCACCGGCCCCAGGCCCGTGTCGGGCACCTCCATGCATGTCTCGCTCTCGCCGCAGCAGCTGTTGGGGTATCCGATTGAGGAACAGCTGCGTGTCCCGCTCGGACAGGCCCATTGTCGCCTCTCGAAGGAGGCGATGGCGGATGCTGCGCGCCGAAATATATCCCATCCCGGAGACGGTATGCTCTCGTCATCTTGCTCTTCGCGACCTGAGAGTACGGCAAACGGCGGGCGCAGGGGCAGCTCGGCCGAGGCGTTGGCCTGTATCCGATGGGCGTCGTCTGTTTCGTGGGTGCTGCGCGCTGCTATTGCTGGGTGAACTGCATGTGGTGGCGAGCTTAGAGCGGCGGTGTCGTGGTCGGGGAAAGCGCAGTACGCGTGGTGGAATTTCGCGCCTTGGTCTGGTGGCATCTTGCGGATTGCTGTCGGGATGGGGTGCTGGTGGGCTCCCGACTCAACTTGCGCCTGCTCGAGAGCTTCGATCTGGGCTGTGAGGAGGAGCCACAGTGAGAGCGGGAGTCGGCGCATTCTGAGAAGCCGGGAGCTGAACAGACGGGCCCAGAGACTAAGGACGCAAGCGTGCTGCAGGCACGATCAGAATCCGAAAGCAACCGAGTATGAATAGGATGCAGAGCAAGAAGAGCAGCTGGTTGTTAGTTAATCATATCGATCAGATGTCGTGAAGCTGTGGTCGGTGGTCGAGGTCAAAATGTCGGTCGCCAGTCGTCGAGTTGAGGCGTTGTTGACATTCGGTTTCACAGATGAAGATGCTTTGGTTGGACGAAAACAAGCGCCAAGACGGGTGGAACACCGAGCGTCGTTGCTTGGCAGGGGTCGATGTACACAGCTCGAATCCTAACCACACGTTCAACTCTTTTCCACAACTGAGAGGTGAGGGACAGAGGTGAAGCATAGGCTCTGAAAACTTTGGACAACTCAACGTCACTTGGTCTGTACCTTAGCCGAACATGTCAAAACATTTGGCTTCCTTTAGCGAACGAGGGGACCCTGCAGATCATCAAGTCTCTGTGGAGCACAGTAACTGGTTGCTAGCGGGGTTCGATTTATTTACTCCCCCTGAAGCTCGCATCCCCTTTTCATTTCTACCACGAGGGAATTCCTTGAACTCGCCTATATTAGCAATATATATTGAACGGTAATATACTAAACAGAGGAGGCAGATACTTCCAAGGCCGAACTATAAGACGACAAGGAAGAGGACGAGGTTTAGGAGAAGAAGACCAAACCCCGTCCCTTTCGGCAGCTTCGAAAGAATGATGCCAAGCGTTGGCGCACCCCTGGACAAGGGCCTCGCCGTCGAAGTCCGCGACGTCCCGCAGATCACCGGCCAGGCGTCGTATATCAATCACGCGCACAGAGATGGCAAAGCGATTTTGAGCTAGCGTAACTTCACCACGGACAACCTAGACGTGCTCGGGACAACAGGACACACCGGAGCGATCGCATGGCGGTTAGCTGCTCGTGTCATGGCGGCCGAGAACGCGGTGAACGACGGGAGAGTGGTTCCCCAAGACCATGAGAAGAAAGATCATGGGGGAACCATTGAGAGGCGTGGAGATTCAGGTAGGGAATTATTCTAGTGGCATCACATTCAACGCTGATATCACCACCTTTTTATCTAAAATTCACTAGTTCCAGGTAGCATACAGCCACTGTTCAGGACCCGAGCTACTCTAATTTGAAGTTGCCTGGCAAAAATCGGGTAGCAGGGGCGTTCGCTCTTTCAATGAACAAATCGATGGAAGACATCACGACGACCAAATGACGAGCCAGCCCGGAGTCCTAAATTGGGCCATTTTCTTGTCGTTTTCTTATGGTGTTGGGTGGGTTTTACGTGCGCCGCATCCTGCAGGTGGCACATGCTCGTTCCTGAGCGCCGACTACACGTCCCGGATTCTCGCGAGTGAGGTCGCCACACTTAAACACGTCAAGAAACATACTCCGATTCCGGTGCCCGGAGTGTTCGCCTACAGGTGAGATACGGTACCTTTATCTCACGCTCATCTATCAACGAACTTTTCCTTCTTCCCCTTACTTCTTACCTTTGCCTCGATCATTCTCTTCCTCCTTGTCTTCCTCCTCCTCCTCTTCTTCTTTCTCTTCCTCCTCTTCTTCTACTTCTTCTTCCTCCTCGTTCTCTTCCTTCTCCTCATCCTTTTTATCTTCTCCCTCTTCATTCTCCTCATTCTCTTCATCCTCTTCGTCCCCGTCGTCCTCTTCATGTCCTCCATTATTTTCTTCATTATAGCCACCACAATCATCGTCGATTTCTTGTTTTATTTATCTTGTTGACACCACAATACGCAGTACGTCTTATGACAACGAGGTTGGGTCACCTTATATCCTGATGAGCAAAGCCTGGGGCATCCCGTTACGGAGTATAACTGGCTACAGGCGGAGAACAAGTCGCCCAAGTCTGCTTTGCGAGCCAGCGAAACACGTCCGCTGTCGGAAGAAGGCAAGCGGAGGGCCATGGTTCAACTCGGAGCCATAACGGCTCGACTCTCACGATTACGCTTCGACAGGCTCGGATAGCTCACGCAAGGTTCAAGTCGGCAACTACACGATCGGGGATTGCCTTTCCCCCTCGCTCACTTGGCAGCATAGAGACTCGCTCGAGAGCATCAACCTTAGTCCGTACCATGATGGAAGCGCGAACCTCGACTACCTCGTCTCCGTCTACATCTCCCACGCAAAGGAGCTCGTGATGACGCCGCTCGCGTGTTTCGCCCCTATCCCGGACCCTAACGAATACACCACCTGGGACAGCTATAGCATCGCCGTGTCCAGTTGGAACAAGTTTTTATTTCCTTTTATTTTCCTCCTTCTCCTTCTCTCTTTTTCCCCTCTATATTATATTAGTTGTATCTAGTTTTTCTCCCTAATCCTTTTTATCGCTTTCTATTTTCCTCTTACATTTGATTTTTTTTTTCCCCATTTCTCTTTCCTTGATTATCTTTCTCTTTCTCTTTCCCTCCTTCTCATCTTTCCCTTCTTTCCCTCTCCCCTTTCCCCTTTCCCCCTCTCCCCTTTCCCCTTTCTCCCTTTCTTAGACTTCGGTTCCCAACTCTCAGTTCTCCCTCTACGAATTCCCTTTCTTTTCCTCTTCTAAACTTGACCACGCCTTCCGCACTAACAGATTACCTGAGCTATGGTTGGACCGTATCATGAGAAAAGCACAGAGGGCTACATGTATTCATGATGTCGGACATAGGATGCAATGTTCAGGGAAAATAGACACATTAGAGCCCACTAGCAGCCGGTTACTATGCAATAACCCGCTAGTTTGTCTTTTCCTTGATGCCATCACATCCCACCAACGGTGCCTTGCGTTACGGAGCACTCCGCTTCCTCTAGGCCACCCACACCAACACATTTTCCTTCAAGTTTCAAGTTATTGGTAACATATCTTCAAGGTATCTGCATCATCATGGCCAGTAGGGCGCTAGTCATAATCCGTACAACATCACTCACATTCGGTGCATTCCCTGTCCGCGATCTGGGCCAAGACGGCCGGCGGTGGCGGCCACGCGCGCTAGCCGCGGCTGCGGCTGCGGACGCTCCTCCAGGAACAGTGATTAGAGAAGGCGTCCCGGGCAGAAACACAAAAGCCCGGGCCATCACCCACTGACCGAACATCTCGGCATTATCTCCCAGCATCTTTGCTGGGCCCTTCCTATGGATGGTACCCAATAGGGCCAAGAACACCTGGGAAAGTTGTCCCCTTCGCTGAGGCGGACCTCGACAACGGCGTAGACGGCGTGACCGGGCTGTTACACTCCCAGACCTACCTGCCATTCCCGACGGGGCGTTGAAAGACTCAGAAGACCTTCCCGGTGAGCGAGTTCGGTATGTTAACCGTAAGCCTCAGCACGGCTTCAGCAGACAGCTTGCTTACGTTGGGAAAAATAACACTGAAAATTGGGAGAAAGGGACAGTAGTGAGGGAGCCCCGGGCAATTGAATTCTCGGTACGCCGCCTCGCCGACCCATGTGTTTTAGCACCACTGATCGGGTGTTACAGTGTCAGATTTGAGCGGCTGAGCAAACTTCCACAGTTTGGGAACAAGACATGTGCTCCAGACCCGAAGAAGAGAGGCGTGGAGTGATAAACTGGCTGAACCGGCTGGCTGGATCAGTTGCAAGAGTGATTCATGCGGTGCTTGATGGAGCTCAGCCGAACGCGGTAAAGTAGTCTTATGCCTATTATTTTGTCACATAGACGAGGACAGTCAGTTCCAGGTATGTCAGCAGGCTGTAGCTGTATGCCACCGAGAACGCGCAAGATCGCCTCAATACAACCCTATACTCGCTTCCTCTATCACGTATCTCGTCTGCATCGACGCCATCTTATTCGTGCACCGCGCAGGATATCCTATCATACCTTCCACACTACCCATCTATCCAAGTTCACCCAAGCCTTTACATACATATCTGTAGTTACACACGAGGCAATCATACAGTATCATACAACCTCTGGCATACTCCCTAAAACAGACTCTCGCCTGTAGCCGAACTTTCACCCGTAGCACCCCCTACCCCCTGCAACTCCCTGCCCACGCCCCTCATGAAGGCCGAACACAACAATGCAGTCGCCGCGCCAACATTCAAACTATCCACCACCCCCGACCCGGACAAGTTGGGAATATTCACTTCAAAATCCGCCTTCTTAACAATCAACCGATCCAACCCCTCCGCCTCATTCCCAATGAGCAGCACGCACGGGTCCCGACGCAGCGGATCCGACCCGTCGACCTCCCACACGCTGAAATGCCGCAGGCGATGCTGCGCGCTGCGGGGCCCAGCCGACGCGACCGCCGCGTAGACGGACCACCCGTTGGCGCGGGACAGTGTCACGAACTCGGCGAGGTTGGTGACGCTGAAGAGGCGCATGTCCTCGGACGCGCCGGACGAGGCCTTGAGGGCCACCGGCGTGAGGGACGCCGAGCCGCGTCGCGTGATGGCGACGGCGCTCGCGCCAAGGAAGTGCACGGAGCGGAGAATGTTGCCTAGGTTGCCTGGGTCGAGGATGCGGTCGAGGACCACGACGAGGGGTTTGTGAGTGGTGCTGGGAATGTGAGGGCCGGCGGATAGGGAGGGGATGGAGGACGGGGTGCCGTTGATGGCGGCTTCTTCGACCGATTGATGTGCGAGGGTGAGTGGGACTACGGGGTTGGCGGCGTAGTCTTCCGGGAGCGGGCCGAGGGCGGTGAGGGGCGGTTGCGGGAGTGGGGAAGCTTCGAGGACGAAACCGTTGTGTGGGCGCGAGGCCGACAGCTTGTCCATGAGGCGTTGGCCGTCCCTGTCGACGAAGGTGATGGGGACGTCGTTGCGTTTGGCAAGTTTCTGGATGAGGGAGATGTCCTCGTTTGGGCGGGTGGCGTCTTTGGAGATGTAGAGCTTGTAGAGCTTGCGGCGCGACGAGCGCAGAGCGGCCTCGACGACGGATTTGCCGTAGAGGAACTGGGACGCGGCGGTTGTGTATGGGATGGAGATTGGCTCGCGGTTCTTTTTTGGGTTGGATAAGGTCCTGTCATCCGAAGGCTCGTCTCTCCTGCCGCGGTCTGAATACCTGTGGGGAGCGTCTTGCTCTCTGGGGGGAATGTCCCTGCCCTTGAAGGCGTCACTGTCTCTGTGTGGACGGTCGGTATCATGGCGAGGGCTGTCTTGTCCTCTGAACTGGGTCTCGCTGTCTATGAAGTTGTCCTTGCCTCTTTGAGGTACGTCCCTATCCTTGGAGCCGCTCTCGTTTCTGCGAGGCATGTCGCGATCCTTGGGGCGGTCTCTGTCGCCGCGAAGGTTGCCTCTGCTGGGCCCTGCTGGTCGCGATAGTTCCGCGACGGGGTCCCACACATCCTCTTTATCTTTGGCCTTCCGGGAGGAACGTGTGCTTGTGCGGCTCTTCCCCATCCGGCGATGGCTGGTCTGCAGATCTGGCCGAGGCCCGGTGCGTTGGAACGCCGACTGTAAGGATTCGTCCTCCTTTTTCTTTCCCTGAGCTTTCAACTCCTCGCTGAGCTTACCGGTCTTCAGCTGATACACCAGGCTCTTCTTGCCGAATGAAGAATCTGGATCGTAGAAGCGAGCCTGACGGGACTTCGGCTTGGCCTCGTGCGGATAGTCCGTGATGTCCTTCTTGCCCTTCCAGATCTTGAAGGACGGCCTCTCTTCGGCCAACTGTTGTCTGGCTTTCTGCCTTTCAGCGTATGTCATCCGCTTTGACCCTTTAGCTAAGTCGCTGATTTTGCCAGGGCGGGCGCCTTGTGGCCGCGCCTTTTCTGACAGGACGAGACCCTTATGAATGGCTGAGAGCGAGGTGCCTTTATGCCGGAAACGGAGAGCCGTGAGCGAAACTCTTGTTGATTTGGCTGATATGGAGGGCTTTGCCGCTCGGTGGACCAAAGACAACGTCATGTCAACTACCCCTTTGAAATTAACCTGATGGTGGCAGAATCCTGAGGGTGACACGTCTCGACGAGCGCAACCTGGAACACGGTACTTGCAGAATTAAGACGATTAGACGGAAATATGTACTGAGACTTCAGAGCCTGTATAATACTCAGGCATGCTTTTGAAGTAAAATTGGGGCGAGACTGAAAAAGCCGTTGAGAGGGATGGTATTGGCAGCATCCAACTCTCGAAGTCCCTGCAGTGAGTGCTCTGTTTGAACCCCCTGGCTGCAGGCAAAAGTCTCGGGCAAACAAAAGCTCGAATCTCGTCAGCCCCACATTTTACTCAATCAGCCAATCGGGATATTTCCTGGAGTCTGCAGGCACAGTGTGATTAAACCCATCGCTTCCGGATACTGTACGGAGTCCAGAACTCGATAAACGCGCGCTCACTTTCGGCGTCGCGTTCGCGGTGGATTTCAACGACATTTGTTTAATTGATGTCGTCCACGATACCGGCACACGCGCGATGCTCCTCTAGCAATACTGACTATGTATGGGACTAGAAAAATTAGACTCAAACATCACTGACTTGGCATTTTATACAGCCACGGGAATCGCGGACGGTCTGTCGGAGTTGGATCCGAAGCTCGACTCGATTCGGCCGTTTGCTACCATGGCAACCTCGAACGGTTTGCCAAGTTCCGAGGACGGGCTGTTCGTCGACGGGGCAAGGACAGAAGCAGCGCCATTCACCTTCCAATACGATCTCAGCGATAAGGATGCGCCGGATCCCTTGAACCTGGACAAAATCGCCCGAGAGTCGCCCGTAACGCTCACTGGGGCATCAGATACCCCACCCATTGTCGATACAGAAGAACTTTCGTTGGCGGCGATGAGGGAAAGGCAAACAAACGGCATTACGAAGCAGCCCGCCGACAAGCCTGGGAATCGCATCGTACCCGTTAGCATCGAAGTTCGCTTGCCATGGTTGCCACCCGCCCGACGAGCAGAATACCAGAAAGTCAGAGTCGAGGACTATCAGCCGGAAAAGGAGTACTCTAGAACGCGGAGGAGAAGACGTCAGGTGAGTGACAATTTCTGCGTGGTTCTCTGCTGGCCGTGATTTAGTTATGGGGCTCCGGGTGGCGGGTCAGTGTCTTTGGAGAGAAGCCCAAGACGCAGTCAAATGCTGCCTCAACTGATGGGTTTGAAAAACCGTGGGCATTTGCTACAAGCAAGGGATGCGCAAGCTTGTTGCCTTGACTTGGCTAGATACTTTTCATACTGCTGCTGCCGAGGCTACCCGAGTGTACAGAGCGGGATCTTCAAGGGGAGCTGCTTCTTGCTCCCGGATCTCTGACGGCTCTCAAGCCTCGTACGTTTACCAGCTTCAGATCACGCTGCTCTTCGAAGAGAGACTCGAAGGGCAGGTGTCGAAGTTCTCCCGGAACGGTTTTTCTACCGATGTGGGCCTGCTCCCTGATTTGCCTTCCTCGAGATCCGAAGTTCGGCTTTTCATCCTCCTCCCCATTCTAATGCATTGCTGCAAGCCCTCACAATGCGATAAACTCTTCTTCCTTGCCTGGCTTCTGGGTTCTTTGAGCTTTCGAGACCCACGCCCATAATAAATACACTTCCAAATATTACTCCCTTCCACAACACCTCTCGATTTCTATCCTCAACACTCTTCGCGCCCCCTCTTCTTCAACCTGCAACACCAGAGCCGATCACGATACACGGTCACGCTCTGCTGTTTCGGATCCAAGACCTCATTCTCATCCACAGTTTTCATTCCATTCACTCTTCCGTCACCTTTCCGTTTCATATCTCCTCAGTCCGGCGTTCACCGATTGATTGACCGCGACAATGGTAGGCAGAGGGAACTTGGCAGTGTGCACTTATGATACCTTTCCTTACCGTTGGTTGTGATGCAAGCAAAATAGTCTCTGACTCTCACTTCGCATTTGGCCGGTCCGCTTCACCCGGGTCCCTCTCTTTTGCTCCTCCCACACATGTTCTCCCTCACATGTTCTCACACACAGGACACCTCACAATTAATCTCCTTACCCGATCCATTCTGCGCAGCCTGTTGAGTTGAACGCTTGCTGATACTCTTGACAGGATGACGTCTATGACGACTATGCCGAGCAGTTCGGCACGAGAAAGAGGAAGCGTCTTGATGATGATTACGGCAGCTATGATGAGTTTGAGGTGAACTCTGATGAAGAGGACGTCCAGGACGCCCGTGCCGCTCGCCGGAGACCGGGTACGATTGACGGTTTTTTGGAAGCCCGCAACGGGCGGCGCAGCACACGTGCGAGCACCCGCGCCAATTCCCTTCTTGCATCTGACGAAGGTGAGAATGGGAGCTTAGCAGGGTCAGGGCGGCCGCGGCGGTTGCGCCCTAGAGCCAGCGTGGGTTTCAATCAAAATCACGGTTCGCACTACGACGACCGAGACGAACTCCAAGACTCGGATGGGGCCCGCGGCGACCCGTCATTCTCCTTCGTTCAATCCGACATCGTCCAGACGAAGCGGAGGCGGCTTAGGAAGCTGTCAGCTAGGACGAAGCCCGGTCCTCGCGGCGGTTTGCAGCTGGTCGAGGACTCGGACATCGAATTCGAGTCGCGACGCCGCTCATCGCGTGCCGGCAGGGCGACCAAGAACATGACAGACAAATATTCCGACGACGATGAGATCTATTACCGGCTCGAGGAAGAGCGAGCACCAGCTGCCCCGAAAGCCGTCAGCATGCGCGAAGTTTTCCAGCCGGCTTCGTATGAGTTTAAGGAAGTTCATCGGACCATCTGCGAGTCGTGCGGCTACGGAGACGACCGGAACAAGGGGGCTCTGATACCTTGCCAGGGCTGCTCCAATTCCTACCACAAACTCTGCCTTGGCGTCCGGAGCGTCCGAGAACACCGGGTGACAAAGGTTGGCCCGGACTCGTTCGTGATGCAATGCCGGTTCTGCATCTGCACCTACAAGCACAAGGACGTTCAGGCTCCCAGCCACGACATCTGCCAAGGGTGCCACACCAAGAATCAGTCGTGCGTGCCTTTCTCAGAGCGGAAGACGGTCAAACAGGAGGAGGCGCTGCGCAATGAAAACGGCGGCGTCGACCCCATAACCCCCGTTGACACGAAGCTTGTCAACAATCCGGACAATGTGATGTTTCGGTGCTGCCGCTGCCATCGCGCTTGGCACTATGAGCATCTGCCACACCCAAACAAGTCTCGGGATCCCGCCATCGACGACCCGCTCCATCTGCGCAAGCATCGTCGCGAGGAATACCAGATTACATGGACTTGCAAGACGTGCCAGGACACGGAAGAGGAAAAGATTGACAAGGTGGTCGCTTGGCGGCCGCTGAATCCCAGCGCATATACCAAGGGTCAGTGGATTACTGACTTTGACGAGGACAGCCTTGAGTACTTGCTCAAGTGGCAGCATAAGTCCTACAACCACTGCATGTGGGTGCCTGGAGCCTGGTTCTTTGGCGTCGCTAGTGCCGTCATGCGGCAGTCGTTCATCAAGCGAACATTCGGAGAGCGCTCTGATGAGGGCATCGATGGAGAGAGGCAGCATGCCGACAACCTCCTAAGGTGGACCGAGAAGGACGCGATTCACGACTCGTGGATCACGCCCGACATCATCCTTGATGTCCACCAAGCGCCGCGGTCGTCTCTGGATGAAAAGCGCTACAAGGCCAAGTCGGTCAAGGACAAGTTTGAAGATGACCTGAGTCGAATCCATCACATCATCAAGATCTATGTCAAATTTGAAGGCTTAGGCTATGATGATGCCGTCTGGGACACGCCTCCGGCTCCTGATGCGGGGCCGATATACGATGCTTTTTGCGCGGCTTATTACGAGTACCTGAACGGCAAGCACTTCAGGCCAGAGCCTTACTCCAAGATGAAGGAGCGGATCGAGGAGTTCCGCCAGCGGGTCTTCGCTCCTGGCATCGAGGTCAAAGAGCAGCCCAAAGGCCTCCGTGGTGGCAAGTTGATGGAATATCAACTTGAGGGCCTCAACTGGATGCTATACAACTACCACCACGAGAGGAGCGTAATTCTTGCCGACGAAATGGGCCTCGGCAAGACGGTTCAGGTTGTCGCCCTGCTTTCGAGTTTCATCCAGGATGACCCCAAGATCTGGCCATTCCTCGTCGTGGTGCCCAATGCAACCTGCCCCAACTGGCGCCGCGAGATCAAGAAGTGGGCTCCCGATCTGCGCGTTGTGGCCTACTACGGTGGAAGGGTCTCTCAGTCGCTAGCGCTCCAGTACGAGCTGTTTCCCAATGGAACCCGGGAAATGAAGGCTCACGTGGTCATCATGTCCTATGACTCGGCCAAGGACAATGACACGCGCTCGCGGTTTGCCGGCACGAAGTGGGCGGGCCTAGTCGTCGACGAGGCCCAGGCCCTCAAAAACGACGAAAACAATCTATACAGGGCTCTCAATAGCTTGCGCATCCCGTTCAAGCTGCTGCTTACCGGGACGCCCCTGCAAAACAACAAGCGGGAATTGTTCAACCTCCTCCAGTTTGTCGACCCAGCCATTAAGGCAGAGCGCCTGGATGAGCAGTTTGGAGAGATCACGTCGGAGAATTTGCCTGCGCTCCACAACCTGATCCGCCCTTACTTCCTCCGCCGGACGAAGGCCAAGGTCCTCACATTCTTGCCGCCAATGGCGCAGATCATCGTCCCGGTGAGCATGAGTGTTCTGCAACAGAAGCTCTGCAAGTCCATCATGGAGCGTAATCCTGAGCTCATCCGCTCCATTCTTGTGCAGAGCAAGGTGAAGGTTAGTGATCGTGGCAGCCTCAACAACATATTGATGCAGCTTCGCAAATGCCTGTGTCATCCGTTTATCTACAGCCAGGCCATTGAGGATCGCACGAGCTCGCCGGAGCTCGCGAGGCGCAACCTCATCGAGGCTTCTTCGAAGCTTATGCTTCTGGAGATCATGCTGCCCAAGCTCAAGGAGCGTGGCCACCGCGTTTTACTGTTCAGTCAGTTCTTGGACCAACTGACAATCCTGGAGGATTTCTTGGCCGGCATGGGCCTGAGGCATGAACGTCTGGACGGCACCCAGTCGTCGATGGAGAAGCAGAAGAGGATTGATGCCTTCAATGCTCCCGACTCGGACATCTTCGCCATGCTGCTCTCCACGCGTGCGGGCGGCGTGGGAATCAACCTCGCCACCGCCGATACAGTCATCATTCTCGACCCCGACTGGAACCCGCACCAGGATATCCAGGCTTTATCCCGTTGCCACCGTATTGGCCAGCGCAAGAAGGTGCTGTGCTTCCAGCTGATGACCGTGGACTCGCCGGAGGAGAAGATCCTCCAAATCGGCCGCAAGAAGCTTGCTCTGGACCATCTTCTAATCGAAACCATGGATAACGAAGAGGACGCGCCCAACGACGTCGAGTCCGTCCTCAAACACGGCGCTGCGGCTCTGTTCGGTGAAGGCAACAAAAAGGAGGCCATCACGTACGATTCGGCTGCTGTGGACAAACTCCTAGACCGGTCCATCATGGAAGAGACCAAAACTGACGAAAATAAGTCGGCCGAGTCGGCCTTTGCTTTTGCTCGTATCTGGGCCAACGATGAGGGTGCGCTTGCGGATGATATTGTCGAGACGGAGCCGACTATCAACCTGAGTGTGTGGGATCAGATCCTGCAGCAGCGTGCGGAGGAGGCGCGGAAGCAGGCAGAGCGGGCCATGGAGACGCTCGGCCGTGGAGGGCGCCGCCGTGGAGTAGGTGCAGTGTGCATCTGTTGATGATTCGTGACTAACTCTGCACAGGCCGCCAACTACGCTGGGCCCCGGTTCGAGTTTGACGAAGGCCAGGATGCCGCGGCAGGAGACAGTGACCATGCAGATGGCGACGGCGAATTCGTAGGCACCGATAAGAGCGAGGCAGAGTCGAGCGATGAGGAAACTGCCGTGATGGGTGAGTCGACGCCGGTCGGAGCTAACTTACACAAGGGACAGGGCAAATCACAAGGTACGAACAAGTCAACCCCTGCAAAGTACACTGGCAAGTCGGGCGGGCGGGGTGCGAGTCGCGCTCCAGCCATGCCCAAGAACAAGCCAGCTCAGTCGAAGAACACCAGCTCACGCAAGAAGGGCCCTCAAACTTGGAGCGAGACTCCCAAAAAAACGCGGGCAAGAAAGCCCGCCGCGACGCCCGCAACGCCAAAGGCCAAGACACCACGGCCGCAGTCCTCCGGCCGCCGCCAGGCCAAGACGTCGCTCAGCACGCCGACAAAGCCGGCCGGCCGCGCAAAAACAAAGACGCCAGCGCGCCGAGCAAACACCAGCAGCAGCAGCAAATTGCCCCTGCGCCAGCTCGAGCTGGAGCAGGAGCAGGACCAGGCCGTCCCAACGGAACCCACGCAGCAACAACAGTCCCCGGAGGAGGAGCAGCAGTCCAACCAGGCAAGGGCCCCAGCATCCGACCCGGCAAGAACCACATCCAAGTCGTCCTGCCCTCCGGCAAGCTCGGCTGGACCCTCACAGACCTAGGCCCGGACGCCGAAGTCGTCGCTGCCCTCGCTGCTGGGACCCCTACCACCCGGCAGTCTCATACCCCGATCCCCGTCCCGGTAGTCCCCTCGATGGGCCCTCTCCCTGCCCGTCGTCCTGCTCCTGGTACTGCTGCTCAAACTAGTATCTCCACTAGCGCGATTCCGGTTCCAATTCCGGTTTCTTCTTCTGCTCCTACTCTGTTGGGGCCTGGGCTGCAAGTCCAGCAGCCAGAGGTGGTGCCGCTGCAGAGGTTGTGCATTGTATGCGGGTACATGCACCCGGAGACGTGGGACTGTCCTGAGATGCAGTCAGAGGCGAGGCTGCGGCTGGCTATGGACAGGCTCAAGAAGGCTGTTGCTAGTTTTGCTGTTATTGGGCAGGAAGGCGGTGGTGGTGGTGCTGGTGGTAGGGGGGAGGGGTTGATCGTGGTGAATGGGAGGAGGATGGGGTCTGGGGAGGTGAGCAGGGAGTGGGCGCGCTTGGGGGAGAAGTTGAGGCGGTTGAAGGCTGGGAATGGGCAACAACAGCAGCAACAATAACTACGGGGCAAGGCTGCGGGTGCGGGTGGAGGAGTAAGGGGCGTGGATATGCTGTGAGTTGCAGCAGTGGATTTGATCATTGGGCGAGAGGGGTAACGTCGTTGCTTTTTCCATCCCCCTCTTTTCTGAGACGGTAGGCATTTGGTTTGGGGAGAGCATAGGCAGGAGGAGCATGGCATGGTATGGCGACGGGTTTGGGCTGGCTGGCTGCTCTTTTTCTTTTTTGCCGAGGTATGCGGCGGATAGCATTGCCTCGCATGTCACCACGGGGTAGGTAGTAAGCCTGCCTCGTGGGCATGGACGTGCAGGCAGCATCTCTTGCTTTCGTTCGGAGGTGGACGATTTCAGCAACGTCATAGGGCTTATCCCTGCTTTTCTTCTTTTCTTCCTTGCCTGCGATACCCTTGGTGATTGAAAAGAAGGAGGGTGTTTGTGCTCGGCTCAGGGGCGTGTTCGTGATGGGCTCAGGGGTCGGCTGTGAAGTCAGACGAACAGATGACAGCATTTGACGTGAACAGTTGCAGTTCTAGACCGCAGGGGATGGATGGATAGAGAGATACCGGGCGGCTTGCCTACTACTGGCATGCCTAGCAGACGACAAACCCCCAAATCTTCAGACTCACTCTACAGATGTCATCTGGTTCTCCTGTTGGATTGAGTTGACACTGGCCAGGCAGAGCGTATAAGCCACAGCGTGCATACCCGCGTGGTGACTTGCATACCTTAGCATGGTACAGCATGACATGGCTTGCATGGTGGCTGCCGGGAGATGGGCCATCGCCGCCGCCAGCGGAAAAGCAGATGCCTATCAAGGCATTGCATTTGTCGTTCAACGGTTTGTTTTTCTTTTCTGTTTTCTAGTTTTGTGCCTTTCCATCCACTGATACCATCAGTTCCCTTCCTTCTGTCAGACAAGCAGCATCTGCATCCCCAGAGGGAAGCTCACTCACCGTACAGAGTACATAGCCGGCCCCCGTCCAATGTCTGTCTTGTCTGGCCGGTCTGGGAGCCCCTGTTTGTCACGTGGCGGTGGGCCGGGTTTGAGGTGGCAAATGTGGTGGTGGTTGTGTTGTTGTGGATGCAGGCATCCGGGCCAGATGCAGGCAACCTTATTTGGGCTCTGTCGGGCGTTTGCACGGGCGCTCTGCTGGTTGGTGATGGCGGGTTTGGAGAGAGAAGCGGGACTGTGCTTGATGGGAAGACTCTGGATATGTTGGGAAGAGGCAGGACAAAGCTGGGGAAACAGGGCCATGTGTGTGGGTGGAGTAGTGGATGGTGCTGGTGTTTAAAAGAGAAGGGTCTCAACTCTCAAGTTGAGGTTTGAGTTTCTAACCACGCCCAGTAACGCCTTATCTAGTGCAACAGCAGCATACTCGGAACGATTCGGACTTTTTGTCTTGCTACTTACTGCCCAGCACCTCGTCTCTGTGCCCCTTCTTCTTGCACGCTACACCGAGTCAGCTCTGCCTCATCGGGCACCAGGGACAGACAGACAGACATAGGCACTGCCCAGCTGTCGTGACACGCGTGTCACGTCTTGCCGCCGGTTGTTCCAGTCAAGAGTTTGTGGGACGGTTCCGGTTCCGCAGCGCGTCATCTCGGCGTATAGCGCTGTCTCGCCTTCTTTCTTCTCCGTTGGCGGCTTCTCTGCCAGACAGCTATCAAGTCCCTGGAGACAACTACCGGCCTCACTGAAACAGGCTGTATAGAAACGACAGCAGGCGTCAGGTGCTGGTGCCTTGTGCCCCTGTCCGTCCGTTTGCATCACAGAGATTCGGCCCGCTTTCGCTTTCTCCCTCCCCCGATATTGTCTTCGGCTTGGCCGTGGCTTGGTCTTCACATTCGCAGAGCAGAGCTCGCAGAACCTTTCTTGACCGCCATGGACGCCCTCCAGGAACTCACGCCGACTGAAGCCTTTCCGAAGGATCACGGGGTGCCTGCCCTGACTCCCGACCGCTCACGCACCCCGGCCACGCCCCCGGTAGACAAGAGGTCTCCTCGCGGCCCGCAGAGTTACAGTCACCTGGCCCTTCGTCTCGCACATTCGACTGCCGTTTCGCCAACGATCGACTCGCTTTCTCCCCGCTCACTCGACATGACCCGCGACATGGCCATGGAGGGTTCGTTGCCTCCGAGTCCACGCACCAAGCTGCAAGAGTCGCCGTTTGACCCGGCTTCCCATTCCCCTCATTCGGCCGTTTTCAGCGCCAGTCAGAGGATTCAGAGGTTGACCAGCTGCGACTCGAACCTGCTGGCTTTAGACGGCAACGACGTGAAGATTGGCTCTGACATCACTGGTGGGATTGCCTCCAAGCCCATGGATAACGCCAACTCGAGCAGTACCGACGACGTGACTATCAGACACTTTCCACGCTTCGACCAGGCGTCGCGCCCCATCGTGTCGGATAACTGGCGAGCCAAGAGTGCCGTCGATTCCGTCGATGTCGTCACGAGACCGCAGCTGGATTCTCTGACCATCAACAGTAACGGAAGCACGTCCAGCCCGCAGTCTCCCTTCGCCTATTCGCCGGCCCGCAGTCCGCTGGCAGCGCCCGCCAACTTCAACGCGATGACGGGCTTTAACCAGCCGAATCCGCATCCCCCGCCGACGCGTGTGTCACTGTCAACATCCGTCTCGATGTCCTTCAATCAGGATCCTGGTTATACCCATCACTCGTCCACCAGCAGCAGTCTTGAGTTCGGCACTCAAGACGGCCCGCCGAGGAGTATCCCAGCCGAAAATGCTACCAGCATGCCTCCGAATTCGCCATCTGCCAACCCCATCACCACCCGCATCAGCGATCTGGGACTCGGTAGCGAAAACACCGCGACAAACACCGCCTCCGCCAACGGCAATGAGAACGCCCAGGGCAGCAGCAATAGCAGCACCAGCAACGGCACCTTCTCCGTGACCATCTCTACCGACACGCTCGGCTACTGCTTTGTCCGGCCCAACGGCACGCGCACGCGCCTGGTGCCCGTCGACATGCTGCCGTACCCTTTGCAGGGGATTCCGGCAAACGAGAGCGGAAACGACCGGCTGGTGGCGCTGCCTGTGCCGGCCGGCGTCGGCGTCGACGGACAGTCGAGCAACACGCAGGCTTTGAGCGCGCTTGTGAGTTTTTTCCATACGAGGTGCCTGGAACGTTGTTGATGGCTGACCGTGCTCTTAGTGTCCCCCGGATGGAAATACCAACGGCGATGCGATCCAGGTAAACCCCTTTTCTTCCCTCCTCACCCCTTCTGTCACCCAACAACCTCTCCCCATTCATGAGATTCCTCCCCTCTCTCTTCCCAGCATCTCTTCCAGAACTACCTATCCGGACACGCACATCCTAAACGAGGAAAAAAAAACCAGTCCCAAATCGACCGCATTCTCGCCGCCCCCTCCCTTTCCCGCTCCAACAGCACTAACAACAACACCAACAAAACCACAAACCTGACACCCTCCCAGAACCAACCCCCAACCTCATCATCATCTTCCTCTTCGACAACAACGACGACAACACCCAAACGCATAAAAGTCTACTGCGACAAGTGGGTCCACGAAGGCGTCTGCGCTTTCACTCAGCAAGGGTGCAAGTACAAGCACGAGATGCCCTCAGACCGCGCGACGCAGCACCAGCTGGGCCTGTTCTTGGGTTATCCCGTGTGGTGGAAGCGGAGGCAGGCTGAGTTGTCGAGGGTCTTGCAGGCGCCGCCGGCTCCGGGGTCGGTGCAGGGTTCGAGTTCGGGGTTGGGGTCGGGTTCTTCTTCTGTGGGTGGGAAAGGGAATGGGAAATTGAATGGGAATGGGAATGGAAATGGGAATGGAAATGGGAATGGAAATGGGATGACGGATCGTGTGCAGCAGCGGGCTCTGGGACGGGTGGCTTCGAGTCAGGGTCATGGTCAGGGTCAGGGGTTTGGTCAGGGCCTCGGTGAGAGGAGCTCTGCTGGTGGTTGTCTCGAGAGACCTGGGAGGCTGCTCACCTCTGCCGCTTCTGTTCCTGCTCCTGGTGGGAGGCTTCCTGCTAGACTTGGTCAGGGGCTTGGTTCTGGGAGTGGTATGGGCGGTGACGCAGTTACCTTACCTGCGAGCCCGACCTACCAAAGGTTTGGTTTTGCCGCGGAGCACAGCGCCAAAAGATTCGAGAGGACTCTCGCCCACTTATCGTCTGGGGGCGACAACGACCCAACCTCTGCCAGGCTTTTCCAGGGCCAGTCTCCTCGACAGAACACAACAAACGGCGGGCTGGCTGCCTCGCGCTGGGGAGGCGGCCCCCAAGCTCCAGCAAACATCAACGGCACCCCAATTAGCCACGCGCGGGAGCAGCTTATCCGCCCGTCGTGGCGCACTACCTCTTCGGCCGAGCCGTCCTCGCAGCGCGGATACCCTGACCAGAGCCTGCGTACCTACGATGGTGCCGACTACGAGTCTCGCGACAGGCCTGACCATCTACGCTACGACCATTCCGGTGCTGATCCAGAGCAGGGTGGAAACATATTCGCCAACAACAACACCCCTGCTACCCAGTTCGCTGGCCCCGCCAACGACACCCGCGCCTGGCCCTGGGACTACCCGCGCTACATCCGCCGCGCCTCGCAGACACGGCAGTACCGGCCCGAGCCACCCCTGACCCAGGCCCAGCCCATCAATGTCGGGTCCTCGTTTGGCGCTGCTTGCAAGTTTGGTACGTTGCCCTCGCACTTCGCTGTTAGGCTCTCCTTATCCATCCACCCTCTCACGAACTCCCCCGTCCCTTCGTCACCTATCCAAGGACAAGTATGTCAACCTCTGGAGAGAAAAAAAGCTAACACCTCTCCGAAAAACACAACAGCATTCCCCACCGCCACGTGCACGTCCACGTCCACGTCCACCTCGACAACCTCCCCGTCATCGACCTCGTCAGGGTCAATATCAATGTCGTCAACCTCCCCCTACGGCCCCATCGCTCCGCCCCTGAGGAACAGGAACCCGAATCCAAGAATTCCGCTTCCAAATCCGAGTCTGAACTCCCCTCATCAACATCATCAACATCAGTATCTCGCTCTGAGCAGCGGCAACAGCAGCAGCACTCTTGTCACTGGTCACACTAATGGCACTGGCAGTGGTAATGGCGCTAATAATGACACCAATGCTGCTGGGCCGGAGTTCCTTCCCGCGAGGAAGGTTTCTTTGAACGAGTCTGTTGTGGACAGGCACCACGCTGCCGTTGCTGGCGGCGCGGGGCAGGATGCCGCAGGGGAGGAGGTCGGTTGCTGACCCGGTTGGGAGACATGATGCACAGGTGGTCAGCGGTATCGGGAGGAATTAATTTGATGGAGGATTTCTTGGAAGGGGTTATGAGGTGAGGGAGTTGATGGAGCGTTGAAACATCAAGCTGTTTTGAAGTTGGTGTTGTGTTGTGTGCGGGAAAAGGAGAGGAGAGCAGGAAAGTGGAGTTTAGGGGGTTTATGTGTTTTTGTTTATTTCCCCTCTCTCCATTCCTCCTCTTCTCCTAGAACTTACCTATCCGGTTTTCCTTCCCTTCCCCGTTTCCCTCTTTTTCTCTCAGCCTTTCTATGTAATCATCTCGCGATTCTTCATCTCATTAAAACCCTTCCTTGCCCTCTCCTATCTATTCCAGGGTCTCTTATGCGGACTCGTGCTTCCCTTTGTTTCTTCGTAGGGGAATAAAAAGCTATGTGAATTGTGGGCATCGGAATGGATTTGGGACCTGGTGTCACAAGAACAACACATCGGAGGTTACAGTAGGAAAGTAGAGCGGGGAATCATGTCAAATAGGCGCCACATCACACGGCTACTCTGTTTGTTTTCATTCTTCTAGGCTTTGTTTTTCTTCCACAGATATGATATGATGCTGCTATGCAATGATGATGGGGATAAGGAATGGATAGAATCGCATACGTGCGAGATTCGTTCGGTACCTGAGTTTCTTTTTTCGAAATTTTGGTGGCAAACATGGTTCGGGCGAGATTGACGGAGAGGGTATACCCTTCATGGGCGATGGGTAGTCAAGGTAGATACTGTCCGGTATGTCTTCCATTTGCAGGACGTCCTGCGAGGGAGGATGTGAGATGTCCCCGGCCGATGACCTGAAACGATGGTTGTGAGGGAGCTGGGGTTGGAGGTTGGGGGCCGGGAGCAGGCGTCCTGCATGTGAGTGGTGGTGCTGAACGAGTTGTGGTTGGAGCGTTGAGGAGGAAGATGCATCCAGGAACGGCTACCTCTCTCCGAAATTTTTCTTCAACTCTCATACCCCGTCGCTCCTACTGGTCCCTGTCTAAACCTACATATCTGTGGAGAGCACGGCATTTGTGAATTCCGGGCCTCAGAACTCGACTCATGGATTCTCATCTTGGACACAGCATGATTGACCATGCATGAGTACTAGTGACTGCATGTGAAGACCGTCTTGTGGTTCAACTCGGCAACCGTTTGTCGTTTTTATTTTTTTTTTATTTTTTTTTCTTTTTTTTTGGGCTTACAGCTCCTTCCCTGTCCATTATGAGTACGGTAGAGACCGCAAGCTAGCGACATCATCCACTTATCGGGCCTGTATACCTACCGAGGATGATGCAAAGCACATAACGCCAGCACAAAATGAGGAGGCTATTGCAGTGGGAAGGCAGGAAACTGCTCTACCCGTTCTTTTAGGCCCTAAGACGGATAGCAAGGTCGGGGACCATCTGGCACTGCGGTGTCATCAATCAAGTAACAGTCCTTCTCTATGCCATTCCCGAGTCCTAGACCATCTCTGTACACCTGCCAAGGCTGTCCCTATGCACCGACCATCTTCAACGCCTGGTTGCCGCCGATTCCTTCGTCCCAATTATGATTCCCTACTAAGCAGGGTTCCTTTTCATGAAGCAAATACATCTCGTGATCTAGTGCGCCAATCCTTTTCTGCCATCAGAAGCCTTGATCCCAAGCCCATCAGCGCGCCGTCAACTGCCCTTCCATTTCCTCATCCACCTGAGCGTACCGGGACGCCCGCAGGATGTTCTAGAAACCCGCCACGACCCCAGTCATCAGATCCTCGTCCTCGACCTGGTTCAGAAACGACAGGTCATAGTCCCGCCGCGCGTCCTTGTCCTTCTTCTGCTGCGTGACCAAGAACCGCACGAATTCGCGGTTCGTGCCCAGCCGCTCGTTCGTTGCCTTGACCAGCGGCTCGAGCTCCGCCAGCTGCTGCGCCGTGCGCGCCATCTTCTGTGCGAAGTCGGTCTCGGACAGCTCGTCGTCCGTTTCGTGGAACGCGAGGTAGGCCGGGCCCCCGTCGGCCGGGCGCTCGATCACGCCGCTCAGCATACCCTCGTCGATCATCTGCTGCACCAGCGCCTGGATCTCGGCCTCGGTCACGAGCGGCGCCGCCGTCTCGGCGCTCTGCGTCCGCGCGCGTATCTGCTCGAGCGAGATCTTGGTGTAGACCCGCCGCAGGTTCAGGATCTGCCACCGCTGGTAGTGCTGCATCACCAGGCGCATCAGGTTGAGGTTGTTCTCCTCGCTGAAGAACTGCGGGCCGACGCTCTCGAACTCAGTCTTGAGCGACTCGGCCGTGCTCTCCTCGAACGCCTTGCCGATCGCCTGGTACGGCTTGCCGAGGGTGGAAAAGGCCTTTTGGGCGCCGCCGGCCGTGTGGCTAGGCAGTGTTGGCGCTTTGCCGTTGAGGAGCAGCCCCACGAGCATCCATTTGTTGTGCGCTTCCACCATGATCTTGCTGCAGGAGTGATTGTCTCGTGCGGGGTATGTGATGACGCGCTCCAGGGCGTCGAGAGCCTGTGCCCATGACCGCCGCTGGATGAAGCACAGCCCGCGAAGCAGATCGTACTGCAGCACGTCGCCGCTGCTGAGCTGCTTCGTCAGACCAGACTCGATCGTGATGTATGATACCGGCGGCAAGTCCAACGCACAAAGCGGCCGCGTTTCCAGCTGGCCCTTGGCGCCCGGGTAGAATACGACGTTCTTCTCGAGAACTGGCAGCGCGTGTTCGACGTTGTCGGTGTCGAATGCGAGCTTAACTAGGGCGACATGGTACGAGGTGAGGACCGAGCCCGTGGGGTCGAGCCGGAGGAGCGCGGTTGTAAGGAGCTCTACTGCAACAGAGGCCTAGTCCGGTCAGCAAGTGCCGAAGGGGGCGGTTTAGAGGCCGCTACCCACCGGAAACAGCGTCCCGCCTACAAGCCAATCGAGAAGGACCGAAAAGGCTTTCCCCGCGTAACGTATCTGGCGGGCGTCGAATGTGGAGAGGAAGATGGAGATTTTCGCCAGCAGCTCGGCTTGAGGTAGACTGTTGGCGGAGCGGGCGGCTATGAGCAGGCTCAGGTGCGAGATGGAGTTGAGGGCTGGATCGACGTGCTGTGAAGGGTCAGCGATTGCCTTTCTCGAAACCGAGAGTAACGGTCCACCTACGTCGAGCAGCTGGGCAGCAAACTCTTTGAAGCTTTGTGTCACAGCTAGCTGGTCCACCTTTTCGCTGTGCGACTTTGCAGCCCAGTTGTACCGATCATCGTCAGGAAGCGCGCCGGCTGGCGGGAAGTCGAGCAGCGCCGAGGCAAGATGATCCATCTGCGACGAGTCGGTAGTGACGGCGGCGACCTCGGTAAACTGAGGAAGGTCCTCCGTAATCTCGTGAGAAATGTATGTAGACCAGACAGCGGAATCGTTGGTCGGTCTGCTACCAGTGACGGCACTGCCTGTCTACCAATGTTCTGCTGGTATGTTAACTCCCCGTGAGAACAAATGAGTGTGGATGTAAATTGGATCGTTGGTGTTGAAGTCGTTTGGAGAGAACTTCTGTGGTCTAATGCTGGAAGTTGACTGGAGCTCCCCGCGATAGGAAGCCTACAGGCAGGCAAAGCCCCACTTGAGCACTCATGGCAATCTCTCCGCTGCCTCTGTCCTCAGATACCAAGTCAATCCCACTTTAATTTGGCTGCCACACCCCTTTACTTTGGAGCAGCCAGATGGCTCAGGATAACTCTTGAATATTGTGAAGCCGTATATATCTTCGAAAAAGCCGTCAAAACGCGTTTTATGGTTTTTTTGAGCATTGGTTGAAAATCTGGGAGCTTCTCTATTGGCAGAACCTTCCACCACATGCCCCTGTCGGTTTGTTTTATCTCCCGTCTCCAACCCACTTCATACACGGCTCGCCGAGATCAGAACTTGAGAAGTGAAAATGGTCTACGTATCATTATTGCTTATGAGCGAGATCGACAAGCGGCTTCCGAACTCCAATCCTGCACAATCATGATAGCCAGTTGCTGTCACAGCTCCTTGTCAGTCCTTCCCCGTCGAAACCAAACCGAGAAAGCACTCCATCCCACCTACACAGCCGTTTTGTTACATCTGGCTCATCTGCTTGATGAGCTCGGCCAGCTTGTTGCCTTCTGACTTGTAGTCTATCGCCGCGACGCTCATGACCTGGTATCGGACCCTGAGATCCAGATGTCAGCAGGCTGCTCAAAACGGAGAAAAGACAAACATACCTCGTTTGTTCACCATACGTATCCATCTTGGCACGGCATCGAAACACCAGCTTCCTGCAGTTGGCCGCCTCAAACGCGGCGCCGAAGCTCCCGTCCCCCCTCGACTGCATCTCCATGAGCTCGTCGGCCGTCTTGCCCATGATCATCTTGGCCTGCTCGTCGAAGCAGCTCAGCCAGATGTGGCCGGTGTGGTCGCTGATGTCGATGCTCATAATGTACCGGTACCGGGCCCGGTCGTGCGTCATGTCGCACTTCTCGCACCGCCACGTGCCGTCGCTCATGTCCGTCACCTTCTTGTTGCAATTTTCACTCAGGCAGGCCGGGTACGCAAAGTTCTCCTGCTTGATGTGCAAAATGGTCGCCTGGACCGTAAAGTAATCGACGTTCTCCATGCCGAGATTCTCCGCCTTCACCTGCCCAACCGTCTTGAACTCGTCCTTGTGGCCCGCGGCAGCCCCCATTGACGATAGGTTGCTGTGCGTCGCGAACGTGTTGTTCCTGCCGCTCGACTCGTACCAGCCCTTGAGCTTATGGGCTTCGGGAATGTCGGGGTCGATCGCCATTGTGCCCGATGACAAGAGTGACAGGCTACGCCCGCCAAAGTCGCTGACGCGCATGCCCTTGAAGGCAATGATGGACTCTGGGTTGGCGTCGAAATCGGTGGCTGTCTTGCCCCAGACGGTGACACGTACCGAGTAGCCCGTGTCGTCAACCAGCGTTAGCTCGCGCTTGTCGTAAGGCTTCTGCGTCGTCTTGGAAATGATCTGGTCCACCGGGTTCACCTCCTTCAGGACGCCAATGATATCGACCGTGGCATCCTTCTCTACGTCCTGTAACTCCTGAATGTTGCAAAAGTTGAAGCGTACCTGCGGCACGGAACTCTGGTCTTCAGCCTTCTCGATGACGGTGTCGCGCTCAAACATCATCTCGTAGTCGTTGGGCAGGTTGCTAAACTGCTTCTTGGCAAGCTGCACCTTGCAAGGGGTCGAGATGTAGTAGACTTGTCCTTCTTGCAGAAGGTCGTAAAACTGGTCGACCTGCTCATTGAAGCCCGTTGCCCGGATCTCACCGCTCTCGTCCAGGAGATTGACGCTGAACAGCTTGCCATCACCGGTGTTCTTGTGCCACGTCCTGATGTCTGACTTGCTTGTGACGCGAACCTTGATGGTCCATTTGTTGGCGTATGGCGAAAGCGCCTCGACGGGGTATATTGTGCTCGCAGAATGCCCGCCATGACCGCCTCCGCCCCCGGCCCCGCCGCCCGTGTGAGAAGCGATCTGCCTCTGGACCTGCGATTTTGACTCCTGCACTGGTTCGCTCTTGGCGCCGTAGAAGCCCGCGCCGCCGATGGTCGTGTTTGTGATTTGCCGCTCGTTCATTGTGGCTTCCATGCTCTTCGGGTCGCCAAACTTGTCAGGTGTGCCGAGCGACGTGATGACTTCGAGGTCCAAGATGATCATAACACTAGATGAAGCTCGTAAGCGCCGGGTACATAAGAGGGCAGAGAAATAGGACGCACTTTTTGCCCTTGAGTGACTGGGCCTGGTATTGCCTGACGCGTACGATGGAGCCGCGTTGCAGCTGGCCGTCGTGCATCACATGGTTTGCTTGGGTGGCCAGCATGCACTGCACGTAGTTGCGGACGTCGCTGAGGACGATGCGGTACCGCTCGGAGCCCGGGGCTGCGGGGCCCTTGTTTTCGAGAAATTTGATATGGAGGCATTGCATCACCGGAACGGGGAACTGAGCGGCGGCGCGGTCGGAATCCGTGAAGATGGCCCTGCATCACGTCAGAGGACCTTGATATTCTTTACATTCCAGACTTTAGCTCACTCTAGGGCGCCTTGTGTGATATGTTCCATCTTGTACGGTTCTCAGCAGCGCTCCAATATGTTGCAAAAGCCTCGTGTGTTCGCAGATTGAAGACGTTGAAATCGGTGAATCAAAGGACTCGGTCCGAAGTTGGCGCTTGGAGATGCAAAGCTTTGGAGGGGCCGCGTTGGGCAGGCGCGAACGCGTCGAGGGGCAACAATTTAATGCGCCAGGCGCGTACAGTACGATTAGCCAAGAAGACAGTATTCTGCACTGTCTACTTAAAATGGACAGCACCTCAATCTCTGGAAACGCATGTCAGGAAGTCACAAGCCGGAAGCTCGGCGTTTTATAACCCGACATCAGCCCGGTTCCCAGTCATGAAACTTGGCCGATGGAAAACAGATCCGGAAACTTCAAGTCTGCAGCTGCAGAAATGTTCGACGAGAACTGCGGAGGCGCTTTCCTTCCATGGCCATTGGTTCGTTGGTGGAGAAGCGATGCAGTCTCCCCGCTATGTCGGTGAGGGGACAAAACAGCTTCTCATTTCATATCTCAAGCCGTTAATAACAGAGATCATATGCTGAAACCGAGCGCGCCGCCTTTCCACTCTCTTGCCCGGGACCATCTCTAGAACATCTTGAAGCTCAGTGAAAGAACACAACCTCAACCTTAGCTCATTTCAACCCCCGTAACCAACCGGACTGACCTTCCCCTGACCTCACTCACACACATCTCACCCACCATGCCCGCCTCAACAGCCCCGATCATCGACTCCCACATCCACCTCTACCCCTCTAGAGAGATCCCCTCCCTCGCCTGGTGTACGCCCTCCCACCCCCTCGCCTCGCAGCACTCCGTCGCAGAATACCTCACCGCCACCGGCCCGACTACAACCCCCAATCTCTCAGGATTCATCTTCGTCGAAACTGACCGGCACAACGCCTCCTCGACCGACTGGACCGCGCCCCTGCAGGAGATCGCCTGGATGCGGCGCCTGGCAACGGGGACACCCCGGTCTGGGGAAGGCCATTCGGCCGCCGACGCCAGACTCTGCCTGGGCCTGGTCCCCTGGGCGCCGGTGGCGCTGGGGCCGGAGAAGCTGGGCGCGTATCTGGAGGCGGCAGAGAGAGAGGCCGGGACCGAGACGTGGCGGCTCGTCAAGGGGTTTCGGTATCTGCTGCAGGACAAGGAGAACGGGACGGCGCTTGGGGAGGGGTTTGTCGAGGGGCTGAAAGTGCTGGGGCGGAAGGGGTACGTGTTTGATGTCGGCGTGGATCAGCATCGCCGCGGGAGGGTGCAGTTGGAGGAGCTGATCGAGATGATTGATCGGGCGCATGAGGGGGTCGAAGAAGGAGAGAAGGTGGTGTTTGTTTTGAGTGAGTCCGCCGGGGAGCAGCATGTGTGGCGGGGGGGAAGAAATAGGTGATGGTGTTGACTGTGGTGCTAGATCATCTCTGCAAGCCCGACTTGACGATTCTGAACCAGACTGACCCGTCATTCATTGCGTGGTAAGTTTCGGAACCTGTCTAGCACCACGAGTCGAGAGATCACTGACGAGAGTCATCTAGGCGCACCGCCATGTTCACGCTCAGTAAGTGCCGCAAGACTTACATGAAGCTTAGCGGCTGCTTCTCCGAGCTGCCTGACAAGCTCAAGGAGCGCTCGGCCGAGGACATTTTCTCAGCCATTCTCCCCTGGCTCGCCGTTGTGGTCGCCGCTTTCGGCCCGAGCAGGATCATGTTTGGCAGTGACTGGCCGGTTTGCACGGTGGGAGTTGGCGGCGAGGCCTGGAAGAAGTGGCACCGAATCGTTGAAATGGTGTGCGATCTGGCCGGCTTGAGCGAGCAAGACCAGGCTATGCTCTGGGGTGGGACGGCCAAGGAGGCTTACAAGCTTGACTGCTAGAAATTGATGCATTCCTTGCCGCCGTTTGCCCGTTTCCTCTACTCCTTGAGCTGCTCATCCACATACTTAGAGTGCAGTGTGATTCGAAATCGGACAGTGACGGGGCATAAAGCACATGTGGAAGAGAAAGGCGCAAAAGTTGAACTCAAAAGGCGAAGGCAGCAAAAGCTCACTGGCTAGCCCCCTTCAGTTGAAGGTAGCCAGCTACAAAACCCTGGGGAAAGTTTGCTTCGCGGGCGGCGATGGGGTGCGGTTGGCGTGTTTTATTGCCCCGGTGTTGGGTCGAACTGACGAGGTCTCGATAATGATCATAGATCTCTCGACAGCAACCCAACCCGGGGGTGACCACCGCCAATAACCATTTGGCTACTGGCTGTGGTCGGTGATATATGGGCGTGCGAACTTCTATGTCACGAACTGACTGCCCTTCCGGGAAACTCATCGGTCCCAATCCTTGGCCGCAACAACGCCAACTGCCACCTTGGTCTTCATGTTCTCCAAGAATCACACATACACAAACTTGGGTTTCCAGGATCGCTGCCACACAACCAGCAAAAGGACTTAAAACCAAGCTGAGGAGGACATGGTAGACTGACAACAGTTTTCCTGTTCAAACACGAAGCCCCATGATACTCAGGGCAAGACAAAACCGCGAGCGTCGCCAGAACCGTCGCCGTCATGAATGGAACGCAGGATGCACATAACCTGGCATCACACATGGGTCCGCATCCGGACCCGATCAACCCGCCAACCGACCAGTCTACGACTCCGACCCTGAATCAGACCCTCCCAGACTCAGCCCGACGACTCCATTCAAAGAAACGAAACAAAGGGCTGCCGACCAGCCGACCGGCCACGCGACGGAGCCACCTGCGGCCCAGTCCCGGCCCTGACCTGCAACGCTCCCGTGCCGCCTCGGTGCCGGCCTCGAAGTGCGCCAATTCGCAGTCAATTTCACCGAGCTCGTTGTCACCGTAGAGCTTCCTGGCCAGTTGATGCACCGTTCCCTTGGCAGCATCGCTGACGACGTTATCTGGTGACCCAGCTGTCAATCCTTTGTGCGAGTGATGGCCAGGCCGGAAAGTAGACTGGTTCGATGGTCGCGCCTGGCGGCGAATCGGCGAGCCAACCGTTTATGCACCCACCCTGAGGCTTCACACCCGCTGGCGGTATGCAATTTGGGTTCGACCCCATGCAACTTCGGGGTCACTGTGGCCGGTGCCTGGGTTCCCGGTACTGTGTTCGCGATTTCGGTGCGTCCTTTCCGCCAGTCGTACTCCGTATCCTATATCAGGAATATCGAAAGGGACAGAAGGCAACGTCAAATGTTGTTTATCCGGCATTGGCAACCGGTCACGAGGGCGCGCAGGCTTGCTGTCTGGATGAAGCCCAATGAAGGAGAAGCAGACGACAATCTTGCCCTGTCTTGATCACACCGGCTGTTGCCGAAGAGGCGAGACCAGGCAAACACGCATCGCGGCGCCTTGGAGAAAAGCAGCAAACAAAGAAGAGCATCCGAGGAATAATCAGTACCTGGGGGCGGAGGAAAATGACACATAGTCATTCCGATAAGCCCAACCGTCCCAGAAACTAGGAAGCCACCAAAAGGGCTGCCTGGTCAGCCATCGTCCCCCTCGGTCGAGGCAAAGGAGGATCACACTTTCGCGACAGCCGGCAGCATTCAATCGCCGAGCCCCAAGCAAGGGGAGCACCACATGCAAGCGGAACAGAGTACGACGCAGGAACCTCAATACCGGCCTTGGCGCTGCTTCCGGTCACACGGAAAATCTGGGGAAAGCTGCAGGTGTTGCAGGCGGTCAAAAACAAACCTGTGAGAACCCGCCAGCCGACGGGATTGCATCCATTTCGCTTGCCGGAAACCGGCAGCGACATCCGGCAGTTCGTTTAACCGCTAGCATCGGGACCAGATTTCCTTTTGGTTAAAAAGAAGGGAAAAACTGACAAGCTCACTAATTGCACTCCCCCCTGTTCACTGTTTGCGCGGCCGAAACTGCCTTCGGCCTAGCGCAGCCTACGCCAGCCACACCACATATCACAGATATCACCTCCATTGAGGCACACACACCGAATTGCACATTCAGTTGTTGTTGATTGCAATATACTTCGACCTTGTGAATATAGTGTTTTACCAGCCGGTTGATGGTATTAAAGCCTCCCGGGGTGCAAAAGTTGGGCCTGCTGAGCCCCACCTTAGCTGAAGAGTGGGCTAGCACAGAGGGTGGGGCCTAATTGTGGGGCTGAGCTTGCGGTAGTCCAAATCCAACGATCCTAAGAGGTTCAACCAGAACTCGTTTTTTAGGTACTGTAAGTTAGATGAATTTGTAGTGCTTGCTTGCTGGTAGTGAGCTCCTCGACTTGATGCGCTGACTCTGATGGCAATAGAGGTGGTGATCGGTGTGGCTTGCAGGCTGAGCTAGGCCGAAGGCGGTTAGAGCCGTACGAATAGGGGAATGTACAGTTCGTGGGCTCGGAAACAGAGACTCGGCTCCAGCGGCGCAGGGGTTTGGCCGTTGGCCGCCAGGTTTGAGAGTGCCATGGGCAACGCCATGCTGCCGAAAGTTCCAGAAGACTGCTTGAAACGGGTTTCGCAAGTGGGATGAAGCAGAGATGGACAGGCGGCGTCGCTAGCAACAGACGGACGGGGTTCCAAGACGGAACATACGCCGCAACCAGGAAGTGATGTCGTGCGGAAGGCTGACAGAGCCATGGTACCTTCACTGTTGTTGATGGTGCCTGGCTGGCATGCTCTGCCGCTCTCATCAGAGAGGATGCTCAGTAAAGACACCTATAGCGGCGCCGTGACAGCAGGCCGTATTGGCCGGCTTGGTAGGGCCGGATGCATGCGCCTCCTCCCCCTTTGCTCGTCAACTTTTATTATGTCGGCCTTCTTTCGGTCATAGCAATCTGGCGTAGTGCACCACGGAAACAGGAAGGTGAGCTCAATCGAGATGACTAGGTACAGTAATTAAGGGGAGGAATGCTGGAAATAACTGGTCAAAAATAACCGTAACACCACATTGCTTTCGGTCTTTCATCAACAGAATCGTGTCACCGAAGCCAGCGCCGAACCCTATGGTTAGCCTCCACAATGTCGAAACGTTATAAACAGTGCTGCGCAACAGGCAGCGATTTCCAACCCTTTCTCATTTCTTGTCGAGGCTTCAAAAACGCCGCCCGACTGCGTCGGCAAGGGAGCGAGTCGAATATGTTGAGACACTCCACGATCATTGACCCGCTCCAAACATCGAGGCTTCTCTAGCCAACCATATAAGTGTTGGAAAGCCAACAGCCACGATTTCACGGTGTTACGCTTTATGGGAGCCCTTAAAACAGTGAACTTTTCGAGTGCCCGGGACCAGCCCAGAATCTGTCAATTGAGGGCTCTGTCCTTCTCCTTCTCCAAGTTGCCTGGGTGCCTCCTAGACCTTATGCAACAGCTGTGTATTACCCCTGACCGGGGTACGATATCGGCAACCCAGTTTTCGAGTTTCAACTTCACTTCCAACAATAAGATTACTAGCAAATTAAGGTCTTACTATCTAACTATAATCCCTTCGACCCCTCCATATGCTTATATGCTAGGTTGTCTTGAACTATGTTTTATTAAAGATATAGTAACGTGATTCACCATTGACTCGGACACCCCATTGAGTCGGACACATTTTCCGGACTATGCCACTACAAACTGCCAAAAGTCCACCAGAATCTGATGCAATCAATTGAAACTACTCAGAATCGCTTAAGCTATCTATTTCTCCAGCCTCCGAGCATGTCCTTGCATTATGGCCAGTCTTGCGGCAGATGCCACAGAGCCGTAAACCCGTCCGACGCCTCTTTGATGGTCCTTCAATTTCCTCCTCAACGCGCTCTTCCTCGTCCACCATACCTTTCT